AGAACAAGTACTCGCGTATGATCAGCGGCATGGTGGACCACAGTCGTGCCTTGTTCCAGTCGCCCATCCTCAGATTCACCATTGTATCGATCACCATTAACTTTACATTCCACATTGGCTACTACGGACTGTTGATGTGGTTCCCGGAGCTGTTCAATCGCTTTGAGGAGTACGAGAAGGCCTTCCCCGACAAGTCGGCCAGCGTCTGCTCGGTCACCGACTATGTGGTGGGCATTGCCCGTGAGAGTGCCAACAACGGCACCTGCTCCTCGGACATACCCCAGTCGGTGTTCATGGAGTCGCTCATCTCGCTTGCCTCCGCCCTGCCCGCCAATCTGCTGGCCATCCTCGGCATGGATATGCTGGGGCGCAAATTCTTCTTGATTGCCGGCACCATGACTGCCGGCATTTGCTCGGCCCTCATGTACTTTGTGCGCAGCTCCCTGCAGAATCTCATCGTGTCGGCGATCTTCAGTGGTGCCATATCGGCAGCCAATGCGGCCCTCGACTGTCTCATCACCGAAGTATTCCCAACCAAGCTGCGGGCCACCGGTGTGGCCATCTCCATGGTGGCGGCCCGTCTCGGCGGCATCATTGGCAACATTGTGATTGCCCAGCTGCTGGACAACTACTGTCCCTCGCCGACATTCATTGTCTCTGGCCTGCTCATCGGCGGCGGTCTCATGTGCCTCCTGTTGCCAAATACGACGCGCAAGGAGCTCAACTAACAACATCAGTTTGTGTGTCCTTGTCTCCTGTCCTGGTGCTACAAATTGCCACCAATAACAATAATACAACAACAAATCGCCAAAAAAACAAAACAAAATATATATATATATATGTATGTATACCAACCGATCAGCAGGAACAGAGCCAGCTGCAGAAATAAGAACAGGAACACCCACACCCACCCAACCCCACATTTAATTTCCACTTTCCCTCTCCCCCACACCCCTGCGCCAATTATCCCAAACGGGAACCGGAAGCGGGGGAATGTGTATCTGTGTATATAATGGTGTGTGTGCTATAGAACACGACTATCATCAGTAATTATTATACGATAGCGATAACGATAACAATAACGATTAACGTTCTTTCTTGTTTGTGGTCTAATTTTAACGCCTATCGGAATTTAAATCGGAATAACAAAGAAACAAAACAAAACAACAAACTAACCAAGAAGCCAAGCCCCCGCAACCCCCCCCCCCCCCCCCCCCCCTCGCCGACGAGAAGATATAGCAGCTATATAGATATCGATTGCGATCGATTTATGTATTGTATGTACGATATGTATTTTGTGTGTATTAGTGGTAGTAAGTAATATATATGTATATATTACATATACATATTTGGCAAGCGCCGGCGCCGGCTAAAGCAAACAGCAGAGAAGTGAGAGGCGAGAAAACGAAAACCGAAGAACAAAACAAAACCGAAGCAAAAGCAAAAGCAAAGCAATGCGAAGCTCCTCCCTCTGTTGTCAATTATTGTTTGTTATTATTGCTATTATTATATAAAACATATACATACATACGTATATAACCTTATCTTTATATATAAACATACATACATATATCAAATAACATTTATATAACATATACATACAGATATACATACATACTATATGTACCATATAGTACATATTACTTTTTTTTTTTTTTTTTTTTCGTCGTCATATAGGACCAAAGCACAGGAAGTGAAGGAATATTTGTAAAATTTAGTTATGTATTACAAGTTACGCTACATATACATACATACATACTAATATGTACATACTATGTACAAGAAGAAAAAAAAACCAAATAAAAAAGAACAAACCACAAGATTTCTACGCATTTTTCATAGGGGAAAAAATTTTCAGATCCTACACGTTCCACCCACACACAATGGGGATACGTTCATAGATACACACGAACCTCTCATCTGTCCGCATCGCATCGCATCTGGGGGATTGGATTGGATTGGAACACGCGACTTGCCTAATATTTATTTGCTCAATGAATCTGGAGCGGGTAGGGCTGGGGAAAATATTGACGAGAACGTGGAACTGGCTGGGCCAGCAGGTCGGAATTAGTGTTAATTAAATAAATACACGAGCAGATTCGCCGACTCACAGATTCAACAAGAGAATACTAGGCTACATTCATCCAGCCATACAGCTGTGGGGTCTGGTCTGTTAGTAAGTAATCTCTCGCACCCGGGTTGACCAAACAGAGAAATTGCCCGTAGAAAGCCAGAAAAACGTGCACTGCACACACTTGGAGAGCTCCCCTGCACGTGGTGACGAGTATACTGAGAGCCGTACGAGGTGCACAACCCCAACCCCTTGACAACATCATCCAATTGTATTTTTTTTTTAATATTTCTGTAGGTATATTTGTACGAATCTTCTTCAAGTGGCTTCGTCCCCTCTTTTTGCATTGATTCCACTCCCAATTTGTGTGCCAATTCCTTTAGAAATGCTAGGATACAGGGAGACATGTAGAGACATCCCATCAATCCTGAACACTGATTCCATATGAGATATTTCCTTGACGCCTGACATTGTGCAAATGGCAGCCTCTTCTGTAATAGAAAAACACTGGCTTAACTTTCCTACACCCATGCCGAATCGGACTGGATGTCTATGACCTCCTCAGGGGGACTTAATTGGTAGTCAGCCGCACTGTCGATATTCGCATGCAATAAACTGCACCGCGAAACGCAACGAAGGTCAACAGACAACAAGGAATGAATATGAATTGCTATATTTCAACTTCAATTGAAATGTATTCATATTGATTGGCTGGGCTGGGCTGTGATGATTACAATTAGAGTTAGGCATTTATAAGACCGCCAGAATACTTCAGATGGAATGAAAACGTCGCTGCCCTGCAGCATTGTAGGAGTACTAAGCTAATCCTAAATCTATTAGTCTTTGGCTCAAGCGTCGCGTTGGCGGTTCTGCTCACTGCTCACTGCTCACTGCTACTGCTACTGCTTTCGATGCTCATCATTGGTCACGTTACGGCGGGGAGGACATCATTTGTCGCTCCGTTTCGTTTTGCGCTGACGCAGTGCATCTTTGGCGTCCCGGCCATGTCTGTGCTTGTCCAGGGACTTTTCCACCATCAGATCATCGGCATCGCCACCGCCAACATCGGATATGTCAGATTTCTCGTCCAGCGAGAGAAGATCGTCGTCGCGCAGGCTGCTCGTGCTGGTACTAGAAAGGATCACACTGCCTGCACCGGACTGCAGCGTGTTCGTGAGCCGTGCGTACTTGATTTGTAGACTGTGCAGCCAGTTGGCGTCGGACCAGTGGTACCAGCTGAGCAGAAAAACGACCAATATAAAGAATAGATTGGTGCTAATGGCTGGAAATGGATCAGGCAGAACAGAACAGTATTAGATGATAATCGCTTTGGGGCGTGCCAACTCAATTTAAACATACCCACTATGGCCGAGAGGACGGGCCAATTGAACATTATATAACGGAGGCCGGTAAAATCGGCCACTATGTGAAGGGTGACCGTATAGAACTGAATCTTCTGCGACTGTATCTCCACATAGACATCGGTGATGGGGTGCTGTCGCTCCTCCAGATAGCGTGAGAATATCTCGACCGGCACCTGCTGGAACTCCTCCTTCCAGCCGAGCACATACAGCGGACTAAGGGCCCACGTGGATATCATACGGATGAGTGGCGACCGGTAGCGCATCATTGCCGAGCGGCAGGAGTGGCCCCGCAGCAAAGAGTCATAGTCGCGCATCTCAGCACACACCATAAACATGCCCAGCTCAAGGTTCTGCGGCGACTCGGGCATATCAATATTCACAATAACCTTGTACGCTTGGCCCACCATCAGCAGCTGTTGCTTCTTGGTCAGCGAGACGTGGGCGTGGGGGAAAGTGCAGGGAGTGCTTGTCTCCAGGCATGTTCTATAATTGATCGATATAATATATATATATATAATATAGACAAGCTCTCACTTACTTGAACTGCATGTGAACGGGACGCGTGTGCGAAATGGCCGGCATGTAGATATAGTAGAAGGCCGCGTACATGAACACGGCCAGCCAAATGATCAGGACGACGGCAAAGGCGATCAGTCCCAGGCGCAACACCAGCTCCCGCACAGTGCCAACCTTTTCGTCCGCCTTGCTGCGCACCCGATCGTACACATTCCAGCCGACATTGAGGGCTGGCCGGACTAAAAAGCGTCGTCCCAGGCCCAGCGGATCGAAGCAGAAAACGATGAAGCGCAACAGGAAGTTCATGGTGTTGATGTTGTTAGCCTTGACTGAGGCGAAGCGAATGCACCACACAAGCAGAGGCGTCGCCAAGTGGACAGCAACTAAATACGGCTATTGTTATTGCCGTGCAATAAGTATTCTGTACGTATCAACTGATTGCTTATCGACTCGATAGTGGATCCGACCGACCGGCTTTGCGTTTTGAGCTATTGCTGGATTTTCATTGCCTCTCGCTCGCACGCACGCCCAGCTCCTATCTGCCCCTCGCTCTGCTTCCAGAGCTGATTCACTGAAAGAGTCCGCCTCGCCGTCGATAGCCAGCGCCAGACGTTGTACCAGCTCAAAGGTCAATGTGACAGCAGAGAGCGCCAACTGGCAGCAAACTTGAGATTTGAGCTTTTAGATTTTTGGCATTCGTAGCCGGCGTTTTCAATTTTTTTTGTTGAGATGATGATATGTTTATGTTTCAGATAGTAAAAACATCCACTAGCTAATCAGCAGGTTGTGGGAGGCGGAAGGCGGGATCATTCATCGTGACCGATCATCGAATGCCGAAAAATAGTATTTTCATCAAGCAACTACACTAACTGCAATATATAAGGTGGATAACTAAGTAAAAATGTGCTTAGACATATTTCCAGACACATTGACACAATACAAGCAGAACAATTAAAATAAATTAAATATTTAAATATTCCCTCGAATTTGTCGAACAGTGTTGAGCAATCACCTGTCTGTTCACAACTATCGATATTCGCTTTCGATGCACGACCAACAGTCGCGACACAGCCCTGTGCAATTGTTTTCATTGTCTAGTACTTTTTTTTATACATTTCATACATTTCACTTTAATTAATTGCACACATCACATACATACAGTACACATCAGTTGAATTCATCGTGCAGCTACAACCTAATTGACCAACTGTGGGTCTGCAAAAGATCTGAACAGGGCGGCGCAGCAACAACCAAGAGGGTGGTAAGTCCAACAACACTCACTCGGAGCAAACAAAGAAGCACGAAAAAAATTGAACATTGTTTCGTTTTTTTTAGGAGAAAACCAAACAGTATTAGCCACAAGCAGATCAATGAGTAACTATAGATACCAGAATGAAGGGGGTGGCGGAGTGCGTGGCTACAGCGGCATTGAGGTGCGCGACATGCATCCACGGATGATGCATCCGCACCACTTCACATTTGTCAGCACCTGCGTGAAGTACATGATTTTCATGCTAAACTTCATATTCTGGCTTTTCGGTGGCCTGCTTCTGGGCATCGGCATCTACGCCTTCAAGGATAAGTGGGAAGAGGCCAATGGCGGGGTCAGGCTGGAGACCATCTACGATGTAATACTCAACATTTCGCTGGTGATGATCATCACGGGAATTGTTATATTTGTGGTAAGCTTTGCTGGGTGCCTTGGAGCGTTGCGCGAAAACACCTGCTTGCTGAAGTTTTACTCCATGTGCCTGCTCCTCTTCTTTCTCATGGAAATGGCCATTGGTGAGAGCCCCCCACTCGATTTCGATTGTACCCTGGAGGCTCTGAACTATGAATTTCTCATTTTTAGCCATCGTTTGCTTCGTCTTTCCCCAACTGATGAACACATTCCTGGAGAAGGAGTTCACCGAAACCATTATACACTCGTATCGCGATGATCCCGATCTGCAGAATTTTGTGGACTTTGCCCAGCAGGAATTCAAGTGTTGCGGTCTCAGCAATGCCGGCTACCAGGATTGGAGTAAGTGATCGCCAATTGATTCCAACAATATATGACTGTAGATTTAACCAAACATGAACTCTCAACGTGCCCACAGGTAAGAACGAGTACTTCAACTGCTCCTCGCCGTCCGTGGAAAGGTGCGGAGTCCCCTATAGTTGCTGCATTAATGCCACCGACATCAGTTCGGGTCTAGTCAACATTATGTGCGGTTATGGGGTGCAGGAGCACACTGTGGTAGCCGCCAGCAAGCGCATCTGGACCAGCGGATGCATCGAAATCGTGCGCGTCTGGGCCGAACGCAATCTGTATGTAATTGCTGGCATTGCGCTGGGCATTGCACTCATCCAGCTGCTTGTCATCTATCTGGCCAAGACACTGGAGGGTCAAATCGAGCTGCAGAAGTCGCGATGGGCGGCGTGAGATCCGTATCAGCCCGATTTCTTCGGGTACTACGAGAACACTTGAACTTGAGTGTTCGACGCTGCCTGGCCGTTGGGACGTGCAATACCATTTGTTAGCAAAATTTCGAGTCTCCCATTTATGAATCTGGTGCATATTCTTAGCCCCCGAACATGTACATATATATGTATACGAACAAAACCCATACTCCTCTACACTCTGACCAAACAACGCCATATTATGTCTGGTCTGTCATTTTATTGCAGATCCGCAATCTCTGATGTACGTATAGCATTGTAGAATCCGTAATGTGTTCAAATCCCGTACAGAACACTCATAACATATATACTCGAGTGTGAAAGCACAAGATTTGGCACATCTGTCCAATGAATCCTTTACATCCTTCACGTCATGGGGATGTGAGGGGAGACTGCGGACGAGAGGCATTTATTTAACAGCGATCCAATTGCATTTCTAGTGGAAAACAGTATCCAATGCTTTAGGCAGCTAACAACAAAGCACACCATCCGTTTATACAATATTATTATAACCATTTATACACAACTGTACCACATACATATAACATATAATTCATAGAAGAGTAGTTTTATTACAATAAAAATCAAAAGAAAAAAGCAATTACGAGAAACGTTTTGCGGATATGTTTAAAAATTTCAAATTGCTGTGCCGGTCTGTGTCTGGGGTCTGGATGGGCCGTATGGCCGAGATTTCCTTGGTGGACGAGGCTCCCTTGATTTCGAATCGTTCTCCTGCATGACTGCGATTAATGAGAAAGAAAATATTTTATATCATAGTGAATGCTAAAAAACTATCAACTGAAGGTAATTGCTATGTCATTTTACAAGGGTATATTCGAATAAGTGGACGGGTATGAAATTAACTGGAGTTTCACAGCAAACAGCATTGATAGTCTCACACCAGCCAGTTTGACAATTTAATATGTTATGTTTTGTTTTTGATGAACTGGAACTACTGATGAACTGGAACTAATTATCGAACTGGAACTGGAACCATTTGCATGGTATTTATTTGTTACAATCTCAAGCAAAATTTTTGTATGGGCGCTATTTTAGTATTTTTTTTGTTACAATTCCATACAATATGTTTTGAAAATCTGGTATATTATTCGTTTGCCTTTGCAATGCTAATGGTGTTATGACATTAGACTTTGGAAACTGACTTTCCAGTTGAACTGAGAGCAGCGCTGCGGGCAGAAATGATCTCTTATTGTAGTTTTCAGAAATAATTTTGCTGCCTCTTTGGCCTGTTGTTCGACTGAACGCCAGTAGACGTGTTTAGAAACGGCTACGAGCACTAATTTGTCATTTTGTCTCTCATGCTATCTCTCTCTCTCTCTATGCAGCAAACTTAGCAAAGTGTAATGTTATAGCACCATAACTAGCATATCAAACTGGTTCTAGACTGACACTATGTTAATCGGTATATTTGATCGATAGTTATTGTTTGAGTAGTTTCATCTCTATTGTCCCTCATCACAACGTGCTCCAAGAAATTGTTCAAAATTGTTGAATTGAACGAGCGTGCGTTTCCCATTTGCTTAACTTATACGAACGAACACAATGAACGTAAGTAAACCAACGTGCAAGAGCACTTCTTGGAAGAAAAAATCAAATTTTTCGCTTTTAATAATTTGAAATATCTTCAATTTTATAAAGGGAAAAATTGCGAAGCTCGATTCTGCCGACTGTGAAGGCTCGTCTGGAGGCAGCGATCATGAAAATGAGCAGCATTCTGAATCGAATGTGAAACTTCGTAAAAAAATCGTAAGAAAAGCCAAAAAGACCGACGACGAACAGAGCAATGAGAAAGGAAGCAAGAAGAAACTCCAAAATGGGACAGGCAACAATATCGACAAGCGCGTATTTAGCATTTTGAAAAACTTTCAAGATACCACAAATATAACGTCCAAGATGCTGCAGGACCTGGTTGCCCTACTCCAAGAGGAGTCGTCCGAAAAGGTTAGTACCAAATCGTATTTATTCATTCGCTCCCACACCGGCAATTGCCTTTTGTTTTTTGGAATCATTCAAATGACAGCGCAACGCCACAGCCACTTATGTTATCAAACGTCTGATACGCGCAACGGGGGCGGATAACAAAAATACTGCCGCCAAGGTGGGCAGCATCATAGAGCTCATCATTAAGAATGTGCCCGATGTGAACGAACTGGATCTACTGGACCTTCTAGAGCGTGAATTGCCCGTTAACGGCCAGCCAAAAAAGAAGGAAGAGGCACTGGCGGCAGTCGGACAGATGATCACCGCCAGTATCATAATAAAATTATCAAAACAATTGTCCACCAAACGAGAGCTGGCGCCCATCTACACGAAGCTGATCAGTTATTTGAAGGGGCGCGAGTACCTGATGTGCATGAGCAACAATGTGATTGTGGAATCATTTGCTACGGTGAGCCACCTGCATGAATAAATGTTCAGCAATTCTCTAATCTAGTCCCAACTGCAGGTCCCCGAAGAACGTTTCGCAACAGATGTTTGGCCAGTGCTGAAGCAGGACATTGCCAAGCCTGTGTCTGAACTGAATCTACACACCTTTGATGTTCTATTGGCTGTTCACCACAGCTACGACAATATTCTCACATACGAACAGTTGATGGCTATCCTGTGGCCCAAGAAGGCAGTGTATTCTGAACTATTTAAGATTTATTTAGCCGCCCCGAAGATGTACGATCCTAGAATCTATGCCAGATTCGGCAAGTTCCTCGGCACTGCCGACACAAATGCGAAGATGCTCAAATCCTGGCAGGATTATGCATATGAGCATAGGTCGCAGAACATTGCATCGAAGGGGTGCATCTTCAAGGTGCTCGAGCACCAAATTGTCAGCCACAAGAACGCCAATGAGCAACCATTGATAGACCTGTTTGACAGTCCCTTGATGGACTTTATATTGGATGAGCTTTTGGCGGCAAAGACAACCAGCGCCAAGAAAGAGAAGCCATTGACAATGCAGCTCCGCCAGATATGCCAGGAGTTCGAATGTGCGGTCGTTTTGCTCTTTGAGAATCCTGCAACTGGCGACGAAACGAAAGCCACAATTTTAAGCAATCTGCTCAAAAAGAGGGGAAATTTGAATGAGATTGCCACAATGCGACGATTCACTGAGACGTTGTTGAATACGCTTAAGTACGACGGCCTCCAGATTATTTTTGACGTATACGCGGACCTACTGACAAGGCCTGTCGACGGGGAAGCACCGCAAGACAATAGCTCGCGCAACCAACTAGACTGCGTCAACCAAATGCATGCCATACTGCAGCATACCGAGCTTGAGGGCCACAAAAAGGAACGCTTTTCAATGCTAAAGACAATACTGACCGCCGGCCTCTGTCATGTGGCAGCTGGCCTGCAGCCCTGTCTGCCTGCAGAATCAATCTTAAGCGATTCGAGTGCCGATCGCTGCAAAACAATATTCATTGGCTTGCTCGTACGCAGCTGTCACGGTGACATCAAAGAGCTCTGTCTTGATTTGCGAAAGACTGTGAAGTTTTTGAAGAAATTCATGTCGAAAACGAAGAACAGTAGCGCCCAACGGCGTGTAGCCAATGATGAGCAGCAACTGGCCTGGGATGTGCTGACAAAGCTGGAGGAGAGCGACGACAACGAATCGAATGCAAGCGCTCTGATCATTGAAGTATTGATTCTGTTTGTGGGCCTGGCACAGTACACATCGTGCTGCCAGTTGCAGATGAGCATCCTAAATGATCTGATGGTCTGTCGCAATATGAAAAAGAACAAACAGAAGGTGGAATCTGAGGTAAGTACATACATACATGTGTACAGATACAGGCCCACATGTGATTGTAAAATTTAATTTTCTCAAACAGGAGGAGCCCAGCTGGCAGGAAGTGGTCACGGACATCTTGCTGCAGATGCTGCTGGAGACGGCTGCCCATTGGCGAGAATTTACAAACATAATTCTGAAATCGATGTTGCCATATCTCGGACAGGCGCACTTGATGCAAATGCTCCAGCGCCTGGATATGGATTCGAATCCTCTGGGCGAAGATGAGGACGAGAGCAGCAGCGATGAAAATGAAAATGAGGGAGAGAGCAATGACGATGATAATGACTCAAGCGCTGACGATGATGACAACTCCGAAGACGATGACGATGACAAAGACGAAAACGAGGACGAAGATGCAGCCATTTTGGAAGATAATGCCTTGGATAAACTTCGCGACTCTGTTCGCCGGGCACTGGAGAATGGCGACGAAGATGACGGGGAAGCTAGCAGCGTCGACTGGAACGATGTGGATGAGGAGAGTGGCAAGCGCCTGGATGAGTCCCTAGCGGCCATATTTAAGATGCGCCATCAGACGACGCAGCGCAAAAAACGTCCAACAAAATCCGATCGCATTAACAGCACCACCTTGCTGCACTTTCGTGTACGCGTATTAGACCTTGTCGAAGTCTTTGCCAACAAGAAGCCAACCATGGATGTAATCCTAGATGTGTTGCAGTGCGTTTTTCAAGTGTTTTGTCGCACCATCAACGACAAGGATCAGCGACCGCTCCACCATGCCAGCCAGAAGCTTCTGGCCAAGCTGATTAACAAGGAAATCACATTTGAAGAAGCCCAGGATCGTGGCCAGATAATTGTTGCCATTGAGGAGCTGTTTGCCGCCACAACTTCGGCATTGGAGGCCAGGCAAATTCGCGGTGCCCCGAACTCGCATGAGTTGCAACAGCAGCTGGTCATGTGGCGCGATAAAAGCTTTGCCGCCTTGATAACCCAGTGCTCCGAAAAGAATGATGTTGACAACAATGTGGCATGGCCACTGCTGAAAGCAAAGCTAAATGATTGGCTACCAGGGCGCAAATCCAAACAGCCGCTGTTCGGCTTTGAGGCCATTTTTCAGTTCAAGCCGACCTGGCCAGGCGTCAACCAATTGGTCGCTATATTAGTTTCGCATTTGAATGCCTCCACACATCCGATGAAACGCCTAATAATTTTAAAGCTATTGGCTGCTCACAAGAATCGCCTCAAGCCCACGGTCCACAGCCAAAAGGCTGTCATCAAGGGGCTAGAAAAATATGCGAAAAATGTATTGGAATCAGACCCCCTTACAGCAAGCACAGTTCAGGAGCTTAAGGCTCTGAAACAATATCTGAATCCCAAATTATTGGAGACCAAGGAAATACTGATGAAGATCTCCCAATCACTGGATGAATTTCACCAAAAGGAGAACACCGTAAGCGTAAATCCACTGCCGGAGATGATGCTCCAGTCGCCCCGAAGAAAACCAAGAAGAACCGTTCGACTTAATTTAAAAATTAAATTTTTTATGAAATAAATAAAATACAAAATATTTGTATCCCCTGTACTATATTAGTATATATTTTGACAATATAAAAAAAATGGTTGCGAAGCGTACCTGAACCACAATTTTTTTTTATATCCAAATAATACAAAAAAAAAATTATAAAAAAATATATATGTGTATACCTGTACTTTTATAAAGTTTATGCTTTTATTTGGTTGAATTAGAAGGAAACGAAAAAATATCCAGTCGGACTGTTTTCTGTAAAGGCCTCGACATCAAGATACCTCACACGGAACTCTGTTTATTTATGTATCTCTGTATATAGTATATATATTTGATTGTTGGGACTGCAATTATATAAGCTAATTTTGTTTATAGAAGCTAGCCAGTACAGCCATATTTAATATGTTTTAACAAGACGTATTAAAAAGACTTTAATATTTTTTTCTTAAATAAAAATGAATTATAATTAGTTTCACAGTTTATTTATTTAAAAAATGCGATAATATTGAATTTCAATGTAGGTGTTTCGTTCAACGTTGCCATTTTTCTCTGAGTGTATCGCCCTACATATTTTTAATCCCGCAGGGCACCCATCGTTCGCTGATTCATATTCGCTACATATTCACTTAATCCTACTATATTTTTTTACATAAAAAACAGATTTAAAACGATTATAAATGCTTTATCGAAACGTCCATTAACTTTAAGGAATTTATATAAAAGCTACTATACGATATAGTGGTCTGATCTTTACCAAATCTGCAAGAGATTTTTTAAAAGCACATTTAGTTATGCAAATTATGTTGGGCTATCCTAATTCAGAACAAAAAAATATAAAAATAAAATAGAATTTTGTCTCATCACGACTTTCATTTTTGGTCGATTGGAAGGAATCTGCCCATTTTTGTGCAACATTTCGTTGATAAAGGACATACATTTATAATTTATGGAAGTGCTCCGTTTTGCCCATTAGTTTTTGTCTTAAAAATAGAATACAAATAAACAAAATGCATAAAGAAATGAAAAAAGGGACCTGCAAACTGGGGTTATCTTGGACTGTTATGCTCTGCTCTATATACCTTTGGGAACCCTCGAATCTGTGGCGATGGCGGACGGAAAGTAAACGTGCTGTCGTAGTGCGCCGCCAATCCATGGAACCATGGTCTCGTTTTTGTTACCCCGTTTGTTGGCAACATTATTGATGACAATCGTCAGAATGTCAGCAATATGATCGCTTGGGTAGAGAAGAATAACGGTTAGGGGTTAGGGAAACATAAGGATTGGTGGATTCGAGAATGTGGATTGTGGATTACCTATCCGCATGCTCGACAATGGCATCGCACAGACACTGAATGAACCAGCTGCCGGTGTGGGTGTGTCGCATCGCTGCAAAACCGGGCACAGTGGACATTGCTCGCAGCATATTCAAGTGCTGGTCGGGTGACTTTGTGCTGGCATGGATCTTGTACTAAAGGACACACAAACAATCTAAGAATCATGGGAAATCATTTGAATGTGTGTTGACAATTTTCTTTTACCGGCAGGGCATTGTTGTTCTTGTCCTCCTGCTGGCACGCCTGAATGATGGCCAGCTTTGGCTTGTTGTACAGATTTTCATAGCTACAGAGTACATTCTCGATATCCGATATCCGCAGGGCAATGCTATTCGAGCCATAAACCGCCTCACCAAAGCCGTGCGACAGAATACACACCACCACCGAATCGTGCAGCAGTGACAGCTCACAGGCCTGCCGTATATGATGAAGCATCGAAAAGTGGGTGAGATTATCATGGGCCTGCACCTTGTAGCCGAGCGCGGAGAAGACATCAGTTAGCCGCTGCTTGTCCACATCGGTGCCATGGCGTGGCGGTAATGCAACTGGCGGCAAGTAGATCTGCAAGAGCAGAATGCAAAAACACTTTAGTCACTGGCCAACGACAGTAGTGGCATACAATGGATTCTGGTTCCTTTGGCACCTTGAGATCATCGTTGACATCCCGGTGAAACTTTTGCTGGTTGATTATCAGCGCAATTCCAGCATTCTCGCGACTTAGCTGAATGGCATTCTGTGCCCGCTGTCGGGACGACGAAGCCGTTGAGCTGGAACTTTCGTTGGCCAAGCCACTGTAGACCACGGTCGGCAGCACATTCGGTTTTGCCGAATCGGATGTCTCACGATTGGGGGACACCGAAGTCGGAGCGTGGGCGAGAATGGACGTGGCATTACTGTTGACCGTATCGACGAGCAGAGTGGCCTGGGCACACAGATCGTTTAACTTGAAGTATTCGATTAGCAGCTGCACATCACTGCCGTTAGCATTGATGTCGCCCAGCCGTATCAGACGCCGCGTCATCCAATCAAGCATGAAGATCTCCAGATGGGCCGAGTTATAATAGCGTAGCGGATCCCCGGCCCTGACCTTATCCCTGATATCCAGCACCATGTGAGCGCTCTGGGCCAGTGTCAACTCCTCACAGATCGTGTAGAGGCTCTTTAACAGCGGATGAATGTGCAGACTGATGCCACCAATGTGGGGTAGGTAGTGCATGCGCAACTCCTGCCACCGCAGGCCAAGTTTGCGCAAAACCTGGCGCGCCCCGATGATGCACAGAGCCTCCACGAGATTTTGGTGCCAGGATTGAGGCTTGTATTTGGCATACTGGCTCAAGATGTCGCTGTGCCGCCAGTCGGTTGCGCGGGCCAGCACCAGGAGCTTTTGCAAAATATACGTAGCACTGGAATGCTCGTCGCCGTACAGCAGAAAGGACAGGCTGACCTGAAGTAGACAAACGGATTACAACGTGATTGTGATCTGTGTCTGGGCTACGCTACCCACCTTCTGAGCAAAGTTCAGATCGCGCTCCACATAGGGCAGATCGAGGACATCGATTTTCTTCAATTCCGCCAGAAGATTGTGGCCACTCATGGTCTTGAGCGGGGAAGTACCAAATAGCGAACCGCAACCACACCCCACCGAACACACCGAACACACGCAATAGCGATGGACCACCACATGACGGAAAACAGCTGATCGATCTCAGCAATCGGCAGAGCTATCATAGCAAAAAGGCAAAAAAAACTTCGAGTGCGAAAGAAGTTCAAATAGGTTTGAGAAAAAAAAATTTGTACCAAAAGGGTAATGCCTCAAAGGGTACAACAAAAACACATCAATTTACAGGCATTATATTACTGTCCGATCATGGACAGGGACAGTCTAACCCATTGTCGACCAGTGGGTATTTCGTTTTATGCACGACCATTATGAAACTTGAAACACTCTTTACTCAGATGAAAGTGTGGATCTACAAGAAAAATTCAAAAAAGAGTATTATTTTCCGCTGCTGAATTAAAGAGTTTTCACTGTTTGAAAGGAGCCGGGGTCCCTTTACTCCACCTTAGGCACACTTGGGTTAAGTTCGTTTCGACATTTACATTTTTTCTATAATTTTGCTGGAATTTTTAAGTATTTTCTTCTTTTCCAGTATTTTTGGAAACGCGTGATGTCATAATCCACAAATGTAGAAAACGTGTAGAAATGTCATTTAGAGCCATGTCCCAGGGCAAATCGAGTACTAATTCGTGATCTGCATCGAATTCCTGACCGTTCGGCATCCCAATATCAATATTTTCAAAAATTTCCGAAAGAAGGACACACTGCCGCTGCCATTCTCCTATGAAAACTCGGTATAAAAACACCGAAAAATTTTATATTTATACATAGTGGCTATATATCGATCGGCAAAATTTGTTCTGAAACGTACACATATCCTCGTTAGGTTTTTCTGTCAAATTTTATATGAATATGTAGTTAATTTGTAGCAAATGTGTAGTTAGCGTGTAGTTACTATGTAAAATATTAATTTTGCCATTGATTAAACCTAATTTTATGAACAATCAAATGGAAATGAGCACTTAAAATAAACAAATCTTTTGCGAAACTAATCAATTTATCGAACAAAATTTTATGATCAGTGCTGAGGGCTCCGGTAATTAGGATTTCCCAATCCGAATATCAAAATCAGGGAAATGGATCCACTTGGGCCCATTTTTTTCGGTATATTTACGGTATGTTTTAACAATGATACGGAATATTTTGGTGAGGGTATATTTTATCGAAAAGTCTGCGGTCACACTGATTCAAGTAGAAACGTCACATTTAGTCAACATTTACGTTTTATGCTTTGGCCGTTTTTGTTTGAAACCTGTTATCTAAACAATCCCATTAAAAATAGCTCTGAAAACTAGCCAATCCTAAACAAAATTCATTGAGGAATTGAATAAAATTATTTTTTTTGGGCTGAGAGGGCCAAGTATCTAGTAATATTAAACTGAATATCAAAATTGACGAATTTCATATCACAAAATATCATGGTATGGCAGCCCGCTGCAACTACGAATTGCACGAGTCTGGCAACGCCACAAAAACACGTCACATTCGTCTTATGTTGTTTTTGTTTGAACTTTAATATGTAAATAGTCCAATAACAAGGACTTCTGAAAACTTGCCAATCTTGTAGAAAATTTATGTATCTATGGGATAAAATTAATGTTTAGGGCTGAGAGGGCTAACTAGCTAGTAATAGTAAACTGAATATCAAAATCATGGATTACGATTTCAATCAATAAAATAGAACGTTATCCCATTGTCGACCAGCGGGGTATTTATTATTTCCACGAAATTTATGTAACTCTAACATATATTACGCATTACAGGTGAAAGATGTCGGTGGTTATTTTTTTTTGTAAGTAAAGAGGAGGATGGAGCTACATGGAGCCTTTGCAAACAGTATTATTTTCCGCGGTTTAACAAAGAGTGCTCAAATTTTTAAATAGAGGGGTGCTAAGTGGGTTAAGTCTCGTTTGATCGCCGTAGCTCTGGTTTTTTTATGGTGTGGTATTTAAATAGTATATCTCAAAACTAAAATGGTAATTAATGGTATTTATTGTTCGGCCGGATGGTATTTTTTATCGTTATCGTCACGGTCACGCTGGTGGTCACACTCAAGTAGAAACTGTTAAGTTGAACTGTTCATATGTTGGACGAAGAAGTTTTATTAATTTAATGTATTTGTATATTGTATTCTGTCTATGAGCGTCACAGAATGAAGAAAAGGGAGAGAGAGAGAGAGACATACTGTGGCCAGGGCCACAGGCAGAAAAACAGAGCGAAAGCGAGCCCCAGACCCGCACGCATACACATACAATACACCTAACCACACGTGCATGTACATATATGTATATATAGCAAAAGAAAAATCTTGAACTATGCATTTGACATACGAAATGCTATTTTTTTCGTCCCTATACATGCATATATGTACAATTGTATGAATGTGCACACACATCTACTGCGCCGCTAATACGATATACATGCAAATGTATGTCAATGTATATGTATAGCTTCATATAGTTCCTATATATACATACATATCTTTATTCACCTACTGTACCACTTCCATTATGTAAGCAGAGCGGGAACGACGCCAAAAAGCGACAAGAAACAACAAAGAAAAAACTACAAGAAACCCAAAAAAAACAAAGCAAAGAACCCATCACATAACCGAAAATCAATCGAACAGAAATGTTATAAATCACTAAAAGTTGTAAATGTTCCATCAAAACGTAAGAGAAAATGTTTTTCAGGGCTCAAAATGTTTGTGGTTTTGGCCTAATGCTGCTGCTATTGATGCATTTGTATGTATGTATGTATGTACATGCCTACATATGCATATGTGTGTGTAAGCTGTTCACAATAATTCCTCAATGCCACGCCCCATAATCGTCACCAAGTGAGAGGGAGATTTCCGATCGTTCAAGGCTTATGTACATACAGACATACGTATGTATATATGTATGCTCCAAACCCCCCTCGCCCTTTGCAGTCTGATCGCTGCGTAATTTTCTACATGTGTGTGTATACGTGCATGCAAACTGCGCAGATGCGCCACACAGAAACACTCACAAACACACACACACCTTAAACATTCGCCTCATGCGGCTTCCTCCCCCCTTTCACCATTCTTTTTGTGGAACAGCGACAACAATCATAATTAAGGAAAATAATGCCAAGTGTCAAAACATAATTCACAATTATACTATGTATGTATGTACACATTTTTTAACTTCATCTACACAGCCACACACACACACACGCATGAAATTTCGTACAAGCAAGCGCACGCATTTGAAAACGGGAGTCTCAGTTCGTAGCTGCGCAAGCGAGACAACATGATAAACATACCAAAAAGTCAGAATGAAACAAATACACACACGCGCTAGCGAGCGTGCATGTACATATGTATGTATGTATGTACTGTAATAGTAGTTATAGCTCGAACTTTCGCAAATCTAAAATGTCAAGTACTTAAAACACCATGAGAGATCTGTACAAACAACAATGCAATCATTATCTATGTATGTACATGTACATACATACATATGGTTATTGATTGAAAGCTGAGCGCACGCACACGAATACAGACGCCATATTTACATATGCATGTGTGGGTTACAGTGGAATAAATGCAAAATAATGTGGAGTGTTGTTTATCGAAGATCCGTTTACTGGCGACAGCACCAAACGGTACTTTTCCCCACCTCCCCACACACACATACACCCACACACAGAAGCTGAAACCATTGTTTATTCAACTTTATATTATTTCCATGAAGAAATTCCCCAGTTACTTGAGTGGCATAACATAACTGTTAGATCGTATAAAAATAAGTGAACAAATAATGGATTATACAGGGGTTATTCTGGTACTTAATTCTCTCTGCCTTTCCTCTCATGCTGTGACGTAATATTATGTATATGTATTACTAAAGAATTTCAGTTCTATATTTGGGAAATTTCTGTAAAATATCCCTGATCCTTCTATGACCTTTCCTTTATGCATATCTCTCTCTCTCTTTTGGCTTTGTCTATCTGCAGAAATCGTTGATAAACTTTAAGGTTAGAATTTATTGATACAAAAAATGTCGTCATCGACTGTGGCCGTGATTGATTTGGCCGAGGATCTTGAGGATGGCGAAATCGATGATGATGAGGAGGAGGAGGAACCGCCACCGCAACAACAAAAAGAACAGCACCAACAGAAGACCCAAAACAACGACGATGAAGTGCAGTTTGTGGGCATCGAAATGGCTGGCCAGAACAAAAAGAATTGCGACGAGGATGTGGTCTTTATGGGCCTCGCCATGGATGTGGGTGGGTCGCCCATCAATAGCAAGCCAAAAAAGCCACGCCCTCTCGAAGGTAACCCTAACCCAATACCCACACCACCCCCCAAACGGGCTAAGTTCTCACTCTTAAATCTCACCTCGTACCATCCAGATGATCATGCTTCCAACATCGAGAATGCCATTGCCAATGCACTGAAAAAAAAGGGCATTGAACCGCCCATGCCCAAGATGAGATCCCTGCATAGTGAGACGTCGGCCACCGGCGTCGAGGGCGGCGCTGGTGAAGGTCCTGGTGGAGATCCACTGACCGCTGTATGGACAGCCAGTCGTGGCAACAGACGCCGCAATCGCCAAAAAAAGAAGCGTGAACGCGAGAAAAAGGATCAAGAGCAACAAGTAAGTCGCTGTCGCCCCAGTTCCATGCACATTATTAGCTGATTGGCCGAAGCGTGACCCAAAAATCTGCACCAAAAGCCTGACCGATCGATCGTCACAGATGAGCTCTTGCGCCCATGGGGTGTAAACGGCATACAGTTAGTAGCCAGAACTCAGACGGGCAAGAGATCACATACGTTTAGCTGCTCAATGGGTGGCCTGAGCTGGTTTAGGATCACTCTGGTGGGTGGGACAGCAGCAGTATTCGTCCTCATACCGTTTCATATTCATCCCCTCAGACCCCACTAGATCCTATTAGATCCTCTAACCATATCTAATCCCCTATTTATATGTCTGTCAACAAGTCTCCGATTTAGAAGCTATTGTTTCCTTTTTACAGAAACGCGCCCGTCGCGATGATGACGATCTTGCTGTCGGTGGAGGGGCCAGCGATGACATGGACATGGAGTACGAGATGATGAATGTGCGCGGTGGCAGTCCCCCGCCCCCAGGACCGACAAGCACAAGTGCGTCCAGCCAGCCGGGGGTTTCGGGTGCTGGTGGTGGCGGCTATGATTCCGCCCAGGATATGTACAGCAGCTACGATTCCTATTCAGATGAGGATGGCCCTGCTGCCGGCAGCCAGAGGCGTCGCCAGCGCAGAGATCGCGATAAGGATCAACGGGGGGGACGCAAGCGTCGCGATCGCGATCGTGATCGTGACCAGGATCGTCGACAGGGTGATGGCGGCGGAGGAGGTGGATCTGCCAGCAAACGTAGCCGCCGCGACTCTGGCGACAGCCCAGTGACCGAAAAATCCGGCCGCGTCGAGCCCCGCAAATTGGAGCTGTGCAAATTCTATTTAATGGATTGCTGCGCGAAGCGTGACAAGTGCTCCTACATGCACAAGGAGTTTCCCTGCAAATATTACTACTTGGGCATGGAGTGCTTTGCCGGCGACGAGTGTTTGTTCCATCACGGCGAGCCTCTGTCGGAGCAGCTGCGCAACATACTGCTCAAGCACATGGAGACGGCACCTAAGGAGATACTCGGCGACTTTAAGCGCATCTCCCGTGAGGTGGCCCTGGGGCAAATGACCCGACGCCATGAAGGCGCTCTGTGAGCAGTTTGGACGCGACAACAATTGGACCACGCTGGCCAGTGCCGGTGTGTGTCGCCGTATAGATCAGCAGCTCCCACAGCAACAGCAGAAGAATCTGCAACAACAGCAGCAGCAACAGCAACAATTGCAGCAACAACAACAGTTGCAGCAGCAGCAGCTTGCGCTTCAGCAGCAGCTTTTGCAACAGCAGCAACAGCTTCAGCAACAGCAACAGGCACTGGCTCTACAAACAGAACAGCAGCTGGGAGGGTCCATCCCATCTCTCCTAGACATGGTCATCAATCCACCCGCCGTAAATGAATCCAAGCCGGAAAAGAAGCGCAAATCCCGCTGGGCTGAAAAGGCTGAAAAGCCCAAGGGAGGAGCAGCAGCAGCTGGAGGAGAAGCAGATGCAGCAGCAGCAACATCACCAGAAGTTTCTGCAGAAACCACAGGCGAAGAAGATCCCATCAAAGCAGCTACCACCAAGGTGCTGTCTCCACATTTAGATCTAGTGAATCTCAAGGATCTGCTACCCGCCGACCATATGGCAAAGCTGAAAAAGCTGGGCATCAGCAATCTAGAGCAGATGCTCGAAGTGCCCTTTGGCCAGCTGACGGAGGTGGGACTGACGCTCCCCGAGATTGGGGATATACAGCGCAAGGCATTGGAGGCCAAGGAAAAGGCAGAGATCAAGTCAGAGCCAGAGGCAGCAGCAGCAGCAGGAACAACAGCAGCTAGCAGGTGAGTCCAGCTAAGCAAAGTCCTTACGCCTAATTTAATTTATATTTTCATTTTGAACCCGACAGCAGCAATACTGCAGCCGTTGCGGAGGTGAGCAGCAACTCCAACAGCAATAATGGTTTTATTATGGTCGACTACACTCAGTATCTAAAGGATGCCCATGTTAGCTTCACCAGCAACGATCCACGTAAGAATCCCTAGCCACTAATCCTTCTGTACCTTCTTTTAATGCACCATTCTCTCCTTTCAGTTGACGATGATCGCGACGATGAGGAGCAGCTGGTGATTGATGATGGCAACGATTCGGCGGGGGAGGAAGAGGAGGCGGCATCATCACCGAAGGAAGACGAGGCACCACCAATGCCATCCGTCTTTGATTTGCCCACATTTATGAGCAACATGATCGGCGCGAAGCCAGTCCGCCTCTCACCAGAGACACAGCGGCAGCCCACCACCACACAGAGTGCCACCTCTCCCTCACAAGGCTCAAACGATTCGACTGGAGCGGGAGTGGGAGTGGAAGCTGTTGCTGGAGCAGCAACAGCAAAGGAAGAACCAGAGAGTGTCAACGATGCGAATAGCCTGTTCAGTCGTCTACTGTTTGGGGACAAGCCACCTGATCCTGTGACCCGCGCGGCCTTCTATCGCGACATCATACGCAATCCGTTCAAGGCACACAGCGGTGACGGTGACGGGGACGTGGACTCTGCCAATGAGAACTCAAACTCGAATTCCAGATCTCTGACGCCCACGCCAACACCCGAACCGGGATCACAGTCGCCCAAACAGTCGCTCGATATGCCCACAACGATGCCCATGGCAATGGCAATGACAATGAAGCTGCCATCGCTCGTCAAGTCGGAGCCAGAGCAAGCGCCCACGCCCTCACAATACGAGCGCCCCTCCCTATACGACTACGATAAGGTGAAGGAGGAGAAGCGTGAGGCAGCTAACCGTCTTGAGGCCAAGTCAAGTGCGATCCTGCAGCGTGACATTGATATGCGTCTGCCGTTCGAGCCGATACGTCACTACCGTCCAGCCACCGAGATAGATGCGGCCATCTTTTCGCACATGCCCATGCGTTGGGAGGTAAACGAAGTGGAGGTGGAGGAGCCAAACTTTACCCAGCTACGTCTGGGTGCCGCCCACAAGGAGGACAAGGAGGTGCGCGATCCACGCATGCGTCGCATTCTTGGACTGCCCGACCATTTGTATGCGACCGAGGAGTCCCAGTATGGTGAATCGTCATTGAATCGTTCCAACAGTTATCTCTCATCGCCCGAATCCGGGCCCAGATCACCAATGGGACGCGATGCCACACCCACATCGCCACCACCGCCAAGCTTCGGTCTTGGTCTTCCATCGATGAGTGTGCCACCGCCATCGATGAGCCTGCCGCCACCCAATCTGCTGTTAGCTGCCAATAAGGCTGCTGGCGGTGTCCTCCCATTAGCGACAAACGTACGCGCAGATCCGCGTCGTGATCCCCGCCGTTCCCATTTGCAGGCCCAATCAGCGAGCACTTCTTCCGGCTCGCCCATAGGCACGGTGACGGCCACTGCCACTGCCACCACCAATGCCACTGGTGGCACCACACAGATCTCCGAGATACGCAGCATATTGCAGAACTCCAGCTGGTACAAGGATCTGGGGAGCAACAACAAGATAATGGTCAACCAGCAGTTGGCTCTGGTCTTCACCGAACTGAAGAAGTACCACCAGCAGCCAGACGGTGGCTGCAAGACCTTCGATGTCTCCTTCATTGTGAACAACCAGACGCTGCAGCAGATCTTTTCCAAGCTGGGCATATATATTGATGATAATGGACAGGTGGTACATCTGGCCGATGATCAGCCAGTCCAGAACATGATCGCCAGCATGGCCATGGGTCCCGCTGGAGTTGGAGTCGTGCTACCTAACCTATCGCAGCCGCCGCCAAATCTTGCCCAATTGCTGCGCCAACCTCCGCCAAATCTACTCGCCGGACGACTATCCAATGGCATGATGATGCAACAGATCGGCATGCCCCAGCAGTTCAATCAGCCACCGCCACGACCCAATGTTGGCATGGGTGGCATGATGGGTGGCGGTGTAATGGGTAATAATGTTGGCAATGGCATTGCCGGGCAACTCGGCGGCCTCATGGGCAATGCCAACAACATGAATAATAACAACAGCAACAATCCGTTCAATCCATTCGCTGGTAACAATGGTGGCGGTGGTGGAGGAGGTGTAGGTGTAGGTGGAGTTGGGAACGGAAATGGAAACGGAAACGGAGGCGGTGGCATGGGAAATATCAATCAAATGAACAACAACCTCAACAACATGGTTATGGGTGGTATGCCGTTTAACAATGGCATGTCCTTTAATAATAACAACAACAAGAACTTTAATAACAACCATAACAATGGTGGTGGAGGTGGAGGCGGAGGCGGAGGAGGAGGACGCTTTTCTGGTGGCGGCCACAACAATCGGAACAGTCGCGGTGGAAACAACCGACATCGCAACAACATTTAAGTCGATCAAAAGAATGGATTCAACAACAAACAAACAAAAAAGACTTGTTCAATACCAAATGATGGACCCAACCCGCGTCCCTGCCTTGGCCCACGGCCCCACCTTCCGCATGTGATTCTTCCCCAAACTCATCAACTGACCATTGGGGACCTCTGGGATCTTTACCCAGACCTCCAAAAAAAAAAAAGACACAAAGAAAGATGGGGGTTTTGCCTGCCCCCCCACACACACACCCACACAAAAAACAAAACGAAAGAAAACCTTTTAAACTCCAACAATGAAGAACAGCAATTAATGGGCTTTGACTGCTATGTAAATGTATTCTCTAATTCCTAAAGCATCGGTAAATAATTTACATTATTTAACACGTTTATTTTTTTTGCTAGCTATAAGGTTATCCCTACAACTAGGTACTGATAAAATGTAATTACAAGCAATCCGCCAAGCTGGAAAAAAAGAAAACCAACAGGAATGCATGATTTTTGTACGACTTTTCAAGTCAGAAACTTAAATATATTACGTTTAGATGTAAGGAATTGTATATTAGAAGTGTATCTATACAAATAAATACAAATAATATAAAAACGGAAATGAGTAATCATTACGAAGAACTGAAAACAGCCCGTCAAATGTAGTTTTAAACGATTTTTCAACGATCGATAAATATCTCAATACAGATTATTTATATAGCTTAACAACTTTAATACATTTTTGAACTGCTAATGGAAATGTTTAAAAAATTAATCCTGTAAATAGTTTCTGCAATGCAATCGATATTTAGCGTTAATTTATATAATAAAAAGAACTAGGTCGTTATTAGTTCCAGTTGCTTTATTAATAATAAGTAAGTATTTTGTTATATCATATCATACCTACAATAATATAAAGTAGATGTTAAAAAAAGTATTTCAAATGCACAGAAAAAATTGATTTATGATTGCGATTCTTATCTGTTCCGTTGTTATGTAAAACAATTTTGTGTTCCAGCTCTTTTAAGATAGTTCATTTTTTGCATATTCAAAATAATTTCAACAGCTTTAATTGAGCATCTCAAATGAACGAAATAGTAGAGCCAAAGATCCAGATGAAATGAACGAACGATAGAGCTGAATAAACATCGATGGGTTCTTTGATGGAAAACATCGACTAAAACATCAAGTTGGGAGATTTTTTTAATCAAAAGATAAAAGAACGGTGCTCATGTAAAATAATAGAACGATTCATTGAAAAAATACAAAATAAAGCTTCATTTCATGCGCAATCCTGTTTTCAATATTCGATTTGTGCGGCAGCATGCTCCAGCACCATGCAAAACCTTTGAATACCCTCTAGGAAAAGAGCCTATTATAAATTGATGCGATTTTTTTTTTAAGTATGTATCACAGAGGAAGTGCAAATTCTCAGAGACTATAAGAGCTAGAGCAACCAAATTTTGTTTCCAGCCTTATGTGATATTACACTGTTATGAAAATTTACTCATTCTCTCTTTCGCTCGCACACACTCTGCCCTGTGCGGTGCGCGACCTTTGCGGAGAATCTACATTGTAGATGTATAGTCTACATTTTAGATGTTTAATCGACATTGTAGATGTTGATAACATATGTAGCTAAAATATGTAATATGTAAAGTATTTTAAAACTCTACATAAATCATAAGCTCACAAATGTATATACTGACTGAGTAAGGGAAATCAATTTTGTCTTCATTTTTTTTTTGTAAACAGAGCTTAATGAAGGGTTCTTTGATGGAAAAATAGAATCAATGTTTTAGCAGACTTTAAGGAGAGAACTTTGCAAAATCACTCAAAAGTTAAAAAAAAGAAAATATGCTCTAGATAATTTTGATAAAAATTATCATTCAATAAATATTTATTTCAGGTTTTAGGAAATTTAATCAATCAACATGTTAGAAAAAGGTAAGTTAGTTACCTTATATTGATTAATAAGTACTAATAATAGTAGCTTTTCTGTTTTGCTAACGGCAAATTGTATTGTATGTTATGAATATACAGTTTGGTTTATGTATATGAAGTTATGTTATATATTTAGTGTATATGTTGTGTTCTAAAGAGCTTACATTTCGGAAAGTTTTTGGTAATAATATTGATAATAATATGGTAATCATATTCTGAGCAAGCTATTGTGTCTAAAGTTGAAAGTTTACAAAGTGTTTACAAAGTGATCGCAATGTTTCATGTTTCTTAATGTTTATTATTTCGATTTTAATCAATTTTGCTTTCATCATCAGATGCAGCTTTCAGCTCTTTTAAGACCCGGCGCCTGGGATACTGGCCTTGGATAGAGTTCTGAAAACTAGCCAATCTTGTACTAAATTTATAGATGAATTGAATAAAATTATTTGATTAGGGCTGAGAGGGTTAACAAGCTGGCAATATTAAATCGATTATCAAATTCGAGGAATATGTCGTGTCCGTCAGTATATTTACGGCATATTTTGAAAATGACGTTTCTGAGGTTCCAGTCACACTCGACAAAACAAATCAAGTGAAATATTTATTTTTCAATATATAAAGATACTTTTCAAAATGACCGCCAAACTCAATTTAGCGCACCAAAAATATTGACATATTTCGCTCTCAATTCATGGAGAGTTTGCAAAACTCGCATGGGGAAATGAATTAGCAGCATTGTTGTGCAACTTTGGCACGGAATGAGCAACAATCTGCATACCTTGGGAAAATGGATATTATGGACTTGAGATATTGTTTGTAATTTCAGGCTCCAATTAATGCAGAAACTACTCAGTCTCTGTTTTAAAGATATTAACGAAATTTTTGTTAAATGTTAAACGGAATATCAAAATCGAGGAATATCATGTCACAAAATATCATGGTATGGCAGCCCGTAGCAACTACGAATTGCACGAGTCTGGCAGCGCCTCAAAAACGACGTCACATTCGTTTTATGTTGTTTTTCTTTGAACCTTAATATGTAAATAATCCAATTAAAAGGACTTCTGAAAACTTACCAGTCATGTAGAAAATTAATGTATCTATCAGCTAAAATTATTTGATTAGGGCTGAGAGGGCCAACTAGCTAGTACTATTCAACGGAATATCAACATCGAAGAATATTGTCGTGCCCCTAGGTATTTTTACGGTATATTTCGAAAATGAAAAGGTGTATTTCGGTATATTTCAGAGGGTCAGACTAGGTTTTTTCAGCAACTTCCTGGTCACACTGGCACAGCGAGAAGAAACAAAAAAATTGCGGTGAAAGGAAGTTGTAGCGCCGCGCAGTGCATTTTTTTCTGGTAATTTTTTTGCTCCACCTTGTAAAACTACTGTTTTCTGCCAAATTGAAAGAATACAAACAACAAAGCGAACAGCTTTAACAATATTAATTGAAATCATAATGTGTGCGAAAGCAAGTTAAGTTGAATAAAACAAGACAAAGACGTTGTGTGTGCCGATAGCGAAATAAAACCCCAAATACAATACACATACACACTCACAGGCATCACACAGACACAAAAACACATGTATATATAGGGCCCTGTAATGGTTTCTAGCGTGACGTGAAGTGTATATAATAACGAAAAGCAGCTGAAGAGTAGCTGAAAAAACGAAACGAAAAGAGAAAATAATGATAATGGAAAACACGCAGAGACAGTGTGAAATATGCGAATATGCAGAAAATCGTCCTCTTGTGCACCATTTTCAAATACATGCGTAGTTGTAGTATATTTATGCATTCTATCTAGTACAAGCTTCAAGTTTTCTTTTTTTTAATACATTTTTTGTTCGTTGAATCTCACACAACCACACACTCGCAATCATACATGCGTGTATGTGTGTGTATGTCTTTACTATGAAGAAGAGCCAGCGAGTGGAAGCGAAGAAGGGTAGGCGGTGTGTGCACGGGTACTCGCTGTATTTGTTTTATTTTTTGTTGTTTTTTTTTTACTCTATACTTTTGCTGTTGTCTGTGTGTTTGTTATTGAACAAAATGGTAAAACACAACAACAAAAAACAGTTATGTGCAAGTGTGTCTTTTGATGGTGTGCCCATTGATGTTGTCGTTTGAAGTCTGTACCACTCCTGTGGCTCTGGGCCTGCGGCTTCTACGTACACACTGCCTGGCCGGAATATTGAGCCATGTTGTAAAATTCCACTCAGCCTTGGTAGAGGCGTTACTTGCTTTTCCCAGCAACACAGCGCAGCAAAGGCAAAAACAGCAGCAAAAATGGCAACGTCGTCGCACTCATACACACATACATACACAGCCCCGCACACACTCAATGGCATTCACACAAACGTCCTCGTCTGCTACTCGCCGCTGTATCTTTTCTTTTTTTTTTTTTCTTTACGTGTGTGTGCGGCTTCGATGACGAATACGTGTGAGTGAACCAACATGTGTGCGTGTGTGTTCAAGAGTGCCTACGTGCGTGTGTGTGCGAGGCTGGCTTTTTTGAACCCGCGTGCCGCTCTCCCCTCTGTCGACTTACAAACGTTTTTCTCAATTCATGCGCTTCGTTTTTCTTGTCTTTTTTCTTTTTTTTGTTGTTGTACAAACTCAAACACATACTGTTTTCATTTAGTTAACCGTTGCTAGTAATACATAGCCGAAAACATACAAGCGGAAGATACATAAATACATAATAATAAAGCAGAAAGCGGTAAGCAGCAACAGTAAGTTCGAAAAAAAACTTGTACACCTGGACATAAGCCACAAACAAAAAAATTGAGTAATTGCTGCGTGTGTGTGTTCGAGTGTATTTATTTATTTCGTGTATTTGTGTAAAGAATAGTACATATATTTGAGCATATCTTTTTGCCCTCAACTGTGGTATATACAGAAAATTGACTGGAGAATGCAGACTTATAAGCAACAACATATGCATACAGTCGCGTCTAGCCAGAGAGCGACAGCCGTGTACCTGAAATTCCGTCCCTTGGGGTGCATTTTACACATTTTGGTTCCGTTGCACATCCGCTTGACTACCTAGCCAAAATGTATGCATATTCTGTATACCAATTTCCGGTTTCTGAACCCATATAATATGTTGTATCTATAACATGAGATTATTTTTTTGGGTCTATGCTGCCTTGAACAAGGGGTTTGGAAATTGAATTTATACAAGTTCTATTTGCAAACCAGCTAAAGTGCATCAATACCTTCTAACTGCAAATATGCATATTGCATGGTCTCTAGTTTTGAATAATTTGTGAAATTAAGTAGTGATTTTATATACATACAGATATTTCTACCATAATGAGTGAAATCGATGGTTATTCTGTTGTTGTAAACGACTAGCACAATATTTCGCTGCAAGACTGTCTTCGTGTTTGTGGTAATCAGCTGTCACATTGATGCGAAACACGACTGTGGTGGCGGCATTGCCAGCTGTTATCGCAGTAGCGGCGTGTTGTGGTTTGTCTGCCTTGTGGCAGTATCTGCGTGGATAAGATATGGAATAATTTACCTTTGACGTGCATGTCTTGTCTGCCATATGTGCAATGCATACTTAAAACAATCAATTAAGTACAAGAAATTAAAATCAGAGAGTGTGAGCGAGAGAAGAAGGTGAAAATAAATCCAGCGATCGATTTATGCAAAGTCAAAAACGCGTGCCGATCGATCCGATCATCATTAGCGAGACCTGGGACCCGTGAGGGGAGGCGACACGCGCCTACGCGCCTGTCGATTTGGCTTTAGGATTGCAAATTTTATGATCCACTTTCCATTGAAGAAAAGGTGCAAAATATGAGAGAGCGAAAGGATTCCCTTAAGCACAGGTAAAGCCCAGGACAAGCGACTCTCTTGCTGGATTTGCTCACGCTCTTGTTGCTCTCTGGCTCTCTGGCCCTCTGTCTCTCTCTCTCTCTGTTTCTCTCTGTCTCAAATTCTCCAGCTGCCGTTTGTTGCAGCTGGCGGGGTGAGGGAGAGCGTCTGTGGAGGAGCAGCTGCTGCTGCTTAGCTGAGCTTCTCTCTTTCTACTCTTTAAACACATTACCTCTCTCACGGCCATTCCCCTTTCCAGCGGCCAATGATCGTATGGCGTTTCCATTATATTGGAATGGCGCCGCATCCCCCTCCATCCCCCCCACCCCAAACAGGCAGAGGCCGTTACACCGTTTTAACCTGCAAATGGGCCCCGTTTAACCAGTGCAGGTTTCACTGTAAGCTGCTGGACAGCCAATACTCGGATGTGTTTTTGTCATTTCAGTGAAACGGCCTGGCCGGGCACTGTCTTGTTCCTGGTATTTATTTTACATATTTACATATGTATGTAATTTATGCCATTGCAGATTTTGATCAGAGGTTTGTAACGCGTAGAAAGAAGCAATTCCCTGATGTGTTACTGCCACGCATTAAAAAGATCATTAGAAGATCGTTCTTCAATTGTATACAGGCCACTTTCAAGGTGGCTCTAGGTGTTCCATAATCCAAAAATCAACTTAGTAGCTCTTCGATGAAGCTATACTTTTCAAACTCAGTCGGCAAATTATTCGGGGGTTTCTAGTGTTGCTGGATCTAGATGGGGGTTCTATATTAATGCTGACTACATCATGTTCAGGAACTCTACTATATCTGTTACGCCGATCCCATTATATTTCTGCCGTATTATCTATGGATACTGAAAGAAATTCAAGTGTTTCTATATCTCAATCTCTATGTGAGAGCATAGACAATACACATCAGCAAGACTCTGGATTCAAGAAAAATATATCAATACCCGAACGCTGTTATCAGCTGGCGTTGTACTCTGGTGGCCATAAATATATGCACACGTTGTGGTAGCTCCCATATACACACATATGTATGTATGTAGATATTTACACAACTGTGCTCTACTTACTGCCCAAACTGTTGGTAATTAATTCGTTCGTTGTTTCTAAAATTATTTATTTATTTCCACTAAGCTTCTTCAACTTAAAACTAAAGCTTCAGTGGATAAGGTGCCGTACTTACTATGGCCTCTGACTGGTTTCTAAAGTAATTTTAAGCAAGATCTAATATTTGTAGTTGGTTTTTCCTTAATGTCGGATCACAATTCATATATCTATGTACAGTTGTGTTCAATGAGATAGCAGTGCCGCACCTCACTACTTTCAAAACTCTTTTTTAGATATTTCTAGTCCTTCAAATTGGAACAAGTGATGCCTCTACGGAAAGCATGGAATGTAAGCATTAGAAACTCGAAGAAACTCCGTTAAATTTGCATTCTATCTTCTTGTTTTTCATGACTTAAGACAACTACCTGTTCAATGAAATAGTAGTGCTGGTTTAAATTAATTTTTTAAGATGAAAAAAGAAATTTTTATTGAAATAAGGCTCAATTTAAATATCAACCCCGCCGCCTGATAATTTGCTGAGAAGGAAAGTTTTGGACAGGGGGGGCAGGGAGTACTTTTGATTTTGCAGCGTTGAAGGAATCATCGCTCGGTCCAGACAGATACCTAAAACCAGAGTTAGACTAAAAATTGCTCTAGCAGGAGTTATAATGAGATTGAAAACTAAGCTGTAGCACTCTCATATATTGTATTTAACCCAATTAATTATAAGAAGTACATACTTTAAAATACATAACATTCATATTACAGATGAAAAATTCCTGTAAAAAGGATTTTTTAACCGGATAATGACTTGAAACACCCAGAAAAGGTCGCTAGGAATTGATTTTAATCGGAAAAAATCGACGTTTTGCCATGTCCAACTGGATATTTTTCTCATCGAAATCTTACCAAATTGATTAAAAACTAAATATTAAAGCTAAAGAAACATGAAGAACATTAAATATATGTTTTCATTTCAGTTTCGTTGTTTTTGTTTTTTAATTTTCTAAAAAACACTACTATTTCATTGAAAAAAAAAGATGGAATTCAAATTTATGGATATTTCTTCTGTTTTTTAATGCTAACAGTCCAGTCTATTTAAAAAGGTATAATTGGTTAAATTTTGATAACTGGAAGTGTCTCAAAAGGAGTTTTGAAAGTGATGAGGTGCGGCACTACTATTTCATTGAAGACAACTGTATGTACCAAGTGAATGGAGAAGGCGCAGGATTCATCTTCAAGAATTTTCCTCTTTTTCTTTTGTTTTCCCCCCTATATCGTTCTCTAGATCGCTCTAATTTCTGGCTCAATTTAAGTTGTACTTTTTCTTACTTTCTTTTGTGTTTCTCTACCTCTTTTGCGCCATGGCAACGACGCTCTCTGTTCGCTTTTGATGGAGCCGGAGTGTGACGCTTTTCTTTAGCAATTTCCTCATTTTCTTCATCTTCGTTTGCTGTGTATTCGCACTGGAAATACATAAATATGTACACATACAACCATTCCCTTCGTTTGTGTACGTGTGTATTTTTTTCGGCAATCTTTGTTCTGTATATAAGCGAGAGAGCCAAGCCACCAAACCCCCAACCGCCCTGTGAATTGCACGGTGCCCTGCCGCCCTTCCTCCTATCTTCCCCTGAGTGTGTCGCTGTCCAAACGTAAGCGATTTTGGCCCCCTCCCCCACACCAACCCAGCGAGCGAGACATGCTCTCTTCTCCCCCTAGGCTGTGCTGCTGGCCTCGTTTTCCATTAAGCATAGCTCTCGTTCGTTCGCTCTCTTTCCGCTACTCGCTTTGGTTATCCGCTGGAAGAGAAGCACCGTTGTTACTCCTGTGGGGGAGGATCTGATTATGAGTCGATTGGAAAACTGATTTCGCTTAAGGAAAGTTTTAAATTGCAAAAGAAAATTGAACATTTCTATTGAAATGTGATCTAAGAAAGTGAGTGATAGAGAACTATTATATTTCCTGTTCATATTAGTTGAAAGTGAGGCTTAAAAAAGTATAATCTTAATAAAGTTGTACATATTCCTATTTGCATAGTTTATTAACTATATTTATTTCAATGTGTAGAATGAAAGGTCTCTATTTTCCAATTGGAATGTGAGTTTTCTATTAATTTTTGAATTACGCAAAAAATAATTCAGTAAAGAAAATAATAAATAAATCGTCTTTATTAATATAAAGCTGGAGTATATATTAAAAATAGAGTACACAAATATGATTAATTGAATATAAATTAAAATGGATCAAACAATTTACATATAATAACCGATCCTTGGATTATGGATTACCTTAGTATTTTTGTATTATTTTTCACTAATTCAAATTCGCTTAGATTCTGAATATATCTCCGGTAGCACTCTCCCGTGACACTCCTCGGTACCACCTTGACTGGAATTAATGCTTCTACTGAAAATCGCCAAGCAAATTTTCTTTTTTCTGTTCTTGGTATTTTGGAAGAATTTTTGCAGCTTGTAATTTTTATATGACGGAGGAGGTCGTTCGGTCAATCTTTGCAAATATCACCTGCCCTGTGTGTCCGATGTTCCAGGGACCAGGCAGAGGGCAGCTGCATTATCTCGAGATCGAGTGAGGTTTATGGGTTTAATGGATAGGGCGATAGATTATAATCAATAATTATTGCTAGATTAAAGAATGGTTTAGTTGATATCAAATATAGAATTGAATGAAACTTTAATGATTTCCTCCAAGATTGGTATATGATGCCTGCAAATAAATGATTTTGGATTATCCGAAAGATTGTTCTTTTATTATATTCAAAGAATATCTCTGAGTACACAAATTTATAATCCTTTATTGATCTTTGGAATTTTTTATTGCAAAAATACTCATTAGAAAGAATCCCCTGGATCTTGTGATGTTCCTTAGAAACGATACAACGGCAGATCTGTTGAAAAATTGCAGCTTGCTTCCATGTAAACAATTTGCAGCTTGCTTTCAAGTTCCACCTTTCGATTTTTTCCACCCACCCGGCCTCGACCCAAGTTAACACCTTGCTGATACGAGCATAGCCATCCAGCTTCCGAGAACAAGTGAGAAAACATCTGCCTGCCTGCCAGGATCTGGATCTGGCCCCTAAATGTTTGCAGCCGGCCACCCAAGAAAGTACGCCTGGCACACTTCCTAGTAGATTGGGTTGCCAGGTAGCCGCGCACGCGTCTGGCACGCGCACCTTGCCCTTGCCTTTCTACCACCCACTACCTGATCGGCCCACCGCCCAACTCGGGGACCAGAGGGCCGAGCCTATTGTGAGACCGATGCGATCCTTAAATAGATCATGTCCTGTGCCGAGCTCTTCAGTCGAGTTCCACTCGTGACAAGTCCAACTTGTGTGTTGATTTGTGATTTCGTGTGTTCTACATTCGAGTAAAAAGTGTGATATCCCAATGATGGATTTTAATTTCGATATTGTGACCCCCTCCCTGTCGACCACATGGTCGTCGTACTATAATTTCAAGATGTCCAGGTATGTCCCCACCCCTCTATTGGAAAACAAACTTCTTTGAGTGAAGTGGCACATTTTTAAAATTAGTGTATAAAAGCGCAATTGATTCTCTAAGGTTGATTAAGAAATGTACATATTTCTATTCTAATTTGAGGGAAATAGGTACGCAAATAAAACAATTTTTGTATGGTTATGCTAGGTTAAGAGGTACATCATTTGTTTCTATGTTTAAATAATACAAACGACAACACACACGCGCTGATTTGCTCGTATCGACTATATACTGCATATGTTATATTATTAGGAAATACATATATTTTGTTTTGTGATTCATATTATATTTCGACGCTCTACAAATCGCGCGCACACACTTCACGTCTTTGTCATGTGTTATTTTTTTTTAGAAACCAGCAACTCCTTCAATATCCCTATTAACCCAAAATGTTACAACCAAAAATGTAACCTCTCTTCCTACCTCCTACCCCCTACCCACCACTTCCTCTCATCTATTGGCAATCGTTAGTAAACTAATCAAACAAATCGAATCAAAACTCTACAATCACTTAGTAACAACAACAACATCATCATCTCTACCTACAACATCAAAAATAACAACTTCAGAGAGAGAGCGCGCCAACAATAAGAACAACAACAAATACAGAAAAGAGGAGAGACAAGTACCGTTAGAAGATAACGAAATAATTATGAGTGTCGTCTGAGAGAGTATGCCGTAGAAATTACAATTACAAGAAAATCAGACACGAAATAAAGGCAATAATAAACATACTACAATAGAGAGACATAAAAAGAGCGTACGCCAGAAGAAGACAACAACAACAGCAACAGCAGCCGCACCTGACGAACAACAACTACCAACAACCACAATCGACCACCTTTGGAGAGAGTGTCTCCGCTCCCGTTTGAATGTGCGTGGGGTTCGTTCGCCAAAAATATATCAAGTAGCAGAGAGAGAGCGAGAGAGATTGACGACCAGACGACAACCAACTTAACGGTACCCATCAGCAGCAGGCCAGCTGAGAGCGCTGAGCGCCAAAGGCAGGAAACACGCAGCTCTCTCTTAATCTCTCTACGACAATTCTGCAACAACAACAACTTGACCACTCGAAACGCTCCCCCCGTCCTACGTCAACCCCCACGCACGCACACACCCACACACACGAACCATCACAGCAAAGTGAACGGTTTTTTTTTTGATAGATCGATAGAACTGCTATCGATAAACGTATATAAATATCTATATATACATTAAGGAAGAGCGCGCAGAGTATTTTGTTGAAAAAATACTCGTGCCCAAACACACTCAGGATATGTACGGCAACAATAATCCGGGTAGTAACAATAATAACGGTGGTTATCCCCCATACGGTTACACCAAGTCGAGGTAAATTTTGTAACTTGAGTTTTTATGCGTTTCATTTCGTTTTTGATTTTAATTTATTTACCCTCCATTAAAAAAAAAAACATGATATCCCCACAAAGAATTGCCTTTTACCCGCTCCTATTCCCATCACAATCCTTTCCCCCACCCCCACCAACATCGGACACACACACATACAAACAAACTAACGAACAAAATACGTACACAGCCACCCACAAATTAACATGAGCCACGAACGAAACTTGGGACAAAGTATTGACGATTTTTTTCTACCCAGCTCTGGACCTAATTCCCCCCACAATTTTTTTCTTCCCATTTTTTTTCTGCCCAACTCTCAATCCATCTCTCTTTTTTTAAATAGTTTTACGAGTACAAATTCGAGCTGATGCAGCAAACTTTTTGCAGCAACTGTTGAGGCAATTACGAATCTTTTTTTTTGTTAGGCTTGAATATTGGTGGGAACAAATCTAACGGTATGCATTGGTATGTCTGTGTGTGCAAGGGCAGCGCAAGGTGTGTTTTTATGAGGAAAGGCATTTGCATATACACCGAAAAAGTAACTCTGGCTGAATGTCTTGCCTTGTATGAATATACCTTGGTCGCCAAGCACATGGTCCCCCGTCTCCATATTTTCCTCCCACACCTCAACGATTTGAGTCTTTGATTTTTTTTTTATGTATGTGTTCTCTTTTTTGTTTCCATATATTTTGTGTTACGCTCTTAGCTTTGATTAAATCAGAGCGAAGCAGAGCAGAAAAGAAACAACAGTAGAAAAGGAGAACAATAACCACAACAGCAACAAACGGAATATTGTAAAAAGAACAACACCAGCACCAGCAGCAGCAACAGCAGTTTATAAGTATTAGCAAATATTTCATGTACTAGATTGTACAGAAAACAATGAGTAAATCAATTGATTAAGCAAGCCACAACACACTCCAACCAACCCCCAACAGATACTACCCCCACCCACATACATACATATACACCGAAGCCCTTCCAAAACAAAAACTATCTCAATCTGTGTCAACAAAAAGTACAAAGAGGACCCCACCTTTAGTGATCCGCTTTTTAGTTTTTTTTTTTTTTTTTCGCTCTCTATCCTTCTATCAGTCACTCACTCACTCACGTTGTAGATGTTACGTTTTGCGTTTTGCCATCTCCATTGCATACATTCGTGCGCGAGCTCACTCTCACACACAATCAGCTGATCGTCTGCGTGTTTTCTATAACGTAACGTAAAACCATTGATATCACAACCTAATGCAACGCAACGTGAACGTGCATGTAATGTGAACGGCGCGACATGCAATCCCGCCTGTCTTTTTTTATGTTTCCTTGCAGCGTCTTCCGCAGCGCCCTCGTCGCCTCGCCCCTGCTCCTCCCCAAAACTGTGTTTACAGTTAAATGTGATATATAAAGTTACCAAAAGCAATACAAATACAGAACTAAAAATGTAAAAAGGAAACTCAAGAAATATCAAACGAAAGACAACGAAAAAGCAATCTTCCACATTTATACATAAACAAATACATACGTATGTATTTACATGTATATTTGTGTTTATTAAATTACCGTTAGAAGGAAGAAAGAGATCAAAACTGCATTTAATGTTGAAGAGCGGGGAGAGCGCTGCCATGTCTGGCACTCAGAAGACACTTTGATACGCGTCTGTTCTCGCTCACACCCACATTCTCGACACTGGGGGAACGGCCATCGAGTGTCGTTACCCACCCACATACACAACAAAACCCACACGCATACACACACATATATGTATATATATGATACACCGACACATACCATCGATGTATATGTGTTGGTATAATTTGTTCGTGGCAAGAGGATTATAGAAACGGCCTCAAAACGTTCTCGTCGTCGTGCGGCCTGTGCTACCCAAACAGCCTCACAATGTACCGGTAAATGTTGTCTTTCTTTCTTTCTCTCTCTCTATCCACACCCTACTACTATTGCTTGACAGTAAATTTTTTGTTTTAACCGTTGCGTTTTGTTTTCGTATGGCTTTTCTTTTTGCGTGTTTAGTTTTCTTCCGTTTGTTTTGGTTCTCTCGCCTCGCCGCATTCCTCATTGACTACCCATTGACCATTTCCGCATCCGAAATACAAATCTTCCCTAGAATGTAAGCCTTAAGGTTAAGCATTAAGTTTTGGCCAGCAGTTTATATCTTTCTTTTTTTTTTTGCTGTACAATATCAGCAGTTAGGGAGGGGTCCTTGGCAGTCCACTGCAGTCGTGCCATAGTTTATGATGTAGGGATAGCATCTTACCCTAAAAAAAAAGAGGCCAGAGTCCCACAGAGGGGGGGATACCCAAGCAAGCAGCCACAGCAGCGGCAGCAGCAGCAGCCATTGAACTTTTGACACACTCACGCACACAGATGCACAAGAAGATGCATGGCGGCGTCACAGTTCGACATTTTTATGACTCGCCAAAGTCTGATGATGCTGCTGCTGTGGCTGAGGCTGCTTCTTCTGCCTTTGCCCCATTTCACTTAACGGCACATTATTCAGAATAGCGGAAACTGAACCAAACCCCCCTTGGGGCCCACCACGTGCTCTGCTGAATTTGTGTCAGGACCTTGACACGCACACAGACACACGCACAGTTGCAGTCGCTGCGCAGCAGCCTGCAGTAGCCTTAAGTTATGTATTCTGTATAGTCATCCATTTTACTAGCCCACCAATGGAGCCGCCCCATTCGAGGGACCCCCATTTACCGTTTAAACTAGTTTTAAGCACCGGTTGTTGTTGTGGTTATTGCAGCACACTCTCAAAAACAAACACAGTGTGACCCAGCCCCCGCATACATATATCCCAATGCATACCTGACAAATTTGCCCTCCCACCCAACCCCTCTCTCTCTATCTATCTCTATCTCTCAAAAATGAGCACATATACCCTCTCTCACTCTGCCTCTTGTGGCCCTTTGGGGGCAGTAGCAGCAGTGGGTGAGAGATAGTGAAACCCCAAAGAGCAGCTTTTGCTCAAGGTCATCATCATCAGCAGAAGAACTGCTTCAGCAGCATCATCACCAAAAAATACAACAACGAAAGCAGCAGCAGAACATCAATCAACAGTGTCAACAATCAACATTCAACAGACGCCAACAGCAGTAGCAGCAGCAGTAGCAGCAGCAGGAGCCCTTGCCAGTCCAAAAATGTTTGGAATCTATTTTGGCAAACAATTTTTTTTACATATTTTTTTCTGTGACACTTTTTTGTTTTTTTTTTAAATATCGTTTTTAGTTGACAAAGAAGAAACGTATCAAGAGTATCGTAATCACCTTGAAAAAAATAAAGAAACAAAAATAAACCTCCAGAACCTCAAGACAAAGAACACATATGAAACCCCAACCACGTACAATACCCACTAAAACCCCTCCATCCAGCAATTACGTAAACACCACCACCGTCATCGACGTTGTCCTGCAGCTGAATTTAATTTTGTGTAGACATCTCTTTCCACAGCCATGGAGTAGCAGGAGTAACAGCTTGCCCCCCTAGCAAATTGCGGAACCGATTTCGATTCCGTCAGAAGCGAAAAGACACACGAAACTCTTAGATAGATACTATGTAGTAGGCATTTTTTGTTGTCGCTCGATGAAGGGCTAAATGAATGCTGATTGATCGCATTGCGGGGGTCGGCTGAGACAAAATGTTCTTGAAACGGGGACGCATCGAACGCCTGTAAGTAACAAGAATCTAAGAAACTTATAAAAAATAAAAATAAAAGAACCATGAAAAAAAGAAAGAAAAAAATACCATGAAAAAAAGAAAAAATTAATTAAAATTGAGGGAAAATCCGGCTATAAGCCCTTACTTAGACATTAAAACCACACACAGTTCCACACATCAAAATCAACTGAATGTCGTCGCCGTTGGAGAGGGTCAGTCCGAGAACCCATCATACTATATTGTACATCACATTTTTTTCCCTTTTTTTTCAAGTGCCACAAGTGAAACACTCAATGAAGATTGAATATCGAAAAATATCGATTTTTTTTTTAAACTTTTTTTTCAAGTGCAACAATATTGAAAAAAAATGGTTCCACTAAATTGTGTCCGATTTTTGGAATTGATTTAAAAAAGGGTTCCAACCATTAGTATTCAATATTAAATACATATTTTTTTCTTTTTTTTTCGGTGAATCGAAAGTGCATGAAAAATACATACCATACATAAACTTTTTTTAAGTGCCTATTTTTTTATTGTGAAAATAACGAATTTTTTTTTACTTATTCATTGGCAAAGAGTTTTGCAAATTTCCCAGAAAGACTTGAACTTGTCAGGATCCTTCTTTGTGAGGGATTTGCCAAATTTAAGTCAAGGGAAAGTTGGATAGCTCTTTGAAAACCTCTTTTCCAAAACCTTCTCACGAAGTTTCTCCGCTTAGTCCTTAAGATCGACTTCCAGTAGCAGAAGCAAATGCTGTCAAGTCAGTTAACAGCTGGCAGCTCTGTTAGCTAACAGTCTGCCTCCTGACTGTACTTGCCCGCAATTGTTGTTTTCCCATAAGTTAGCCCGTAAGCCTAAGTTAGTTTTATAAATGCAACTTCAGATCATCTCAACACCGAAGCTACCATTTATCAACCATCTTTGTAAGATAATTACCAATATTAGAAAAATAGAAGAAAATAAAATTAAAAGTAAATTGCGCTTTATACATATAATTTTGATAATTTTAAAATATATTTAACAACAACCCTAACAACCATAAAACACCATCAATTCCCAGTGCTAATATATATTTTCTCTATTCCTCATCATCGAATCGATTCGTGCAGCGGTGGGCGTGGATTTGGCATGTCGCATTCACTGCCATCTGGAATGGTTAGTATCCCAGAATTTTATGCCTGAAATTTATAATTATTATCAGTGCTACAATTCGATTTCCATTGCATGTGAGCAATCAGCGGAACGAACGACGGACAGGTTATAGAAAAAGAGACAATATGATGATACGGCAAATACGTTTTTGAATGTTTTTTCTGTATTTTCCTGCTCTGCTTAATTCCTGTTCTCTGTTCCGTTCTGTACCGTTTTCGATACTCATAAATAATAATAATAATATAAATTTTATGCCCTATCTATCCATCTATATTACTATCCATAGTTGTATGTTATTGAGTTTGTCTCATGAACGCTCTGGGGACACACGCTTTTGATTACGAATTTTTCAAGCAAGAATCCAATACTATAAAAAAACAAAAAAATATAAATTAAATTTTATTTGTGGATGCTATAAATTTTATTTTGGTTTATGACAAAAAAAAAAAACGAATTAAAGTTTGCATTTTTAAACAACAGAAAACCTTAAACAACAGAAACAGAAATAAACTTTAAAACAAATCCAAGCAACTACAACAACAGCAACAACACAAACAAATATTTTTTAAATAAACAAATAAATAAGACAAAAGAAAGTTAAAATACAGACACGCAGAAATACTCACACGTGAAGATATTACCTTCACAAGCACGCACACTTGCATGAGTCGAGGGAAAAGCAGCCTTGCCACCTGGCCCGTCGTCCCACTTTCGTTTCCGTTTCCGCAACAGTTGCGGCTTCCCTTAAGACTTCCGACTACAGTGCGTTTTAAAATTGAATGACTTAAAATATTTGCATTTTATGCGTTTCCATTATTAAAATTTAAATCACAACAAATTTGAAATTATATCCAAATTTCAAACGATCTAAAATTTTACTAAAATTGTACTAAAACGGAAAGAGGAAGGTTGGCATTTCTAAGATTTCACTTAATTCTACTTAATATTTTGGTTCCTTTGGTTTAATACCATTTAAACGCACTGTATTTCCCTGTCTCTCATTGAAACGGTGCTTGTGGAAAGCTCACAAATAAAAAAACAAACACACCACAAAAAAAAAAACATTTCTTAGATGCTTAAAAACAGACAAAAATAATAAACATGAGTATGTTTTGTTTTTGCAACCCTGTGAATGCCGTTACACACACGCACACACTCACGCAAACTAAAAAATAGACAGAGAACAACAGAAAACACTCGGAAGTACAGTGAAGCAAGCGAATGTTTGCTTCTTCCAAAGCAAAAAAATAACTATGATAATGATATTTGCTGCACTCGAATTTCAAGCACGCATTAAAAAATGAAGAAGAAAAAATGGCATATGTTACCGTTAGTTTTTTTTCGTAGTTGCCACTTTTTTCAAAAAACGTTGAAAACGTTCACGTTCCACGTTCCGCTTCCTGTTCAATCAACCTGAACCTTAATCAAACAATCGTATCAACCAACCAATCGAATCAACCAATCAACCAACCATCAATCCGATCAGAGTTGTGTGTGTTGTTGTTTTTGCTGGTGCTTGTGCCTTGTGCTGCCTTCAACGACAAATATCCGAATAAATAAAGCAGACCAACCAAACCAACCATCCAATCAATAAATCAAAACGATCAATCAATCAACCAAACCAAACCCCAAGACAGCGATATGAGGCCTTCTCTCAACATTAGAATATCTTTGTATGGTTAATCTGATTCCAGTCACGTTATGCGTTCTCACCACAGGATACAGAATTCTCATTTCCAAGTTCCTCGTCCCGTCGCGGTTACAATGAGTTTCCCGGCGGCGGTGGCATTGGCATTGGTGCCAATGGCGGCAGTGCCAATAATCTTGGCGGCAACATGTGCAACCTGCTGCCAATGACCAGCAACAATTCGCTTAGCAATCTATGCGGACTGTCGCTGGGCAGCGGCGGCAGCGATGATCACATGATGATGCATGATCAACGATCCAGCAACACCAATCTGATTGTGAACTACTTGCCCCAGGATATGACTGATCGCGAGCTGTACGCCTTATTCAGAGCCATTGGACCCATCAACACGTGCAGAATCATGAGAGACTATAAGGTGAGTAATTTTTTTCTATAAATTTATTAATAAAATTGATATTTAAACTTTTGATCTATATTTGAATAGACTGGCTACAGTTTTGGTTATGCTTTTGTGGACTTCACGTCAGAAATGGACTCACAGCGCGCCATCAAAGTTCTGAATGGCATTACGGTGCGCAACAAGCGGCTAAAGGTGAGTCCTGTCCTCCCCCTCTTCTTGATCCGCTAATAACATTGCTCTGTTTGTTTTTCTAGGTTTCTTATGCTCGTCCTGGCGGTGAATCCATCAAGGATACCAATCTGTATGTGACCAATCTGCCGCGCACAATTACCGATGATCAGCTGGACACGATCTTTGGCAAATACGGATCCATTGTGCAGAAGAATATCTTGCGTGATAAGCTGACGGGTCGGCCGAGGGGCGTGGCATTTGTGCGGTAAGTTTTCGTCCAGTTGGACGTTTTTACTCAAAGCTTCCACATCCACAACATCGATCTGAGAAGATACGAGACTATATCCAACTATATTTGGTTTACACACTTTGTTGTTTTTGTTTTGAAAGCGTTCTCATTGTTGTTCTCTTTCTCTTTTCTCTTTCTTTTGTTTTCTTTTTCCACATACTTTTACTGCGCGCATGTTTATGCTCCCCCATATCGAACCGATCCCATATACTACTATATACATCACATCATATAGCTATAACAAACGGGAGGAGGCACAGGAGGCCATCTCGGCACTAAACAATGTCATACCCGAGGGCGGGTCCCAGCCGCTATCCGTACGTCTGGCCGAGGAGCATGGCAAGGCGAAGGCGGCGCACTTTATGTCACAGATGGGCGTGCCAGCGCCAAATGCACCACCGCCGCCACCACCACCACCGCCGCATATGGCCGCCGGCTTTAACAACATGGTTCACAGAGGTAGATCAATAAAATCACAGCAACGCTTCCAAAAAACGCATCCCTATTTCGATGCGCAAAAGTTTATCTAAAAATGCAAAGAAGAGATGAACCAAACCACCAACACCAACACAACCACAACCACCAATCCCCCCACAAACAGAAAACAAACTACATCCAAAAACACTCTTAAAAACGATATATATATATATATATATATATATACACAAGTCGTTACAAGAGTTTCATTTATTCTTCTATGATTCGATTATATTTCCCGATTTTTATTCACTTTTTTTTTGTATTTTTATAAACAACAACAAAAAAGAGTATAGCAACAGCAACAAAAACACAATTTAACACTAACCTTAACAAAACAAAAAATCCTTTGTTTAAATTTGTTTTTAACTTTTAACTAATTATTTTCGTCGTATCTACGTAAAAGATTCAATTGAATGTTGCAATTTACTTTACCTCCTTACTTCTATATATTGTATATACATATATATATATATCTATATATATGTGTAAACAAAAATTGAATTGTAAATTTCATTTAGTTTTATTACAAATTAATACAAAAAAACACATACAAAAACTTAAAGGAGAATAACAATTTTAATTTTTACAAAAATTAAAAAAAAACCTAAATTTAAATACCAACTCATTTTGGAAGAATTCAAAGTTTTTTTTTTAAGATTTGACCATCCTTCTCCCCTCTACACACACACACACCAACACACACACTAAAGACATATCTTTTGAACTAGCTCCAGTGAATCGCGAACTAGTTCCAAGTGTATTTTTTTGTTCCACAGCATCTTAATCGGATGTAGCCTTCAACAAAAACACAGAAAAACGACAGACACACATAAGACATGTAGCAATTTAGATGTACTATATTTTTTTTTAACGAAATAACTAAAATATTAACGCAGAAAACCGAAACTATAATTAAATGTGAATAATCAAAAGAAAATCATCCAAGGACTGAATCATTACCTAATCTAAAGAAAAAACACAACAAAAACATTTAATAAAGAACAAAAAAAAAACACGCATAAACTTAAAAAATAAATGATAAATATATTTCTATAAATGGAGTTTGCAGTGGCCCCCCGGCGACAAAAAAACAAAAATCAAGCGAAAAGTGTGCAATTTTTTTGGAATATTTTTTTTTCTGTTCACAAAAAGACTGTGCTAACAAATTGATTATAGATTGAATCAAAAAGCAACCAGAACTGATCTTAAAATAAAAATAAAAAAACAACAAAAGAAGGAGTAAAATGTACAAAGCGTCGCCCGAGCATAAAATCTTCTTCCTCTTAACAACCCTTCCCTTCTAAAACCTCTACAGATCGTATCGAATCACGTATTTTTTTTTGGTTGGTTATTATTTATCATGAAAATCAGCCCCAACTAAAACCACATCAACAAAAACAATATCGAGAACCAACAACCAAATATACGTCAATATAAACAACAAGGCATCTATTTTTTTCCCAACACAAGTTGGTCACTCGTCAGTCAAGTTTTTCCAATAAAAAAATCTAAACAAAAAGGGGAAAAAATAAACACCTTTATAGATTTACATAATATACATATATTCTTGATTATATGATAATTATTCTATATAAATAGCGTTAAATTTTAATAATTATTTAGTATGTAGTGCGTTAAAAAGCAACAAAAAAGGACAAAAAAAGCTTAAAAAAAAATTAAAGCCGAAAGTGTGACCAGAGAAAGCGAAAAAAATAAAAAGGCAAAACGCAAAACAATCGTAAGAACAAACCAAAACAAAACCGACATTTTTTTTTACAAATTTTTTTCAAGTTTAAAGCAAATCTCGAGAAGAATTTCTCACGAGAGATAACAGTGTTGGAAATCAGCACAAAGCAAAGCAGCGCCCGATGCCACAACGGGAAGTTTTTTCTACCCATATTTTTTTTCTTTTCCCTACTATTTTGTTTGTTTGTTTTTTTTTTTTTATTTTTATCTTTGTAATCTGCCTTGCCTCGTCTCCCGTGCATGTGCGTGTGCTTGTCTTTGTGTGTGTGCGAGTGTGAGAGTGAGAGTTGGGATCGGGATCCTTTCCTGATCACAGAATGAGATGGAATGAGAGCGTGGCGCGAGTGCAGATTTCTGTTTACAGTTGTTCCCAGGCACAGCGGCCAGGCGGTGCGAAAGAGACAATGCGAAAGCGAGGGCACGCAAGAGACAGACAGAGGCAGAGAGACTGTGAAATTGAGTAGAAAGAAGTGAGGAAGGCGTGGCGCATGGTAAGTATGCGCGCACTCAACCGAAACGATAAGGGGGTGCTGCTATCGCACACCACCCCCGAAACAATACCCTGAACCCTCCATTCCTACATCAAAAGACCCTATCGCCAAAACATGGTTTTTTTTTGTCTTTTTTTAATGTGCAAACTTATTGATGTTCAATTCTTTTTTTTTGTAAAGGAAACTAATAAAAAACGATGACATTTAAATGCTATCTCTCTGCCCACACACTTCTCACCCTTTTATCGGTTCCAGTGCCAACAAGAAAAAAAAACTAAAAACTAAAAGATTAAAAAAAAACATTTTTTTTAACTTTTTTTGCCAGTGTATTTTCCTAAATCTATGACGAGAGGAACCATTACAATTCAATTTTTTTTCCAAGTGTTAACTGTGTGCCGAGCCAATATTTTGTTTTTTTCTTCTGTATATTGCTAGTGCTCAAGACTTCTTTGACTACTCAAATTAAAACTAAATTGTTTTAATGATTTTTTTTAGTGTATTTTTTTTTATTGTGCCTGTCAGTGTTCGGCGTGGATCCAATGACTTAATGCTGTATTTTCCATATAATATATGTATACAAAATATGCAGAACCCATTTGAAATTTTAGTAGATTTCTAGCTTACTCTTTTTTTTTTATAAATTAATATGTATATATTTTTTTTGTGATTTTTTGTTGTTGTTTTAAATACAAAAAATGAGTTTTAATTTGGAACATACGTACATACAATTTTATTTTAGTATTTTGGCATATTATTTGGCACGTCTTTAGTTTGTAGATTAAGAAAGAGTTGGGTTCTGTTTCAGACTTTTAGTTTGGCTTGAGATTATTGCGTTGCCTACTTTTTGAAAAGCCGCCAGTGTGTATGACTATTACCTCTCAACTAACTCGAGCTATCCGAGTAATAACAAATATAGGGCTTAGTCAACAGCAGAAATTAACAATCAAATAAAAATAGTCGATGAATCAACCAAAATGCTTTGAATTCGAAAATCAAGTCTTTAATATTATTTTATTCGCCCTGGTTGGGGACCAGGGTTTTTGTACCGGGTACACAGAGAGGCCCGACCCTTATTTATTTGTCGAACGTAATAGAAAATTTCTGATATTTTAATTTCAATATACAAGTGTATTTAAATGTCTGTGAACATGAGTAGGCGCCACAGTAATTCAAGGAACTCTAGTGTTTGTAATTTTGAATGTTGTGCGAGCACTATGGGTCAGCCAGAAAGTAGGCAACGTTTTTTGGCAATCAGCTATTTGAACATCTTTGAACTCAAAATCGGTGTCCTTGCAGAAAGGGAGGCAGCCCATACAAAAAGAATATCGAATCAGACAGCACTTCATACTCAATGCAAGGGCATCGAGGGCTTCAGACAGGGGGTACCCTCGACCGAAGACAGTTTAGGGAATTGCTTAATTTTAGTTTGCCTTAACTTGGGTCGCTTGTTTTAAATACAAGTGAAACCTGTTACCGTTGTTAAGCTTAATCCGTAGTTAGAATGGCCCCGATGTATTTCTTTGCCCCACTGTAACCGCATTTGTTGTTTTCTTGCCGTAGATACTCTTCTTCACTTTGATTGATCTACTCACAGCACTAACCCGAAACGATCGTCATTCCCTTAGCTTGAAGCCTGGGGAATGGCGGTCCATTCCATTCATTTTCATTGATTGTTGTTGACAGAGAAAAAAATCCACATAATTGAATAATATTTATAAACAAAAAAAAAACCAAAATCTTCCCTAGTCCCCCCCACCCAAAAAAAAAAAAACAAAAAAAAAACCAACCTACGCCGCAACTAATCCAAGTTGTACAATTTTTTCCGTTTCGTTCTTTTTTTTTTTTTATAGACGGAGCTATGGAAAAATTACGCTCATTATTCGATGCTATTTGCGATGCTATCTTTGGTCTCGATAGTAATTATTCCTCTTTTATATATATATATATATTTCTAATACTATTCCTAATCATAATCTATCATAGATTACTTGCTTCACTGAAAAGCAAAAGCATATACATAATATAAATGTTTTTTTTTTTTTGAGAGCACTTAAGAATGAGATTTAGTCCAAGGTCTAATCTATATAAGTAGTTCTCAAGAAGAGAATACACACATGAAAACACACACTACCACACACACTCATACTCTCCCACACGATTAGAAGACAGAAGAAATCGAAATTCAATTTCAGTTTTCAAGTTTTTCATGCATAAAATCGTATATACAAAAAAAAAAAATGTAAGGAGAAAATCAATTGTTTTCAAAGCGTGCCATGTTTTTTCTTTATTACTTTCTCTCATGCCATAATAGCTACTATAATTATCTCTATCTATCTCTCATATCTCACTCTCTCAAAAAAAAAAAAAACCCTCTCGATTTAATTTTAGCCCAAAATTTGTCGCCTTTGGCCCATGTTCTAGCTCCAGAGTGCTGTTGAGCAAGTGCCAAAGGCTAGAGCGTTATTTGAAAAAGTTTCAATTGAAAAGTTGCCAAAATTGTACTTCTAGATGAACCAATTCGAATCCCCAATCAAATTAAATCACATAAAACAAAAACTATAAACAATTTAAACCAGAATGGATATCTGCTACGCTGCTGGCCCTCAAAACAATAATTTCGTCTACCAAAAAATTAGTTGGCTTACGCTTTCCCACACAACTACTTCACCTCCCAGCCAGGGTTCTCTTAGAAGCCATAGACACAGTCCAAAGAGTTGCTTACACTTTTGTTTTGTTTTAAACATCGCCTTAGTCGCCCTTCTTCATGATCTGTCTTGTCTGCTCTAATAAATAATCATTCATCCGAGTACCCCAGTTTGTAAATGTTCAGTTCTTTCCCCAAACTAAAAGTAAACTAAACAAAACCACAGCTACAACTACCCCTATATGTGTTATAACAACTATATATCAACTTGTTTTGCTTGCTATGTTCTTTGGCCGCACTTGGGTAATGTGTATATGTGTACGCTCTATATATGCAACATATCAGTCACATATCACACATGTATGTCTACACATCTAAATAGAACGACCATCATAGCGTCAGTCATCCATATATCCATATTTATATGTACATACATGAAAAACCAAAGCCCGCCCTAACCCCAGTTCCAAGTACCATTCCTAGTCCGATCCCATCCTTCATCCTAAAGAAAAGAAAAATAAAAAAACATGGCACGTTAAATGAAAAACTATGATAACTTTTTAATCGTGTGGACGAATACAAACGCATCGAAAATGGAATATAATGAAAACTAATTATATTACTGACACCGCAATCGAAAAGCTAACAAACAAACTTCAGCTTAATCAAAATACAAAAATCTCTAAAGTTAACCGAAAGCAACAAACCAAACAAATACAAAAAATAACAATAAACACTAACCCAACACCCCCTTAAACACGAGAGAAAAAAAAACAAACAAAAGTCTCTATATACATATGTATAACTTACTTAATCTAATTGATCTTCCACCATAAGGTAGTTAAGTCAGGGAAAGTCCAGAATAGGACACAGATCAGAAATGAACAGCGGAATTAACGATAGAATTGATACGAATCGAAACTTCTAGAAATGCAAATATATTTTCTCAATAAACTTTTTCAAATAGACGCATGATTTAAGAACTCTGTACATCAATGCCTATGAATCATACTAATGCATGTTTCTTTTGTCTTCTAACTTTTGTTTTTCTCCCGAATCGTGGTTGAAACACTATAGGTGACAACTTTGCCGATTTGCTTGACGGACTGTACCGTAGGAAGTACCATTATCCCTACTTATAATTGACACCGCATCAGCAGCAGCAACTACAACAACATCAGCTGCAGGCGATTGGCAATAGCAACAGTAATAACAACAGTAACACCAACATTAACAATATGCTACTCTACCATCAACAATATCATCAACAACAACAAGAACTACAACGCCTGGGCAATACTGCTGCTGCTCACAGTTTAAGCCCGAATGGAGGAAACAACAACAACAACTGCAATCAATCCAATAACAATCACTCAAACAATCATTTGGATGTAATACGACAGAATGGAGTCGCTGCTCTGAATTATCTTCAACAACAACTGCAATTGCAGCAACCGCAATCACAACAACCACTACTATCACCACCACCGTACCAGCAACAGATGAATGGACACTCATCCCGTCAACAACAACAGCATAAGCATCAACAACCCTCCAGTTGTGGCAGTTTGAACAATGGTCACACCAACAACCATGCCAACAGCGACAGCAATGAGATGCTGCACAGCATTAAATCGAGCCAAATCAACAATTATACCAACAGTGGTATAAACCAAAACAACACCAGTTACACCAATAAAAGTAGTAGTGGCCTGCCACTCACAAACAGCAGTAACAGTGGCCTGGGACTCAACAATAGTTGCACCAACAACAGTGGCAATGGTCTGTCACTCACCAACAATTACACAAACAGCAGTAATAGTGGGCTGGCACTCAACAACACCCACTCCAACAACGGTGGCAGTGGTCTGGCACTCAACAACAGTTACGGCAACATTAGTGGAAATAACCTGGCACTCAACAATACCAGTAGTTACACCAACAACAGTAACAGTGGCCTGTCACTCAATAACACTTGCTCCAACAACAGTAGTAGTGGTCTGGCCCTCAACAACAGCTTCCCCAACAATAGTGGGAATAGTCTGTCACTAACCAACAGCTTTACCAACAATAGTAGCAGTAACAGTGGTCTAGCGCGTCACAGCAATTCAGGTCACACTGGCAGCTACACCAACAATCAGAACAATAGCCGCACAGGCATCTCCAATAGCTGTAGCAACAACAGCAATGGCTTGCCACACAACAACAGTCATAGCAATCAGAGCAACGGCAGCCATAGTCTTCGCTTACCACAGCAGGAGTTCAGCTTCAATATATCGACCACTGAACGAGAGCTGCAGCAGCAAACACTCAAGCTGCAGCAACTGCACATCAGCAACAGCTTCCATGCAGCATCAGCAGCAACAAGTGAAGAAGCAACAACAGCCACCATAGCGACAACTACAGCCAATCACTCATCAAATGTTAACTTCCTCTGGCGTACATAGCCTCGAACGTTGATTTAAAAAAGATAATATATATAAAAAAATGATTTATATATATATGAAACCCTTATATGGAGCATCTTAGTGGCAGTTTCCATCGAAACCATTTATACATATATATAGATACGTAACCCAAATTTGTATGTTCTCAAACCCCGATACCTTTTTTGTGTATGTTCCTCATTCGAACTTTTATGTTGTAGTACGTTTTTTTTTCTTTTTGTGCTTTTTTTTGGGATGAATCTTTTTTTTTCTTTTTGTAACTAGTTGTAAGACAAGACAAGTATATATAAAAAGATACATAACTATATATATATATAGATCGAAAGATCAAGATCGAAGAAAAAAGCGATCATTTTTTTTTGCGTACACTTAGAGAAAGAACTACGAAAACACATTTTTTTGTCACATATTTATAATTAAAAATAATATATATAAAAAAGAATATATACAGAAATATATATATACAAAAACACTCACATATAACTATATATCTAATACCACATAGCATACTTGTAGGCGTGAGGACATAAGCTCTGTTTTTTTTTTCAACGTGTCTGAAACTGATTTTTTTGGCGCGAACTATGCCGCAACAACGTACACGAATTTCGTGTATGTTTATAGCTGAAGTTAATCCAGATACTATATGATTATCTTATAAATATTGTTTTTTTTTTCCTAATTTATAATCCAATTTTTTTGTCTATTCAATATATACTGTAACCGTAATGGACTGGAAAGGCGGCTGTGCATGCTCAAGTTTTCAGGCTGTTTAAGAATAAACGAAAAAAAAAATACAAGAGAAATACTTAGCTAGAGATAGGCTTGAGGAGAGGGCAAACTTTAAGTGGGGAACGGGACGCGATCTCCCCACACGAAATTACATAATACCAATTTTTTCATAGCTATAGAGAAGAAACGCTTCTTTTTTTTATAACATAATAATAATCGATGTGAAATCCATTTTTTTTAAGTTTATTTTATGAAAAAACTTGAGCATGTGACAGCGAAAATAAAACAAGATTTGTAAGAAGGAAAGCAAAAGAATGAATGAAACCACGTGATAAAGAGTCCGACAAAAAGGAAAATCAGAAGAGACAGAAATACAGAGAGAAGAAATGGAAAAGCAAATGAAAAAAAACAAAAGCACTCAAAATCTTAAGCGCCTGTGTGGGGTGGGGGGTTGGGGAGCATGGTCTAGGCATAAAATATTAACCCAATTTTTTATTTAAGCATCCCGCATTGTTTTTTGTTTTGATTTTCTGTATTTAGTTTTAGGTTTTTTTTATTTTTGTTTCATTTTATTATGATATTTTTTGGCCAACCATGCTCTCACCCTGAAGCAGAGATAGCATTCATAATTTTTTTTCGGTGTAGGTGCATAAATTAATGGAAAAACAGAAACCACATGTAGAAAAATAAAAATTCAGAATATGCAATTATGTTTATTTTATTCAAACCTTTCAATATTTGTATGCATTAATTAGTGAATGTGAAAACTTTTAATTTGTCCACAAAAAATTAAAATTTTTTGAAATACCATTTATTTCTAGTTTTATTGCACGGTCCAACATCTGACTTCAAAATACAACAATTACCAACAAATAAGAAAGAAAAATTATCTAATAAACATTATCACCACCAGAAACATGCACAATGAGTTTTCTTTTACTTTATTAACCTTATTATTTCTTGAAGACAAGACCGACCCCTTTCCCAGAGTTTGTGCGGAAGAAAATGTCAACGAATTAGTACACGTAAAACAATTTTTTTTTCAAAACAAAAAACTAGCTTTAAGAGAATATGTAAGCTAAAAAAAAGTATTTGAAAGGCGAATCGCAACACAGTAAAAACTCGATTAAACCTACAGCTTGGTTGTGCTGAACACTCAAACTTTACGATTCTAAACGGAAAAAATACCCGAATATACCGATATGCAATAGGATTCCCGAATAAGTAAAAAGAAAATATACACAGAAGCGAACGAAATGTTTATTAAATCAATATTCTATGTATGTTCGTATAATACATATGCTAAAGCTCCCGACCGGTCGTTTGCCACCGGATGGGGGCGAATGGATACACTTTAAATCGAACAAAAAAAAAACTCTCAACCAATTGTAGCCTTAGCCTGTAAGTGGATTTACACATATACGAATTACGGATATTGGATTACTCAGAGGAACAAATCATATGGCGCCTAAAATGTGGTCGATCGTTTAGTAAGAAAACCAAATTCAATATTCATGTGGGTTTTAATCCTCCTTTTTTTTTAGTATGAATAAGTATTTTTTGTGACCTTTTTTTGGGCATGTGACTAAACGGAAATCATCAATATAGTTTTTTTTGTCAGTGAAGTGTTTTTTTTTGTCGGGCGTCATCTTTTAGACAATTTTTTCTTTACTCATAAGAAGCCAAGCTAATTTTGTTGGAATACCGATAGACGAGACAATGTTTAATCAGAAAATCAGAGAATCAGAGCAAGTAGCCTAGGAAAGCGCAATTAGAGAGACTTTTTTTTGTTGGTATTTTTAATAAAGAAGTTGTAGAACATGAAAACCTCACGGCAACCTAATCGCAAATACATTTAAAATGTTGTTCAATGGATATTTAGAAACAAATGAACATGGAAAATAACATACATTTTTTTATGTCAAAATAAATGTCTAGAAGTCTAGAAGATAAAAAAAAAAACAAAGCTTCATTTTATAAAAAGAATAGAAAAAAAAGAAACCAAATACCAGAAATATGCATAACATTTTTTTTGTTTAGTGTAAGGGAAAATGTGTTTTATATAAACGTATTATACATAGAAAAAGAAAAAAAAAATAAACCACTTAAATCGAACTTCAAGAAAGCGGTGATCAGTGAGATTAGTGCATAAAGTACATATGTATACTCGTATATAGAGATCCAGATAGTTAAGAATTCTTCTTCGTCGTGTCGTCAATTGGAAAGCCAAGCGGTGGAGGAAGAGAAGAAAGGAGCGTAGAGTTAGAAAGGTTTAATGGCGCTTTTACCTATGAAACTTTTTGGTATTATTTTGTGGTTTCAATCTCGACCATCTCTGCTCTCTACCCCAACCAATCCCAAGTCCCCTCTTTTATTGTTCTAGCGTTCACCTATAGCATCTCGAAAACACCGACAAATGATATACAATTCAATAAATATATACATATGTATGTATAGATATATGTATACTTAAAAAGATAATGTATGGTAGCTACCATTAAAAGAGACAGCATAGAGAAGAGAATTTTTTTTGAGTAATGAAGATGTTTAAAGTTGGTCGGATGGCGAGGATTGTATCTGAAACGTGAACTGCCCTATGAAAGATTTTTAAAAAAACTTAAACAAAAAATGAAAACAAAAACCAAACACCAACAAAGAGAAACAAACAACTATAAGTCGACAGTGCTGAAAATAAATTCATGCAAAAATAAACAAAAAATACTAAATGACCTACTGAAATAAGCAATATACATTACATTCATGAATAGAACAAATTTAGTGGAACAAAATACAATTTAAATAACGAACGAAATCAGCCACAAACAAACAAAATAGGGATTATATTCAACCGAAATGCAGATTATATTAACTATACAACCGTATATACACTATATACCTATATATATATATATATATATTATAATTATTAAGCCCAAGTGGAATTTTTTTTGAAATAAATAAATATTTAAATAATTAATACCGTAATAAATCATAAAAATACCAAATAATCGACGACACACACACACAAGACACAGAGGCATACAAAGAGAACTCGTATTGTTCCGTAGTCCGTAAATGAAACACACAACAACCCGCATTGACACTTACATACATTTATAAACGAACGGATATAAGAACAAATTGAATTTTATTCGTTTATAAAAATAAATACATACATATATACATATATTATATATATATATATACATAATAGCAGCTAATTGTTGTACTTAAGATGTCACATTACAAAGCGATAAGTACTTACGAAAAGGAAAACCAATAAACGAAAATATTTAAAATTCAACGGAAAACGAACGAAATAACGGAGGTTTTAATGTGAGATTTGTTCTAGCTGCAACCTACAGCACACATAGTTTCCCCATTGATACCCTGTAATCCGTTTACGGTACAAGTATGAAATTGTGTATTACGTTATATACCGTTATATTTCGGTATATACCGTCTGACGGTATATTTATTGATTAACAAAAATATGTATTAAACAAAGTATTTAATCGGTCAATAACGCACTCTTCAAACGGAAAATGCCAACCAACAGGCAGGGCAGGACTGGGCAGTCGTATTGTCAGCTACGCAAGGCTTATCAGTCGGGCACCACAAGTAATGTAATGTTGTTTGTTAACAAATCACTTGAATTCGACACAGCTGCAGCGTGGCCGCTGCCATGAGACGTCGCTGCGTTCTCCTTAATGCACTTTCGTCAGGCCTGTCTTATTCGAAACACAACAAACATTATATCATCAGTGGTCCTCAGAAGTAATGCCCTATCACTCGAGTGTATCCAATTGATAGGGGAACAAAGCCAAGTGTTTCCCCAAAGCGATAACAGTTCCAATTCCCATTAAACAACAAGCGTATTGAAGTCGAAGTGCGCTGCCATTCCAATACGACTAATGATGATGATGATCGCCAGCTGATGATAGTATGTGCTCCAACACGTTTTCCAATCACATCCAATTAATGTTCGCACCACCATCGACACGGTCCAATCGATCCATTGTTGAATTACGTCAGGGAACGCAATTCGCACGATAAGCAGAAATGTTCCAGAGTCTCCCCCACTGGCACCCAGATAGCGATCCTTCGTGACACGCACATCGCATAAGCTTCATGGGGCGGCCAGCCGTCCAACTATCAATCACTATGACTACGTATCGTATCAGTGCGATAACTTGGTTACGTAGGAGGACATTGGCCAATTTCTGTACTGTCATTGTTTGGACTTGACTCGACTCGAATCGCATAATCTGTGAGGGTTCGATCTGGCTCGAGGCGGATCGCTGCGTTGCATAATTGATTGGGAAGTGGGAAATGGGCACGGCTCTGCCTGTGCCTGTGCCTGGACTGGCCCCAGAACACACCCAGAGAGTGAAGTCCCTAGAGTGAATGCACTTCAATTGACTTTGATTACGGCTTGGTTCGTCTGTTTATTTAGTTTATTGATATTGATATCGGTTTTGTAAATGGTTTGTGTTTTCCCCGATTGATTCGTTTGGGCCGCATTCCATTGCTTGCCAAGGCTAAGTACTTGACACATCACAGATTGAATACTCCACACTGATAAATTTCACTTAACTATTACTTCTTCAGGAAGAGCTCGTGCAGCTCCACCTCCTTTAGGTTGTTGAGAGTGAGTCGGCGGGTGAATTTACCCGTCCGCCAGTGCTCCTCCAGCTCCTCGAGGGTGCGACCCCGCGTCTCCGGTACAAAGAAGCCGATGAAGCCGGCCGCCAGGAACGAGATGAACGCATAGAAGGCAAACAGATTGGCAGGGCCCATGGCATCCTCCATATTCGGATAGATTTTCAGCATGATGAACGCGAGGATCATGCCAAAGAAGACGGCAATGCCAGAGGCACTGCCGCGTGCCCGCTGCGGGAACACCTCGGAGATCATGAAGAACGGCAGCGTCAGCATGCCCATTGTGGAGAAGACGATGTGTGCAACGATACACACAACGGGCAGCCAGTGCCAGGTGCCCACCGTATCCGGCAGCCAGCCGCCGGCGGCCAGCAGCAGCATACAGAGGCCCATGCCCGAGGCGGAGAAGATGCCGGACGGCTTACGGCCCCACTTCTCGAAGATGGTGCTCATGAAAAATGTCGTGATGATGCGGGCAACGCCCAGCATGACGGCCACCAGCACGGGATCAATGGAGACGCCGGCCCTCTGGGCAATCTGAACGGCATACACGATGATGACGACCACGCCGCAGGCCTGCTGAAAGCCAAAAAAGGCGGTCAGCATCAGAACCGGCTTGTATACCTCTGGACGCCGAATGACCTGGCTGAGCGATTCGCTGGCAGCCGTATTCCGGCTATTCTCGGCTGTCGCCTTCATGTGCGCCAGCTCGTCCTCGAACTCCGGCACGTAGTCGTCCTCTGTAAGTAAAAAGGAATCATTAATATCCCGCCAGGCGGGAATCCTAATATGAACTCACCTTTCTTTGTCAGGCCCCGGAAGTATCTCAGTGATTTCCTGGCCCGCTCGTCGCGTCCCTTGGTCAGCAGCCAGCTAGGTGACTCCGGCATGGGGAAGACCAGGAGAGTGGCCGCCAGCTGGTAGCAGCAGCTAATCGTCGAGATGAGCACAATGTTGCTGCGTATGAAGTAACCCAGCACGTACATCAGCAAGATGCCGCTGGCGAGGCCAATGGAGGTGCCCAATATGAGTCTTCCCCGTATCCGTGGCAGGCTGATCTCGGCCGAGTACACGCCCACTGGTGACACGAACATGCCGATCATTATGCCGCCCAGGGCCCGACCCACCAGCATCTGGGCATAGATCAAGTCGCGGTCAGAGTGCAAAAAGCTGGTGGCCAGCAGCAGCCAGCCAAGCAGGCCCAGCAGATTGGTCAGCAGAATGGTATATTTGCGTCCAATGCGGTCCATGAAATAGCTGACCAGAAGCCCGCCCAAGGGACAGGCCATGTTGTTGATGGAAGCTGTGCGTAAGGAACACATGGAGAAAACGGAAAAAGTAAGAGCCGCTCGCCGCCTGCGATAATTTGTATTACTCACCGAACCAGCTGGACTCGTCCTTGTTCAGCCAGAAGGGCTGGCTCTCGTCATGTAGCTGGCTGAGCGTCACCGATGGCATGCTGATGACCATGCCCGAGCCGAGCACTCCGCTGTTGCCCAGAAATACCATCAGCTTCTGTCGCAACACAGCCTTGTGGCTCTCGCCCAGAGGCTTTCTACTATGCTCCTTTGCCTTGGTGTGGTCCATATCCTTGCAGATCACTGGACTGCGAAACGATGGCTCCTCTTGGTCCTTCATGGTGAATGTAGATGTGTGTGTGTGTGTCTGTTCCTTGGGTTTCTTGGATGAGGCGTGTGACCAATTGCCTGGCGCTGTCTGTTGGAGTTCTTTGCGCGCACGCCGCCAATCAATTAATGGTTCTAAACGAACCGTGGAGTCAACGTCGTTGACTGCTGCTCCACTCTGTTCTGATACTTTGACTGCTGCTGCTGCTGCTGCTGGTGGCTACACTCGAATTGTAACGACAAGTGGAAACTTCCGCGCATTTCAATCATGGGCTCGCTCCAGTATCAATTTCATAAGCTTCTTTCTATGACGACTTCGGCGAAAGTGTCAGTGCCGTGTGTCGTTTGCCGTGTGCGTGCGTGTCTCTGTCTGTGGCCTGCAGCCACCAATCAGCCACCTATAACGGAGGACGGGCGCCGGCGCCTCCTGAGCGCTGTGTTCTGTTCTGTGCTGTTCTGTTCTGTTCCCTCCTCAGTTATCAGTTGTCGAACGAATGTCGCTCTCTGTATTGAACATTTGCCAGCAACGTGCTTGCTATTGATTCCCCTATCGATTATCGCCTGTCAACACAAGCTCTTCTCTCTCTCTCATTTGAGGCACTCACTAAACCACTCATAGACTGTGAATTTTGCAAATTCAGCAATTTGTTTTCACCATTCAGTCAATATGAGCTACTGTTGCTGTTGCTGTTGCGGCTGCTGCTACTGCTTCTGCTTCTGTTGTCAATGACAGCCAATGACGAGCCTCCGCATGTACATACTCAATCGGTTTCCACTGTCTACTGTCTGCTGTCTGCCTACCCTTTCCTGGGCCACACTGTTGTTATGACAACCAGCTCCAGCTCCTACTCCTGCTCTCGGCTGTCTACCTGCCCCTACCCGTTCTCGCGGGCTTTTGTTGGTGTGTTCTGTGTGAAAACCAGCGGCAGTTCTTGCCTACCGCTGCCTGATGTCTGGACTGCTCCCTTCACTGGGGCTTTGTTCGAGGCTGTTGTTGTTGCCACAAGTAGCTCCTGCTGCCTGCTCTTTTTTGCCTTGTTCTTCCTGTTCTTTTGTTCTTGTGACGCTGGCGGTTCTGGCGAGTTGCATCAACCGGTTGCGCGTCCGCTTGGGTCAACGTTTGCCAAGCAACTGAGAATGAACTGGGCTGGATGCTCTGCTTACGTTGCTTTATTTTCTCAACTGGTCAGAATAATTTGCAAATTAATTGTGTACAAAATATGGCTGGCTGGCTCCACACGGCGTATACGCAGTGTGCCGCACAAATCGAATGCGGCGTTACGTATACGCCCTGCCCTATCTGCGGAAGTAAAGCCCACAAGTTGTTTGCCTCATCGAACCTGTGGCACCCGCTTCTCAATCCCCCTCACTTTCCCACTCTCACTCTCCTCCCCTCTCCCACAATCGAACGACATTGGCAACGAACTTGGGGCATGGACATGGCCATGGACGGGTGGCGGCAGGCTGCGGCTGCTGTGCAATGAAAATGAAAATTGAATTGAAAAATTAGAATATGTAACAGCTATTCTTGGTCGTCATTCGCATACTCTTTGGTTGGAAAACGTTCAGGGGGGGGTCTGGGTCTGGCCTGCGTGGTGGGTTGTGCATTCATTCAGAAATTATATGTACATATATTCTTCTCTACCGTTCTGAAATTTAATTTATAAATGGCACTCACGTTTCATTGATATTTATAAGTATAAGTAGCAGGGCAGATCTGCTTGGGATTGGGTATTGGGATAATAAATATAGTCATGTACTGTCATTGCGGAGACGTAGCCTTAACAGAATCAAGATATTATAAATCAGCAGGAACAGTATATATGTACATATGTATACGAAGATATAGAGGATACATATGTACATATCTCTGGATGTGAAGACTGAAGACTGAAGACTGACTGCAGAAATCTACATGCTTTCGGTTTAGGGTAACAAAAATGTTTTGCATAATGATTTTTCTGTTTACGATCGCAGGCAGTGCCGCTGCAATTGGCCAGAAGCCAAAGCAAACTAAAGAGAGTTTTTTAAAGAGAGAGACAGAGAGAATGTGGAATGCTTATCAGATGGCTCTAGCACTTCTGCTTTGCTCTACTGTTGCTCATGTTTCACTCTCCCCTGTGGTCTGCGGAAGAGGTGCATAAATTATGCGCAACTCGAGTTATCGCTGGCTCTGCGAGTATTCTGGTCTTCCCATTCAGCAATGGGGAGGCGGGCGTGCGGTCACGCCGCTGCCACGCGGCCTGCGCTGTTGTGGTCTGCGAGTATGCGGTTTGGTTGGGGATCGCCCCGCCAATCGTGTTGGTTTAATTAACAAAATTCGAGCCTCATTTATGGTGGCTCTTAGCGCCACAACAACTTAATCGCGGCAATTCTAATAATAATAGCCATAATGAGGCAGGTGGAACATTGCTTTAAACCAAATATTTACTCCCTGATTGTGTAAGCCAATTTGGCAAAAATAAAATATTTATCGCCCAATATTTGAGTAACGCTACCAATTTGCGATTGCCAGGCATGAAATTAGACAACAACAAATAACCCCCCCCTAAAAATGGGATTGCCGAACCTGAAGCTGAAGCCGAGTGAAACGATAAGTTATTTATGGCATGGCCAGGCGACAAGGGTTCTAGAAAGTAATTTAATTTTATTTTCGTGTTTTGAGTCTCGCTCGAGCTGAGTTATGAACAGATTCCGGTTTCTCTCGTGTCTACCGATGACAAATACCTCTACAACCCCACTCACCCTATCGCCACCTATCGATCATCTTGGACTGCCAGCAAACTATTTCGTCGTGAGACACAGAAAAGCGAGGAGTAATATATACTCTGGCAGATCGATCATTACAACTGAAGCCCTATGATATGGAAGACTTTTTTCGATACTATATTTCTTGGTAGTTGAGTTTTCCCCAGAGTAAAAAGAAAAGTCATTGAAACAGGCCGACATTTGGGCATACCGTCTGCGAGAGGGTACACTCTCACACGTTAATGGCCCGTCCAGACAGCTGATAAATCTGTAACAAAGCGAAACGTGAGACTGTCTACCCCGAAAAAGAACCTCAACCAAAAAAGCACACAAAACTGGTTATCTCAAGTGCCTGGGGCTGCGTCAGATCGGCTGAGGACCGCTTGGCAACAAGACAGATTTTTGTCAGTCAATTGTGGCCTAGAATCAGCATCGGGTGGGTAAATGGTAATTGCTTGTGGGAAACACGTTACGTTTGAATTTAGAAAACTACATATGTTGATGGTATTTTTTGCATGCATTTGGTATTTTGTAATGACCCTAAAATTGCCACTGAAATACTGCCAAATAATATGACCGTACTACCAAAAAGCTTTGAAAGAAGAAGAAAAAAGAACAAAATACAACAAAACGTGTCTGGTCTGTCTGTCCTAGTCAAAATAGTCAAAAAGTCAATCGAAAGTTTTTTTTTATTTTTCGATCTGCCAAAATGGTTTTCTACTTTAAAAGCAACATTATCCAGCCGCCGGCCACTTTGTACATGGGCCGCGACAAGCACGAGAACGAGGAGCTCATACGCTGGGGCTGGCCGGAGGATGTGTGGTTCCATGTAAACAATCTGTCGTCGGCGCACGTTTACCTGCGCCTGAAGCCGGGCCAGACCATTGATGACATACCAAGCGATGTGCTGGTGGATGCCGCCCAGCTGTGCAAGGCCAATAGCATCCAGGGCAACAAGGTAAACAATCTGGAGGTTGTCTACACCATGTGGGAGAACCTGAAGAAGACCCCGGACATGGAGCCGGGTCAGGTGGCCTATCACGATGAGGGTGCTGTGCGCAAGATTCGCCTGGAGAAGCGGGTCAATGAGATTGTGAACCGCCTGAACCGCACCAAGACGGAGGAGGAGCATCCCGACTTTCGTGGCCAGCGCGAGGCTCGTGATGTGGCTGCGCGCAACGATCAGAAGAAGATGCTTCGCGTTAAGCGCGAACAGGAGAAGGAAGCGGCCAAGCAGCGCGAACTGGAGGCCGAGCTTCGCAGCTATGCCTCGCTCCAGAAGTCGGAGAATATGCGCACAAACTACGATGCCGGCAACGAGTCGGACGACTTTATGTAGTATCAATTGCATTTGGATTTACATATAAGCTATGATTATCATCATATGAGAATCATAATACATTTTTTTGTTAATAAATTATATAATATAAAAACCTTGGCAAATGCCTGAATTGAATTCAATTCCATGACCCATAATCTTATAAGACGAACATCCTTTTAAAGCCAAAAAAAATTAAACGCGGGAGAACAGCTGAAACGCTAGTTTTTTCGCCTGTCTGGCAGCTCTAAGGTCTTACTTATGGGTTTTCGCTTGTGTGGCAGCACCTCTGGTTATCTGCTAAATTCAACTTTAATGCGGAATTCCCTAGGAGCGTCGCACTCACTGAACACAATATAAAGCGACCCAAAATTCTTTTTTTAAACAGCATCCTGGTCTCTCATATGGATGTATGACTAAAATGGCTGCGACGTAATATCCAAATGCTTTTTGGTTGCCACAATAGAGAGCGGCGTAGTGTCCTTACCAATCATCATGTGATGCTCTTACTCCCTTTCCCTTCCTTCAACCCGGAAGCACTTGCACCAAACAAGCGATATGATTTTGGGAAAACCCTCCACACGCCTCCACTCACATAACATAGAATAGATTTAATAAAAAAAAAGGGTTTATTTTGCCATAATGAATAAAACCAGATAGGTGCAGTTACTACTACAGACATGGATAGACAGGGGTAAACAGTGTCCCCAAGTACATACAAGGATTAGGTTTACTCGATAATGCTCTAGGCCTAGATTAGTTAGGTATGGGGAGAGCCTGTCGGCTCTGGTATGGTTTATTCGACTACTTGTAGAAACACTTAACTAAATTCGGGGAGGAGCTATGAGGGATATACAAGGCATACAATAGTAGATACATATATCCTTAACGGTAGAGAGCTTAGCGCCTATGTCACTCAACTAAAAATAGACAAAAAATGGGCACAAATTACATGATAGGATTGAGATTTGCATTGGTACACTCAAGACTAGACTATACATATGGGGCGGGGGCGGGGTCGGGGTCGGGGGGGATGCGCTGATGATGGGAAGGGGTCCTACAGTCCTTAGGTGGTTAGTTGTGAGTGTTTTTCTGTGATGAATGTGTGTGACTAGTATTCGTTGAGAGTTGGCTTATGAGTAGGATCTGCTACAGTTACGATTGTTGTCTGGCATGGAGCGAGCACTGGGCCCCTGCGGACCCATCTCAATTGCTTGGCTGAGCTGAAGCCGAAGCTGAAACGGACATGGCGACGGGAACGGGCACTGGAACGGGCACTAGAACCGAACCTGAACCTGAACCTGAAGCCGAACCCGAAGCCGATTCCGACTGTTGTCTACGCGGTCAAGCGACAATATCACTACCGGGATTGTAGCCAAAGTAGTTGAGATTAAACTCATCGCTGAATAGCACCTCCTCCTCGGAGGGTTCAACCTGGTGCGACATCTGTATGCCCAGCTCCATGGGATCAATCTCGGTGATGTAGTACTGCGAGTGGGTCAGACTGTTGATGTTGCCGCTGTTCATGTGGATGCCGCTGCCCACGCCATGCTGCTGCTGCCTCAGACCACTCTCCGTGACGACGACGTCCTTGTGTATGGGATTGAGATAGTCTTCTGGTTGGGAACAAACAGGAAGAGAAAAGAAATATGAGAAACCATGTTAGGTTTTGCCTAGCTTTACGGGTTGTTGGCTTGTTGCACTCACCATTGTCCAGCAGCACGTCGTGGTAGGTGCTGATGATGGAGTTCACCGACTGCACCTCCACCTCGCGATGGATGCCATTGAGTATCTGACCGGCCGTCTTGCGCAGCTCGTCGTCGCTCAGCAGATCATTGAAGGGCAGCAGTCTCTGGTGATGATGATGGTGCTGATGATCGGAATGGTGGTGCTGCGACTGTCCTGCCGTTGACTCATTCGTCGTTGTTGTTGAAGAATGTTGCAGCATCTCTTGCGTGAGTGTGGCAGCTGCCACGGCTGCCTCATCGTACAGGCAGCCATTGTTCGTTTGATGGAGTCCCTGCCCCTGCCCCTGCCCCTGTCCCTCTTGCGACGAGTGGCAATTCTGTTGCTGCTGCTGCTGCTGTTGCTGCTGCTGTTGTTGCTGGAGTTGCTGCTGATGCTGTTGGATGCGTTCCCGGTTGATAGACTCCATTTTGAAGAATAAATCCAGACGTTGCTTCTTCTAAAAAATAAAAACGAAAAACACCTTAATTAGAGCTACCGTGGACCACAACACATCAACTCCACTCACGTGCTCCCAAGCCAAGACATTCTCCGCCGAATCTCCGCTGGATATGGCCCACAAGTGGCCAGCGCCCTGGGGCGCCTTAACGCCCTTCCGGAAGTGCGGATTGATGGATAAATTGTGTCGCACCGAGTTCTTCCAGCGGTCATCGTTCGATTTATAATACGGAAAGCGATCGCTGCGGAATGAACAAAGAAAAATGAGCGTTGCTTTTTTGTTTCTTGCATTCCATGTATATTTAAAGCAGATACTTCAGGATTGGTCAATCATTTTCCACCCCATTCACTGGTCAGGAGGGCCAAAACATTGTTGACCAATTGCAATTAAAGTTTTCAACAGCAGTAGCAGCAGCAGGAGGTGGCGCCCAGCCAATCCCTATCGGAAGGCGGGCGGGCGGGCATGCATGGGAAAGCCAATTTCCATGGAACACGTCATCGCACAGGCACTGCGGCAGAAGCGCACACAGAGCCACGACGTACAGCTGAATACGGACACGGACATGGACACGGGCACTGACAGGGACATGGACAGGGACAGCGCCACTGGCACTGGCACAAATTATGCGTCGTTTTTATTCACCTCTCTTTTATTCTTTTTTCCCGTTTCCCAGTCACGAACAGGCCATTCGGAGCCGTACGTACGTACGTACGTACATATGTATATGCCAGTGGCAGGTGGAACCACCACCACCAGCACCACCGATAGACCCGCCATCAGTCCACTCCCATCCCAAACCCCCTGCTCCGGCCAGCCCATTTTGCCCAGATGTAAAAAGGAAACAACGACGACCGGAAAGGACATCGCGTGCCATGCCGGGCGTGCTCCCCACTCCCACTCTGCCTTTGGGATGGGGGGGTTTTCTTTTTAGAGTATGGGTGTACGACCATTGGGTGGTGGATCGGGTTGGGTCGGGTCGGGTCGGGTCGAGGCAACAAAATGGAAAGTATTTCAAATTACGGCACAGACATGGCTCGGAGCGAGTGGGGGAGGGGAGGGTATGGAAGACACGCGCCGCTTGTGGAGAAGGAGAAACCAACCCCCGAAGAAGGGATCTATGTGCTATGTCATTGGTTAACTGCCAGTGCCCCCCTGCTGCTGTTGCTGCTGCTGCTGCTGTCCCTGCCCCACCACCATCCATTCTACGCCCACGTAGAGTTGAAAAGCAATCCAAAAAATTTCAGCACGCGAGTCCCAAAAGAGGAGGCCAACATCCCACCATCACTCCACACCAGCAGGAGGGGGGGATTGGGCGGGCGGGCCCATTATGGCTCCTGCTATTTCTTGGTTTTTCGCTTTTCTTCCGTGTATTTTCCGTATTTTCCTGGTGTTTTGTTGCTGTTGTTGTTGTTGCTGTTTTGGGCACGGGAAAATGACGACTCATAAATGAAGTGAAATGAATTATAGAGAAATTCATGGCGGACTGACGCTCCGCTCCGTCTTGTTTGGATGACTCTTTGCAGAGGTTTGGGCGTGGTTGGTGGAGTCCTTAATGACCCCTCGGTAATGTTCTGATAACTCGCTTTACGCCGACTCCCCTCCCCTGGGATGTTTGTGTGTGTGTGTGGTATTCCTCTGTGCACAGATATCATATACTTTCATGGTGTGTTCGTACATGTAGATGCCTCAAGCGATCTGGCACGCAGTCCCGTCATGACGCATCAAACAGCGGAATCAAATGATGTGGCACTTGAAACTGCGCCGGCAATGGCGGGATCGGCGAAGGCATGGCTATGCCACACTCTCTGAAAGAGGGGCAGCAGAAGGGTAGCTAAATGAAATTAGCTCCATTCCAACCCTAACAAGAAATTGAATTGATTTGCTTTGCTTTGCTTTGCTGAGATTGGAATGGTTGGGCTGGTGATATATTCATTTATACGCATCTGACTCGCTCCTTAAGTTGTGGATTCCCTTCTATACCATATTTAATATATATATTTTAACAGGTATAAATATATTATTATTGCATCATCAAATCATGTTATTTCACCCAAAGTTCTGGTATATATTTGCAGCTACTTTTTCTGGTATATTTTCTTTAACTTATTTTTATCGAATTTTATCATCCATTTGAGTTATCCCATTATCTGACCTCCGAAATTAAAGTCTTAAAGTTCCTAATTAATATTGAATGTTATCCCGAAAATTATCCGATAACAGATATTCTTTATGACTGACCAGTGATCTAGTGAATTAATTCTTAAAGCTATACCCATTGATAGTAGCCTTAAGGTTTAATACAAAGAGTAACCAGATTCTGGTTGATGTGTACTTCACCCATATATTTCTTCTAAATTATCTGGCTTGGTTTTTGTATCAAAGATTCGTTAATTTGTAGCTATTAGTCCCCATAAATGAAAGATATACCCATTTGATAGTACGTCTTTGAAGGGTTTTTTTTTTTTTTGGGTGATTCACCATCAAATAATTTATTAAATGTAATCTCTTCTGTATATTTTATGCTTGGAACTTCCAATAATTCCAACTTCCAAGTTCTTTGAGACATTTGCTTTCGTTCAAAAGTTCTTTAAGCTTTAAAGTTATTGCCAAAAATAAACTGTCGCCGCCGCCTGGAGCAGCTCCATTGTGGGCCCAGCCCTTGCCTGGTCGAAGGCACTTGTAAATTTCCAAATATTAAGTCAGGCATTGATGTTGCAATAGTTCATGGTATCTACGTGTCTGTTTGGGCTTAATCATGGACTCAGGCAATCGATGGGCCTACACAAGAAGCGACATATACATGTGTATCCATCCAGACAAAACACCCACCCCACCACCCACCCATATATATCTACAGCTATAGCTACATATATGAGTGCGGGCATATCATGTTGGCAAAGCCCATCGTCGCACTTGTCGAATTGTCAACGTGGCCTGAAGCACTCGAGTCGTGGAAATCGGAAAATCGGGTAAGAGATATGTATGTATGTTTTGTATATTTGTATGTATTATATTCTTGGGTGATTTAGATGGTACTAGTTCATGAATTTGAGTGGCTTCGTTAAGTTGGTAAAAATCAAATACCCGCTATCAGCTATTGTCATCGTTGTCAATGAATTTGACTGACTAACTCTGCGCTTTGAGCCACGTAGGGGTTGGGATTGGGCCTGGCTCTGGCTCTGGCTCTGGGTAAAGGTTTTTTGTATGAAATTGTCAGAATACACGGCATGCCACACACCCACACCCACTTATTATCATATATGTATATGTGTATACATATATGTGGGTTTATATTTTGAGTTTCAGTTTCGGTTTAAATGAAAAAATTATTGCGAGCGTCTTTCGGGGCACTCTACATATATTCCATTCGTGGGGGCTGCTCTAGTTCCTCCTGTCCAGGCCTGGTCGGGCACTGAAATGTAATTGACTGGATGCACCACACGCCCTGGTCCTCGGTACTATCCAGCCAGCCCCCCACCATCCATTGCAGGCACTCTGATGAGGTCTGATAGGCTGGTCGCTCGGACTAAATGGTTGGTTCGCTCGTGTCTGGGCGTGCCTGGCACGCAAACCACCTCTCATTCTCTCTATCTTACCCACACACACGCATATATATTGTATAAGTATGCACATACATACATATATACTTATAGTATACTATATATGTACATATATTCAAAGAGAGAGAGCTTCATTTTTTTTTGACATGGCAGCTAGGACCCATCGGACTGGGCAACTACTTTTGGCTCTGCCTGTGGCACTGGCACTGGCACTGGCTCCATATACTATATGCTCAAAATATGCATATATATATATTTTCGTGTATATCTGAATAGGTATAGCCAACGTATGTATATGTGTGTATAAATGTGCATATTTATGGCAATACGTTAGTCAGTTCATAAATTGTTGCGGCTCGTTGGCGTCCACCTCTTGGGGCCCTTCTCCTTCTCCTAGCCACTAAAATACATTTCGTGGATTTATGGCCAGAAACAGAACCAGAGCTGCAGCTGCAGCTCCACACTGAGACTGAGACCGAACCGAACCGAAAGCCCAAGTTGCCTCATTTTGATTCAAGCAAAGTGAAAAAGTTTTTAATGGCAATTTTCGATTCTTTTTTCTACGAACGGGTGGGTGTAACCGCGGCTAGCTACGCCCAACCAGCAAAAAAATATATAAAAAATCCCAAGGCAAAAGTAATCACATGACCAATGACGACTCCATCTTAGATCTCGGTGTGGCTGACACAGAAAGTATTCTCCTTGGATCTGCCTCAAGGTGGATCAATCCTATGAAGCCAAAAGGACTCATCCCGCTTTTGAGTAGGCGTCTCCTTTCTTGATCCGCCACTAACCAAAAACAGCATTAATGGGTTCTTCGATTTTGTCTTTGAGTCAACCCCAAATTAACACGCCCCCACAAGGTTGTCCCTGAGGAATCCAAAATTTTTAAAAATTCGAGAAATCGGAACAAGAATCGTAGTGAATCTACCAGATTGCCGAATCTGGGTCAGATCGTATCATTATTATTGCCAGCAATAGAAAATCGAATTTCAGTGGATACGCTACGCCCTTCCACGTGCCTACTCTCTCTCTTTCTCTTTCAGTCACATACAGTCGAGTCGTTTTTTTAGAGCTGGTGGAGGGAAGCGATATAAACCGGCTGGTTTTGGTGTGAGAAGAGAAGAAATGTAAATATTGACATAAAATCCTTACAACTTTAAACCAATAGTATCAATAGATATGAGATTTTTGTGGACCCCTGTGGCCATACAGGCGCTGCTGTATCTATAGGAGGAAAACATTGATGGTTTTCGTGGTGTGAGAAAGAACGCCCACGTCTATAAGGAAATGCCTAAAGAAAATCAAAAAAGAAGAGCCAGTATTTTTCGTCCGTTTTCTTGGCATTTTGCATAATTTAGTTAGATTCCTGATCGTACGAAACTCAAAACAAGGCGCATTCTGCTTTATTGATTTAATTTCGAGATCGATAGCAAATACGCGGCAATGAGATTAAAGTTTGAACGTTTCAACTTGATGCCGAATAAAAAATATTTATAGCCATTCGATAACCATTAACGTATTCGGCTGGGGAAAAACTTACAGCTGCCTGAATGTTGGTTTGTTCACTGCTCTTAAGACTTTGTCTAGATTTAAGGATAAACGGAAGATGTGAAAGTGAATTAATAATCAAAACTGGATAATTCTTTGAAGCAGAACTGCTGTACATATTTCACCACATTATTTTCCGTACACAGAATACAGAATTAAAGACAATGTTGATCGTGCTGTTGGTTATTCGAAGGATAGGTTTTCCTTTAAAATAACATTTTGATTGAGAAGGGGTTGTAGGGTAAAGTTAAGGCCGCGTATTCAAATGATACGAGCACTACAGCTGCTAGATAGTCGTTAGTACTTATGACCCGTACCTATGCTCATATGTATGTATACTTTTCTGGACCCTCTATCGTTCCCCAGCTAAGAGCGATTGCGGTTACCAGAGCCGTGGCGGGAGGGTGGCTTAAATGTGGCACATGTCCTGGTCGATCATGCATGATCCGCATCCCATAAACACTCAATATGCACATTTCCAATTGACCGGAAGAGCGGAAGCGGCCGTATGCCACTACCCACCACTCACTCTACTTCACTCCACTCCCTCTATTAACCCACTTAACCCCTTGCCCCTTAACCCCCCGCCACTAGCACTGGCACTGGCACTGGCACTGGCAGGTAATTGCACTCAACTCTAGGCACAGCCATTGGGCATGGGCATGGGCATGGGCATGTCAAACACCTGATCCCCGGGATTCATTGATGCATGTAAAAGGTGTAGAAAAACCGGAAGGGAGCCGAAAGCGACCCCAACCCCAGCACGGACCTGGTCTCTTGCTTCCGATATACCAACCCCCGCAATTAATAATTATTGTGAGCAATGTGCAGCGTTGAAATTTCATGGGCAATTGCCAGGACAGGTAAAACGATTAAGGGAATGGGTGGCGGGGGCGAAAAAGGTTGGATAAATTGCTATTGCTATAGAGCATATACATATACATATATTGGGCATTGGGGATCGGGGATTGGCCATTGCGCAGGCGTCGTCTTTTGCCTTGAATGCGACGAGGACGTGGCCATGGGGTGGCAGTGGCACCCCTTCTGGGAGCCGCAAAATAAATTTGTGAATGGTTAATGAAAAGTTCCCCAAAACCTGAGACGAAACTTCTGCCAAGGAACCGGAGGGGGAGTCCTGGACTGTCGGCTCATTACATTTAATGAACCTCTGCCCCGAAAGGGGTATGGGTATGTCGGTGGTTGGTTGGTTGGATGGATGGGTGGATGGGTGGGTGGGTGAGTGGTGCAGGTGATGGGCAAATGTCATAAATTATTTGCTTCCCTCCCCCACCACAGTGTGAGGGGATGGTTTTGTATGTAAATTTATATAGGATATTTACACGCAACCTTTTGGGCTGCGGCTTCAAATATTTACACTGATTCAGGCCCCCATCCGAACAGGTGCAGAGAGGCAGGAGGCGGCACAGTAAATGCCAGGGATGAGTTTTTACCATTCGTAGGCGAAACCCCGAATTAATGAACCTTGAAAAATGTGTTAAAAGTTTTTCTATTTTTTTCCCTTCATGATTTGAACCGAATGGATAGTTTTTATTTGCCCAGAGGGACGGGTATAGACCAAAAGTAGGTAATGGGTTATCAGGGGTGGAATATCCGTCATCTATGTATAACGTTAAGAAACAAAGGACAGAATATGCCCGAACATTTATCTATAGAAGTGGAAATGATTTTGCGTTTTACATTTTACGTGCAGTTTGATTGAATTAAAAATAAAGATATCGAATATAAACACAGCTAAATACTCGCAGTAGATCTAGCAGTAAAAACATACAAGAATTTGAGCAGAAAAACTAAAAAGAGAACAAAGAATTTTGTATTGAAGAGTTAGTGGAAATTAAGAATCATGGGTACACTTTTTTAATGTTCGTAACCGTCTTTATGCACAGCTATAATGCAAGTAGAGATCATCATTTTGTAGATACTCGTACTCGTATCAGTAAAGGAGAAATATCTCAAATTTGTGTTCTTTTTATCCACATAAAATATATTCAAAGAAAGATCTTACATTTTGTAAATCAGAATCAAAGCAATCGAATCTTATGTTGGTACGCAAGTAGTGCCATAAATAACAGCTAGTGCTAAATACGCTTACACAAGGCAGCAGGCTAAGAATTAACTTTATTTCGTTCTTTAGCAGCTTCAACTGAGCTCCCTGGAGCTCTCTCGATCACTCGACATTCATTCATTTTTCATTCGGCTTGCCTGCCGCTGCAATTAGTCTTCAACTGGCCTAACCTCCTGATCTAGATCTAGAACTGACTCATTGTGAACTGATGCTTCAACATCTTCCTCACGCATCTCGAAACTTTCGCTATCGTCTGATCGCTGACAAAACAATAAACTGCACGTTTGCATAGCTAAACCTTTCGCAACAGCTGGTATAAAAAGCTCATTAAGTAGCTTAACATTTGACCTATCTGATAGATCGGAAAAGTTCCTTCAGTTCCTCCAATGACAACGCTCTGTGGGTATAGTTTGATAGCCCTGCTTGATTTCTCTCTGAGCAACCATCAAAGGAATTTCCTTGATATTTCCGACCTGAATCGAATTCTTTTCCTGACCCCAAACATGGTATGAGATGGCATCAAATTCCTCTTTGACCCCTAACACATCTAATAAATACAAGGTTTCCGCTCTGCTTAGTTCCAACAACTTGTTGAACAAACCCACACACAGTTCCAGCTAGGAAAATGCAATTTTTCTGCCTATAAATTGTTCGAGTCAAAAACTTTTGGCACTAGCTTTGGGGTTGGGTGTTCCTTGTGTGTTCCTTCGCTCCTCGCTGTTTGTGGAGTGAGCAACACCTTGAAGAAGGAAGGAGCCAATGAAATGGCCAGCGGGAATGCCCAGGAGAAATTCTTGAGATTTGTTTAATTGCATCCGGCTGGCGTTTCCATTCCCCCCCAAAAAAGATCTACTACAGCCAAAACATGAACACAAAACCAAAACAATCGCCCAAGAAGCATCCAACAAAATGGCGTCCATCAAGTGTACTGGGGGATGTATGTACATACGTACATACATAGGTGTGGGGGTGGACCAGTGGGTGAACAGGGTGGACAGGGTGTACAGGGTGGTTTGGTTTGATGTACATAGAAGAGCTGGATTGGAGTACTTACGATATCCACTGGTATATGCCCGACACAGTCAGTTCACCCTTGTCCTCGAGGGCGTATTCGATGAGTTCCGTGTAGGTGAACGGTGGTTTCTTTGGCCTGCTTGTTTTGCGGTGGTTGGTTTCGGGTTTCACGTTTCGGGTGGATGGGTGGGTGGATTGGTGGTTGGGTGTTTCATTCGTTCGTTGATTCGTTTGGGTAATGGGGCGAGCGGTTTTCATTCGGTGGTCGGCATCGATTGGCGGCGCCAGAATGGAAATGGAAATGGAGAAAATTCATATCAAGAAAACGTATTACAAAAATGTTTAGAAAATTTCTGTAGAAAGGCGAGAGGCAGGTGGTATTGGGAGTGGATGCAATTGGCTTGATTTTTTTTGAATAAATAAATAAGTAAAAATCCATAAATATCTCATGATCAGATAGCATATCTGATATTATATCATTCATATTATAGCATTCATCAAATTCAAGAGTCGCCTCTATAAAGGTAAGAAAAGAATTTCCCAGCAGATACTCTCGAGTATGGATACGCTTTGGCAGTTATATTTTCCCTAAGAAATCTATTAAAGCATTTTTGATACCATTTAACTGAGCTGTGATATTTATTATTTTAATACAATTTATAAAACTACAGCTTGCTGAATTTTGAGGCAAGAAACAAAAGAATTCTTCTGACAAAGACTTTTTTCTACGGATCGTTTAGAGCTGTGGCAGAGCTGTATGATATAGTCATCCATTGTTCAAACGTAGGCCCCGCTAGCAGGGTAGGGACACCATCAGGATACAATGTTCCTAGAGGGACTGGGGAGCATGCGTGTAATTTCGCCTAAGCCAGCACACAATTATGTATGCAAGTACTTCGGATGTTGAATCGGATTATACTCACGCCTTGGAGGTTGTATCCTCGACAACAACATGCTCGGCCACTATCATATCGTTGCCATCCAGCTCCGAGGTGACTTCCATCACCAGCTCCTCGAACTTGCGGCCGGTCTTGGTGGAGCTGCTTATGTTGCCGGACACTGTAGTGCCCCCAGCAGCTCCTACGACTGTTGATGCACCGATCGAGGCGCTGGGGCAGCTCTTGGGGGAACGGGCGCGCTGATCCAACAGGGCGCCATGGCTCTGGCTGGAGTTGAGAGAGTGATTCGAGTTCGTGGTGCATGCGGATGCAGATGGGGGCGAGGTAGAGCTACAGGGCGATGTGCTGACAGCGGTTGTTAGCGTCACGGCCTCGGCTTGACCCACAGGCTGGGACTGGCTTTGGCCCTGCCCCTGGCCATGGGGCGACAGATGGGGGAACTCGTCGAACTTGAAGTTGAGCAGCCACGACAGATTCTTGTCCTCAAAGTCCGCCTCCGAGCCATCTGAAGTTGTCGTAGTCGTGGGCGCGCCTGTCGAGCCTGATGAAGTGCGCCTGCCCGTGGGCAGAATCCGACTTCCCGCCTGCTTCAGTGGAACCATGAAGCTTTGATTTTGTGTTCCCTGCGCCGATGACTGGGACTGGTGCTGCGGCTGCGGCTGCTGCTGCTGCTGTGGCTGGGAGCTGGTAAGCGGCAGCGTCGCGTTCAGCTGGCCAATCTCCGCCTGCAGACCAGAGTTGTAGCGATGATCGAGCTCGAGCAGCTCGCCCGTCTGCCAGCCGCCGCCGGGACCATCCTCTAGGGGGGCGCTCAGTGTGGGCGTGGGCAGCGTGCTGGGCGGGCCGCAGTATGCGGCGGACGGCACCAGGAGGCTGCTGTCGTAGGCGAACAGATCGTTAATGAAGGCGGCCGAGGACTCTGGGGCTGGTCCAGCAGCAGCAGCAGCAACTATAGAGGCAACGGCAGCAGGAGCGGAGCCGCCACTGGCCGTGCTGCTGGCCGCTGGCGATTCCAGTTGAAGGTGAAAGTGCAGGTCGCCGGCATCGTACTCAAGGTGACGCTTCTTCCAGGGATTCGTCTCCAGTTGGTCGTAGTCCTGGCCCAGTGCTAGCTCCTGTCCCTCCACCTCCACCTCTACCTGCGACTCGTACTTGCGCTTCAAAAAGTTGTATTCGCAGTCTCCTACCAGGTGTCCGCTGTTGGAGCTGTTGCCGTCACTGGTGTTGCTAGTGTTGGTGTTATTATTGGTGGTGTTGCTGTTGTTGTTGTTGTTGGAAGCGGGACTGAGATGGACACCGGGAGCACTCACACTGCCCGTGGCATTGACGGGCATATTGACAATCATGGCCCAGACCTCGCTCGCTCGCTCGCTTCACGTGCACTTCACGCGACGCCCAAAACACACACACGGAGGCACAGGAAAAAAAACAACGTAACCAGCAGGCAACTAACAAACAAAAAACAAAAGGATGCACAGGACGAAGGGCCACTAGCCGCCAGGAGCACAGGAGCTAAACGATATAGAGCTGGACTTGGACTGGCACTGGAGCTGGAACTGGAACTGGCGGTGTGTGTGTTCTGTGTGTGGATTCTCCGAGCCGAGTTCCGTCTCGCGCTGCGACTAGCCACGGAATGCGGACAAACGCTGAGTGGTGCCAGGAGCGGAGTTGGTGCCAGAGTAGTAGCTCCCCGCTCGTCTGTGCTGCGCCTGCGCCTGCTGGCGGCTCTCATTACCCCTGCGCACTCAGTCAAGCACAACCCAGTCCAGTCAGTATTCAGGCCTAGTACCAGACCCGCACACCATGTGGACGCGCGTACTGGTGCTGCTGCTGGGTGCTGGGTTCTGGGTTCTGGGTGCTGGTTCTGCATGGTCGCTCTTTGGCCATAATCGAACATGTGCGTTGTCCGTTAGCCAATTTCGGCGTGTTGACAGAGTGTTGGCCCTGTGCAGCCATTCAAGCGTCTAATCGCCGCTTTAGGCACCCTGTGAATGTGTTGCTGGAGCTCAGGACTACGTCCGGCGGTTGGTCGGCCCATCTGCATGGAAAGGGATAGCAATTAATTGTTTATATCTGGTCTGTCTTGGGTATGGAGAGAACGGGGATCAGGATGAGGATGCCTGAAAATAAAATACAAATTTTAATTATTAATGGTTTATAGAGAGATACTCGTACATAGAGTGGATTCACTCATTTACACAATTATTTTTCCTAAGTCTAGAATAAAGAAACAGAAAGTCGCGGAAGGAAGAGTGAAATTTGTTCTGGTACTTCAGTGTTTTGTATAGAACATGGAAATGTGAAAGGAAAAGTGCATATACATATATAGTGCATATGGGACTTGACTTAATTTTAGGTACAGAGAGACATACATATATCATTTAAATATTTTTTTTTTTTTTATTTAAAACCCTAAAGCAACCAATGAGAGCGAAATGCGCCAAAATGTTTCTGATGTTTTTTCCCCGTATCGTGGGCGATAATAATAAAGGTAAGCCTGCTATTAAAAATACCAAAATGTAAAGTAAATATGATCTTTATCACATCAAAGTGAATGAAATTATTTCTCCTATCAGGAGAGAATAATATGAAAATGGGTTTTTTTTTACTTTTAATTTTTGTTTTTTTCGTGAAATGCCGCATGCCACGAGTAAATCATAAACTGAACTTATCAAGCGTTTATAATCATCAGTTCAGGCTTAACACTGCCTTAAGGGGTTGACTTGAGCCGGGCTCAGAAATCACTGCATTTTTATTATAATTAAAACCAGTTCAGCCCTGTGCAAGGGCAAGACTTGGGATTACAGGCAAAAACTTGCTTACGCTTTGGCCCCATAGCACACAAGTCTTCTTCGGCGACCTCTTACGCATTCTTCTGCTCTGGTGGTCGGCTGTGAACTCCTCGTTGTCACCACACACTCCCCAGGAGCTACTATAAAAATCAAGCAATTAAATCAACTTTCTTGGGAGCCACAGGGCCGTCTTACTTACTGTTCGAGAGATAGCACATATTGAAGGGATCATGAGGTCTATAAGTTAAAGGAATGCCCTCTACTGGACGTCGGATAAACAACTTCCAGACCCATGACTAGTTTGATCACATTCTTTGGCAGCAGCTCCGCCTGGTTCGACGCATATAGTGGCAGATTTGTATACCTTCTATCTGTAACTAAATGAGCGTTTTATGCCTGGCGGCCTGTTATCAGCATTTCCATTAAGAGCGAATCTGTAAATTGAATCAGTTATAAGAAAATGCTAGCAAATAAGAGTACGTTTAGGTATATAATGCTTACTTGCCAATAAACAAATTCTGGGAAACATTCGTCGTTGTTTGTGCGCGTATTTGTGTATGTGGTGTGGTGTTAATACTCTCGTCACTGTTCCAAGCGCTCGGGTCCATCGGAAATGCCACAAACTGTTTTTGAGCTGGTTGCGCTGTTCTGCCGTCTGAATTGACAGTAGCAAAAAAGACCCGCACAAATGAGCATGGACAGAGCCAGATGGTGAGGCCGGGAAGAGCGTCGGGTACGGGAGTCCCCAAATGGATCGCAACGGAGTTCAATCGTCTTGATAAATACGCTTGATAAGCCCCGTGCTGGCAGTTCGCATCCGACGATAGATCTCGCCGAGCGACAGTCATGTTTCCCACTGCTCGCCTTTGCACGCTGATTGTGGCTGCTGCTGCTGCTCTGATTGTTGTGGTGGTTGGTGTGTCCGGTAAAGCTCGCCATCGGGCTGTGGATTGTCCGCAGATCAAGTTGAAGCGGCAGTGGGGCGGAAAGCCTTCCCACAATCTCCACTATCAGGTGCGTCCCATCCGCTTTGTGGTCATCCATCACACGGTCACCGGCGAGTGCAGCGGATTGCTGCAGTGCGCTCAGATTTTGCAGGGCATGCAAGCCTATCACCAGACGGAGCTCGACTTTGACGACATCAGCTACAAGTAAGTATAATCAGAGATATCAGTTGACACGCCGCCACTCACTGCAACGCTCCATTCCCAGTTTCCTTATTGGCAGCGATGGCATCGTCTACGAGGGCACCGGCTGGGGTCTGCGCGGCGCCCACACTTACGGCTACAACGCCAATGGCACGGGCATTGCCTTCATCGGCAACTACGGGGGTGAGTTACGTTTACAGGGAGCCACTCCGGCTGATTGTTGATCCGATCCTATCCTCTCCATTTTCACAGAAAAACTTCCCACGCCAGCTGCCCTGCTGGCGGCCAAACAGCTGTTGGCGTGCGGAGTGAGGCAGGGGGAGCTGAGCGAGGATTATGGACTGATTGCAGGCTCGCAGGTGATCAGCACACAGAGTCCCGGGCTGACGCTCTACAATGAGATTCAGGAGTGGCCGCATTGGCTCTCCAATCCTTAAAGTTATCTAAAGGTGTTTTGACATTAGACTTTGCTTACTTTGCTGCGTAGAGTGAGATAGCATAAGAAACAAAACGACATAGACGACGACACGTCTACTGCACTATTTGAGACAAAGTTATTTTTTCCAGCACAACCCAGACACCAAGCCAGCAAAATTGTATCCGCAAAGTAAAATAGTCGACTAATTCTGCCCCAGCTCAACTGGAAAGCCAGCCAGACGCATATACTTATCTCGCTCTGACTGCTGTCATTTCCCATAAGACAGTCAGCTAGCAAAGTCTAGTGTCATAGCACCATAATTCGCGAATTTTTGCGGACTATTCGATAACCGATTGCATTTACACGACAACATAGCTTTTAACTTTTTTTAAATTGCAAACACAAATTAATTACCTGTAAATAAATGGACTGCTCTGCAATTAAATTAAACAAATGAATTAAGCAAAGCAATGAGATCAGATCCATATTCGATTGACAGAGACCGATAATCACCGATATCCATTTGCAGGTCTTTCTTGCAGCCCAGCCAACTTCACGCAGCTCCTTTCGTCTGTGCTTTTTTTTGTTGTTGCAAAAATGAGTGATTCAGAAGAAGCGAAAGAAATCGCGGAAGTTCAGCGACATCCCGACAGCGATCAGCCCAACAAAATGTCAGACAGCGAGAATAACAATTTGCTCAACCTGGAGGATATTATCCAGCCGCTTATAGGGGCGAACTGCTCTGATTATGCAGTGGCCCATGCAACTGTGAATGTGATACCGTTTCGCACATTTGCAGAGGTTTCACTGCTGCCGGATATTGTGCAGAGGATGAGGAAATTGGGCCTGAACCGTCTGCAGCGGCTGCAGAGCTATGCCTGGCCGCACATTCTCAATGGACCGGGCCACGGTGTCCTCATTGTGAGTGCCCCACGAAGCGGTCGCACGATGGGATATGTGCCGCCCATTTGTCACGTGGCCAGCACGGTCCTGGCCGCGAATCGATACAGGAGAGAAATGGCAATTGACTTATTGGATGTCTCGCATGGAATGGGACCCATTGCCCTGATTCTAGTGCCAGATATAACGCGAATGGAGCAGGTTGCCGCCCTATGCAGTGCACTCATGCCCAGGGATGAGACCGTCGAGGACATGTGGACCATTATGGTGAAGAAGGTGTTGACCGTTCCATCGGAGTGCACTCCCACGTTCATGGGTGCGTGGATCAGCGAAATAGGCGTCTTGGTGGCCACCCCCGCCCGATTTGTCAACGCGTGCAAGCAAGGAGAAGGTCTGCTAAAGCTTAATCAGCTACAGGTAGTGGTCTTCGATGATGTGGACCTAATGCAGAAAGAAGAACTGAAATTGGCCCAGCAGTACATTCCAAGCATGGCGGCTAAACACAAGGCCAATCCCCGTCCGCAGGTGGTGATGGTTTGTCAACACTTTACTCCGTCCCTGATTTCCATGGTGCGCCGTTTCAATCAACATCCGTGCCTGATATTTGGCGATCTACTGGAAGCTGCTCTCTATGGCGGGATGAGATTGTTGGTCAATATGGTCGGGGCGGAGGGTAAGGTCGCTGCGATCGTGAATCTACTTCTTCAGCGCCCGCCGGCGGTGTATCGCACCATAATCTTCTGCGATGACGATTTGCAAATGACCCTGCTGGTCGGAGCCTTAGAGGATTTCGAGTACCAATGTCTGGTCTACTACCAAACCATGGATCTGGAGCAACTTGATAAGGTAAGCAGCTGGACGTGTGACAGCCGCGGCCTCATATTTGTCTGCACTGACGACTGTCCGGAGCTGAAAATACGCAATGCGCACACCATTATCCACTACAGCATGAGCAGCTCGTGGGGCAAGTTCAAGAATCGCTTCATGTTCCTGTCCGACAATGTGCCCAATGCCCTGGAACGTCCCAAGGTACCGGAACCGGCGCCAACGGCAACAGCAACCGCAACCGATCGAAGGATCCTGGATTCGCTTGTCCTCTTGGATGAGGCGAACGCCAGGCAGCTGCCCCGTCTGGTCGACTTAATGCTGCTCCGCCAGAAATTGGATCCCAATATTGTGGCGATGGCTGATCGCATCCGCAAGAAGGTAAACACAATGAAAAACATTGTTAAGCCGATATGCAGGGAGATCTTGACTCACGGCGACTGCTGGGACACCAGGTGCGTGCATCGTCATTATTTGCACGAATCGGATCGCCGTTTATCGGCAGTACCCTGCTCGGGAGACATCAAGGTCAAAGTGCTCCGCGTGTACTCCCCCGGACACTACTGTGTAATCGCCTACGAGCATTTGCCCCCGGAGGGTAAATGGCACAGCTTAGAGCCCGACAGCAATTTGCCGACTCTGCTGAATTTCAAACTCAGCGGGGAGAAATGTGGAGCCACCGCCTCGCTACTGGCCACCGCAACACCAAGCCGTGTGTCTGTGGAAGACAGAGTCTGAGACGGTTTCTGGCTATTCATATGAGCGTGTCCGGGTGCTCAGTGTGCCGCCCATTGAGAATGTGAATCTGGCCCAGTCGGACCTCGTGGTGCTCGTGCAGGCCATGGACTATAGCACTCGCCGCTTCGAGACCAAATGCATGTCCCTTCATGTCTGCCCCGATGAGTACGTCAGTGAGCCGCCATTGTGCATGGATCTGCGCCTCCTGGGAATGGTTAATCACATGAGTGATCGCAATTGGGCTGGCGCAGACGCGAAGACGGTTCAAGACTGGCTGGACAAGGCGCCCAAGGACCACTTCGTTCAGGCCAAAGTCGCGTTCTCCACTTCGCACACGATCTTTGCCACATGTATGGTGTCTATGGTCTACCTGAAGACAGTGAAGACTTTTAATCTCCACTTGAACCTACTAAGAGCCCAGATCGAGAACAAGATAAGCAAGCGATGTGCCCGAACCAAAGAGAAGATTTTAAAATTCTTCGAGGAGCTCATCAAGCTGGACGCACCGCCGATCCCCCAAGAACCCCCAGAACAGGAACAGGAAACGAACACATGTGACGATGTGCGTTTGGCGGCAAATGGGCCCAAAGAGCACATCGCCGAGGACAAGTACAAGAGCTCACCCTCAAAGCAGGACAATCATAAATTGCCGGCCAGATTCCAGCGTGTAGTGGACCAGAGGCTTAAGATGAGCCTGGAGAACCGCCTATGCCAAAAGCGCAGCCAGGAAGAAACGGATTCCGAGAAAGCCAAGACCACTAACGTCGAGCTGGAACCTAAGCAGAGTCAGAGACCTGCCACGCCTGTTGACCAGGACCAGACTGCAGAATCGGAAGCTTCCGTACTTAAAGAGGTCCCAATGTCCGATTTCTACGACTGCTTCATGAAATGCGCCGCGCTGGACCGCATGGAGGAAATGGAAACGGGCACTAGCATGGCAGGTCCGAACGTTGGCTATCAGATGTTGACTGAAGCCCCAGTCCAGCGCTCCCTGGAGTCCAAGAAGGCAAAGCCCAAACAAGAATTAATCCAAGAATCCAACGGCGAGAAACTGTCAGCCCGGACAGGAGTAACAGCAAGTAATGCTGCCCGTATTCTGCGGTCCGCATCGCGTCCCGATGTCAAATACTTCCAGACCCTCCACGCCCTCCATCTGCAGGTGACCATGGTCGATGAAAAAGTTTCCTACCGAACACGTGTGATAAAAAGCAGCACGATTTTCTTTAAGGCCATCCCTACTGTCGGATCAGGATTGGGATCCCCCACTTGCAACTCTAACTCTGGGGGCTACGAGTTCTCTGTGAACACACATATGATCTTCAAAGGTATACAACATTCCATGAAGGGGCGCACGGTATACATCGAGCTTCAAAAGAAGAATCCAGGCTACTACCCCACACAATTTGTCCACTTAAAGTACTTTCAAACGAACTACGACAAGATTGTGATCGAGGAGAAGTGGCATCAGCGAGAAAGATTCAACTTTGAACAGTTGATACGTCAGCATGGATGGGGAGTGCCAAAAATCAAAGAAAAAGTGGAAAGCAGCGAGGAACCCGCGTCCGAGACCGAATCGGAGGAGGGGGTGGAGCGACCCGAAGACTACAGGAAGATCGAAATGAATTAAGTTTTAAAGCACTTATGTACGTACATGTAGTAGTAGTAAATGACTGGAAACCGATTCATAATACCTGTGCATGTTTTTTTCTCTATAATTCCAGAACTATTCAATTTAAGAACGAGTGGCATTCAAAGAAGAGCATGAGCCACGACGCAGTCAGTAAAGATATATGTATATTGTTTCCAAATTCAATACTATAGAAGGAATTTAAAACTGAATTTTTAATTTTTAACACTTGACACACACTTACATATGTATTCCATAAATAATATATTGATAACAATATGTACTTGACACTTGCAACACACAAACGCAGATAAAACTCTTTAAGAAATCTACTGATTACAAAAACATTCTTGCTGAACTCCAGCGTGTATTTGATACTATTTACTTCCTTTCTGTTCTCGCATAGTTTAAAAATATCTACAATTAGCAATTAGCACTATAGATGACGGATGTGCGTTGATTTGCGAACATTTTTATGGTACAATTAGATTGGTGCAACAAAGAAATACGAGTGGATCAAATAATAATTCGGGAAATGAGGGGATCTACGAGTTGATTTTTATTTGATTGTGTTTTTAATCTTAAGCAACACGATCGGTCATTGTTAAGCCGAAGGATCAAACCCTAAAAATTATCTGTACGAAGACGTCCGTGAATAAACTCCGCAAGACCACAAGAAAGACACAGTTCGATTGATTTAAAATTGGTGGTGAGCATAAGAGTATGTACATAAGTGCTCATGCAAGTGTGTTCCTTCGAACGTTAAGGGTAGTGTATTTTATTGGGGGATACACAGTTCATGAATACATCCAGGCACTTATGTACATATGTATGCTGATGGCTGCATGCACTCTGTATACAATCGGATGGGACTGCACGCTCCACGCTCTGATCTGACACTTGGAGGGACACCAGCAATGACACTGTCCAGTCACGCAGCCCGAAATTAGCATTTAAAAATACGTATTTATAATTCTTAGCTAGTCGCGTTGCATAAAGTAAACTCACCAATCTCGTTGTGCTCCTGGAACTGCCCTCAATTTCGTTGACTTTCTACTAACATCAACATATTAGCTGATCTCGCTCTCATTCAAAGCTTTGCGTGCACTTTGGGCACCGACATTCGGCTCGTAATTGGTCCTTGCAATTAGTTTTAATATAATTCTTGAACCTCTTTAAGTGACATCGCTATCGGCCACTATGCTGCGCATAATACATAACAAAAAACTATATTAAAACGAAACAGTTCAGCTATTAATTTAAGCGTTTTTGATACAAGCTTACAGACACAGAATGTGCTCTATTCGGGGACATTTGGGGACATTCACTCGCACTTAATAAAGTATGTCCCCTCCGCTCGCGACTAAGCGGAGTATTTGGGCAGCGGATGCTTATTTACAGTGGTGGAGATTTATCTGCAGAAGCCTCAGAGACTTCATTAGAGTTACTCTCCACCACTGTTATGTCGGCGTCAGAGTCGTCGAGAATCTCGTCACGACACAACGCCTCAAAATCGAGCATTAGCCTTAACCTAAACAAAAACCAACAGTTAATTTGAGAAATTTTGGGTTTATTGTTGTTTTTGGAATTAAAATCAATCAACAACGTCTAAAAAGGCATTTATTGCTTAGAAATATCCAAATGCCGATAACCTAGAGACTTAAACGGAGGCGAAGGTTCACTTGGTGTCCTCTTGGGTGGTCTTTCTGGCAGGCTTATGATTCGCATGGACCTCGTCCTTGAGTCCCTCCCGGTTGCGGGAAATCTCTATGGCCAGGAACTGTACGCGAAACACAAAAATGGAATTGTCTGGGCTGAACTCTTGACTGGCATCGGCCCTCATCAGCGTCCCATAGGAATAGTCATCCATTTTGTTGAATTTCTCGGCGAACTCACGCCACTTCAGCTTCTCCACAGCAAATTTTAGTACGTCATCTGTTAGCAGGCCCACTTTGAGATCTGGAAAGTCCTGGCGAAAGGTTTCATAGATCTGATCGTCATAGGGCGTGAGTCGCAGCTGGAAGGGATGAACGATGTGGGCTTATTAACGATTGTTATTTGCATTTGGAAAGTAGAACTTACATTGAAATGAACCTCGGCATGTTCCAGAGCTTTAGCGGCCCACATTTCTTCAACCATCGAATCGTTGCCAAACTCGTCCGCTGGCCTGGACAGCATGGAGGCTCCGTGCTAAGCATGGGACGTACTTTAAGTAATGTCTGCTCATATGATCTATACACGGGCGATACATACCATCATCTCCATTTTGAAAATAACAAATATTTCTCGAAAAAACTTAAAAAAAACAGCACGTTTCCTTTTATTTAGCGATCAGTGTGGCCAGCCCAATCTTAGTTGAAAATTGCCAGCAAAGCAACCCATGAAAATACTTAAATTTCTCGTTACATTTTCTTTTGATTTCATTCTGAGTAACAAATTCGACTCGAACCACATACACACATCAACATTTTTTGGAACCAATATGTCTAATAGTGTAAATGCGTTGTTTCTTTTGGCCTCGGCCTTGGCCTTCACCACTTGGTGTACGAATTGCTATATTAATGCAATTGAGAAAAAAAATGCGCTGAGAACTTCGATGTGGAGCTGTACACAGGTAAGAGATGGAGCGAATTACGACTGTATATCCTTGCCTACATCTGTGTGTATGCTGCATTCCAGAAAACCCTTGGCTCACATCCAAGCAATTGTCAAGCGAAAATATACGATATACTCTCCACTTTGAAATTATGGCCAGTTTTGTCATAGTCTTATGCCTCACATATGCATTGTTGAGGTTCGTAGAGGCGCGGGCCAAGGTATGGTATTGGCATATCATGGAGCAAGAGGTGCCAGTTGTGCAGCACGATAATCTGCTGAATGGGCAGTTGACGGAAAAATTAAAAAACTTGCAGAGCAGATATGAGCTGATTAACCAAATGCTGAAGAAAGAACAGCCCTGTGGATTGGAGCAACAGGTCATTGGCAGTAGCTCATAAAAAAAAAAATAATATTCTTTGTATTTTTATTGTATATTTAATACGTTTCCGTCATAATTTACAATTTGTTTAGTAATTGATGGTCATAGATCTACACGTATTCAAATGTATGTATATCTGCACATGTATGTTCGTATGTACTTGGATGAATACATAGATGACGCTTGTATTCTGCACTTAAAATGTTTATGTTTATGTTTACGAAACGTTATGTGTCACGCATATGTGCGTTGATAATAACAATCTGATAGTGGTACCCAATCGTGTGGTGCTAAAAAAATATAGATACATTATAGATCGCTTGTAGTGTATGCCCCCGTGCGTCCCGTTTTGGGCTGTGCTTTTATAGAGTTGATTTTGCTGTTGCGATTGCAGCTGCAGTTGTTGTTGCAGCTAAAACGCAACTTATTTTTGCTATCTTAAAGCAACGAAATATTGTAATGGAACACACAAACACACAATCGGTTAATTTGTTTTTGCATGTTTTTTTAAGTGCGCTTCTTGGGGGCTTTCGGTTTTGTGTCGGATGATGGTTGGGCGTCACAACTCTGATCTGACCGATTATAGACCACTCCTACTCCTACTCCAGATCCTCCTCGTCCTCCTCCTCCAGGGTTCCCCGTGGCTCAGTCGTCGCTCTCCTCGAACGTGGGACTGCTGGGCGAGTACGCTGGACTGGTGGGACTATAGTGCGATGGTGCCGTCGGCGAGTACATGGGAGAAGTGGGTGAATAGTTGCGTGCCGTGGGCGTGTACGTCGGCGATGTCAGCGAGTATTCGGTGCTGCTCGGCGAGTAGATGGACATGTTGGGCGAGTACCGTGGACTGGTGGCCGAATCGGTGGATCCAGTGGGGACTGTACTGGTTCGACGGCGAGTGCTGCGGCGAACTGAGCGAGTACAGGGGCGATGTGGGCGAGTACTTGGGGGAGGCCGGTGAATATTGCGGCGAACCGGGCGTGTATTGGGGCGATCCTGGAGAGCCATCGTACGAGGGCGATGGCGGCGAATAGGCCGGAGACGTCGGTGAGTACTTGTCCCCTGTCTGGGAGTAGGCAGGCGATGCCGGCGAGTAGTGGGGTGAGGCCGAGTAGTTTAGTGATGTGGGCGAATACGAGGGTGTCGCCGGCGTATAGTTGGGCGATGTGGGCGAATACGAAGGCGATGTTGGCAAATAGCAAGGAGACGTGGGCAAGTACGAGGGACTCGATGGGGAGTACGAGGGCGATGTCGGGGAGTATGAGGGGGACTTCGGCGAATAGTTGGTCGAACTGGGCGAGTAGGCATTGCCCGGAGAGTACATGTTGCTGCCGCTGCCCGCAAACGACGGACTCGAGGGGAAGTTTGATGTGGGTGAGTAACCAGACGCCGATGGCAAGTAGCCCGTCGACTGCGGATTAAAGTTGGGCGTGGTGGAGGCATACCGCGGACTGGGCGCTGCATATAGCGGCGATGTCGGCGAATAGTTGGGACTGGAAGGCGAGTAGTTGGGCGATGCCCCCCCGGGCGACGAGGCCGTGTTGTTGGGACTCGTCGGCGACTACGATCGCGATACGCTGGGCGAGGCCGGGTAGTACGGGGACATCGAGGGTGCCGGAGAGCTGGGCGAGAAGCCCGCATCCGAGGCGGCCGATGGCGAAAACTAGGTCCTCCTGGTGTCATGGCGCTCACTGCAGTATAGGCAAAAAAAAAGAGAATAAAGAATATCGAGTTGAAGCGAGATAGTTACATAAATGATAGACAGAGACAGCCATATCCATAGCCGAAGTTCTTGACATGCCCCGGGGGCGAGAAGTAACGTGGCGTATTGCAGTTCACCCACGGCGTCATCGGAGGCGTCATGCTCGGCGTGGAGCCGCCGCCAATAAACATGGCCGTGCCGTTTGAATTAATCCTAGTACTCAGATCGAGAAAAACACCTAGCGAACGGAATCAGGGTTGATATTCGTATGAAACCGATAAGAAATGTTTTACGGCAAAACTGTTTTCTAGGCTCTGTACGGAAGGCAGTACTCAGATCAAAAAACAAAAAGGTCGGTATATAATGGACAAGTATCAGAAGTATTTGCTTGTTTTTTTTGTATGTTTCGACCCACCTCGAAAAAGATATCAATTTGATATCTTTTGCCAGCAAACACGAAGCAAACATTGCAATAAGAGAACAAAAAACCAAATGAAATATTTTAATAATGAAGACAAATAGAATCTAATTAATGCAGCATTATATAAAGGACAATTATATGGATATTATAATATAATATTTTTATTAATTTTCATAAATATAAAACAAATATTGCTTTCAAAACAGTTTGTCTTCACGGTGGTCGGCACGGGTGGCGTCGCCATCTGCTGCTGCTGATAGTCAGACACATTACCTTGCCAATAAAATATTGGTGAGCCCAGGATTTTGCATTTTGTTAACTTTAAACAAAACCAAGCAGCGGTCTGAGCAGTGTAACCGTTCGGAATGCAGTGCACACTCTGGTCACACCACTGGTCGCTCGAAAAATATATGACATCTGTTTGCTAGCAAACAGTTTTTCGATCTGAGTACTAGGCTTAAAGCCTAAATTGCAAACTCAAATTAATTACCTGTAAATAAATGGACTGCTCTGCAATTAAATTAAACAAATGAATTAAACAAAGCAATGAGATCAGATCCATATTCGATTGACAGAGACCGATTATCACCGATATCCATTTGCAGGTCTTTCTTGCAGCCCAGCCAACTTCACGCAGCTGTCTGTGCTTTTTGTTGTTGTTGCAAAAATGAGTGATTCAGAAGAAGCGAAAGAAATCGCGGAAGTTCAGCGACATCCCGACAGCGATCAGCCCAACAAAATGTCAGACAGCGAGAATAACAATTTGCTCAACCTGGAGGATATTATCCAGCCGCTTATAGGGGCGAACTGCTCTGATTATGCAGTGGCCCATGCAACTGTGAATGTGATACCGTTTCGCACATTTGCAGAGGTTTCACTGCTGCCGGATATTGTGCAGAGGATGAGGAAATCGGGCCTGAACCGTCTGCAGCGGCTGCAGAGCTATGCCTGGCCGCACATTCTCAATGGACCGGGCCACGGTGTCCTCATTGTGAGTGCCCCACGAAGCGGTCGCACGATGGGATATGTGCCGCCCATTTGTCACGTGGCCAGCACGGTCCTGGCCGCGAATCGATACAGGAGAGAAATGGCAATTGACTTATTGGATGTCTCGCATGGAATGGGACCCATTGCCCTGATTCTAGTGCCAGATATAACGCGAATGGAGCAGGTTGCCGCCCTATGCAGTGCACTCATGCCCAGGGATGAGACCGTCGAGGACATGTGGACCATTATGGTGAAGAAGGTGTTGACCGTTCCATCGGAGTGCACTCCCACGTTCATGGGTGCGTGGATCAGCGAAATAGGCGTCTTGGTGGCCACCCCCGCCCGATTTGTCAACGCGTGCAAGCAAGGAGAAGGTCTGCTAAAGCTTAATCAGCTACAGGTAGTGGTCTTCGATGATGTGGACCTAATGCAGAAAGAAGAACTGAAATTGGCCCAGCAGTACATTCCAAGCATGGCGGCTAAACACAATAGGCCAATACGCAAGGCCAATCCCCGTCCGCAGGTGGTGATAGTTTGTCAACACTTCACTCCGTCCCTGATTTCCGAGGTGCGCCGTTTCAATCAACATCCGTGCCTGATATTTGGCGATCTACTGGAAGCTGCTCTCTATGGCGGGATGAGATTGTTGGTCAATATGGTCGGGGCGGAGAGTAAGGTCGCTACGATCGTGAATCTACTTCTTCAGCGCCCGCCGGCGGTGTATCGCACCATAATCTTCTGCGATGACGATTTGCAAATGACCCTGCTGGTCGGAGCCTTAGAGGATTTCGAGTACCAATGTCTGGCCTACTACCAAACCATGGATCTGGAGCAACTTGATAAGGTAAGCAGCTGGACGTGTGACAGCCGCGGCCTCATATTTGTCTGCACTGACGACTGTCCGGAGCTGAAAATACGCAATGCGCACACCATTATCCACTACAGCATGAGCAGCTCGTGGAGCAAGTTCAAGAATCGCTTCATGTTTCTGTCCAACAATGTGCCCAATGCCCTGGAACGTCCCAAGGTACCGGAACCGGCGCCAACGGCAACAGCAACCGCAACCGATCCAAGGATCCTGGATTCGCTTGTCCTCTTGGATGAGGCGAACGCCAGCAGCTGCCCCGTCTGGTCGACTTAATGCTGCTCCGCCAGAAATTGGATCCCAATATTGTGGCGATGGCTGATCGCATCCGCAAGAAGGTAAACACAATGAAAAACATTGTTAAGCCGATATGCAGGGAGATCTTGACTCACGGCGACTGCTGGGACACCAGGTGCGTGCATCGTCATTATTTGCACGAATCGGATCGCCGTTTATCGGCAGTACCCTGCTCGGGAGACATCAAGGTCAAAGTGCTCCGCGTGTACTCCCCCGGACACTACTGTGTAATCGCCTACGAGCATATGCCCCCGGAGGGTAAATGGCACAGCTTAGACCCCGACAGCAATTTGCCGACTCTGCTGAATTTCAAACTCAGCGGGGAGAATGTGGAGCCACCGCCTCGCTACTGGCCACCGCAACACCAAGCCGTGTGTCTGTGGAAGACAGAGTCTGAGACGGTTTCTGGCTATTCATATGAGCGTGTCCGGGTGCTCAGTGTGCCGCCCATTGAGAATGTGAATCTGGCCCAGTCGGACCTCGTGGTGCTCGTGCAGGCCATGGACTATAGCACTCGCCGCTTCGAGACCAAATGCATGTCCCTTCATGTCTGCCCCGATGAGTACGTCAGTGAGCCGCCATTGTGCATGGATCTGCGCCTCCTGGGAATGGTTAATCACATGAGTGATCGCAATTGGGCTGGCGCAGACGCGAAGACGGTTCAAGACTGGCTGGACAAGGCGCCCAAGGACCACTTCGTTCAGGCCAAAGTCGCGTTCTCCACTTCGCACACGATCTTTGCCACATGTATGGTGTCTATGGTCTACCTGAAGACAGTGAAGACTTTTAATCTCCACTTGAACCTACTAAGAGCCCAGATCGAGAACAAGATAAGCAAGCGGTGTGCCCGAACCAAAGAGAAGATTTTAAAATTCTTCGAGGAGCTCATCAAGCTGGACGCACCGCCGATCCCCCAAGAACCCCCAGAACAGGAACAGGAAACGAACACATGTGACGATGTGCGTTTGGCGGAAAATAGGCCCAAAGAGCACATCGCCGAGGACAAGTACAAGAGCTCACCCTCAAAGCAGGACACTCATAAATTGCCGGCCAGATTCCAGCGTGTAGTGGACCAGAGGCTTAAGATGAGCCTGGAGAACCGCCTATGCCAAAAGCGCAGCCAGGAAGAAACGGATTCCGAGAAAGCCAAGACCACTAACGTCGAGCTGGAACCTAAGCAGAGTCAGAGACCTGCCACGCCTGTTGACCAGGACCAGACTGCAGAATCGGAAGCTTCCGTACTAAAGAGGTCCCAATGTCCGATTTCTACGACTGCTTCATGAAATGCGCCGCGCTGGACCGCATGGAGGAAATGGAAACGGGCACTAGCAAGGCAGGTCCGAACGTCCAGCGCTCCCGGGAGTCCAAGAAGGCAAAGCCCATACAAGAATTAATCCAAGAATCCAACGGCGAGAAACTGTCAGCCCGGACAGGAGTAACAGCAAGTAATGCTGCCCGTATTCTGCGGTCCGCATCGCGTCCCGATGTCAAATACTTCCAGACCCTCCACGCCCTCCATCTGCAGGTGACCATGGTCGATGAAAAAGTTTCCTACCGAACACGTGTGATAAAAAGCAGCACGATTTTCTTTAAGGCCATCCCTACTGTCGGATCAGGATTGGGATCCCCCACTTGCAACTCTAACTCTGGGGGCTACGAGTTCTTTGTGAACACACATATGATCTTCAAATGTATACAACATTCCATGAAGGGGCGCACGGTATACATCGAGCTTCAAAAGAAGAATCCAGGCTACTACCCCACACAATTTGTCCACTTAAAGTACTTTCAAACGAACTACGACAAGATTGTGATCGAGGAGAAGTGGCATCAGCGAGAAAGATTCAACTTTGAACAGTTGATACGTCAGCATGGATGGGGAGTGCCAAAAATCAAAGAAAAAGTGGAAAGCAGCGAGGAACCCGCGTCCGAGACCGAATCGGAGGAGGGGGTGGAGCGACCCGAAGACTACAGGAAGATCGAAATGAATTAAGTTTTAAAGCACTTATGTACGTACATGTAGTAGTAGTAAATGACTGGAAACCGATTCATAATACCTGTGCATGTTTTTTTCTCTATAATTCCAGAACTATTCAATTTAAGAACGAGTGGCATTCAAAGAAGAGCATGAGCCACGACGCAGTCAGTAAAGATATATGTATATTGTTTCCAAATTCAATACTATAGAAGGAATTTAAAACTGAATTTTTAATTTTTAACACTTGACACACACTTACATATGTATTCCATAAATAATATATTGATAACAATATGTACTTGACACTTGCAACACACAAACGCAGATAAAACTCTTTAAGAAATCTACTGATTACAAAAACATTCTTGCTGAACTCCAGCGTGTATTTGATACTATTTACTTCCTTTCTGTTCTCGCATAGTTTAAAAATATCTACAATTAGCAATTAGCACTATAGATGACGGATGTGCGTTGATTTGCGAACATTTTTATGGTACAATTAGATTGGTGCAACAAAGAAATACGAGTGGATCAAATAATAATTCGGGAAATGAGGGGATCTACGAGTTGATTTTTATTTGATTGTGTTTTTAATCTTAAGCAACACGATCGGTCATTGTTAAGCCGAAGGATCAAACCCTAAAAATTATCTGTACGAAGACGTCCGTGAATAAACTCCGCAAGACCACAAGAAAGACACAGTTCGATTGATTTAAAATTGGTGGTGAGCATAAGAGTATGTACATAAGTGCTCATGCAAGTGTGTTCCTTCGAACGTTAAGGGTAGTGTATTTTATTGGGGGGATACACAGTTCATGAATACATCCAGGCACTTATGTACATATGTATGCTGATGGCTGCATGCACTCTGTATACAATCGGATGGGACTGCACGCTCCACGCTCTGATCTGACACTTGGAGGGACACCAGCAATGACACTGTCCAGTCACGCAGCCCGAAATTAGCATTTAAAAATACGTATTTATAATTCTTAGCTAGTCGCGTTGCATAAAGTAAACTCTCCAATCTCGTTGTGCTCCTGGAACTGCCCTCAATTTCGTTGACTTTCTACTAACATCAACATATTAGCTGATCTCGCTCTCATTCAAAGCTTTGCGTGCACTTTGGGCACCGACATTCGGCTCGTAATTGGTCCTTGCAATTAGTTTTAATATAATTCTTGAACCTCTTTAAGTGACATCGCTATCGGCCACTATGCTGCGCATAATACATAACAAAAAACTATATTAAAACGAAACATTTCAGCTATTAATTTAAGCGTTTTTGATACAAGCTTACAGACACAGAATGTGCTCTATTCGGGGACATTTGGGGACATTCACTCGCACTTAATAAAAAAAAAAATAATATTCTTTGTATTTTTATTGTATATTTAATACGTTTCCGTCATAATTTACAATTTGTTTAGTAATTGATGGTCATAGATCTACACGTATTCAAATGTATGTATATCTGCACATGTATGTTCGTATGTACTTGGATGAATACATAGATGACGCTTGTATTCTGCACTTAAAATGTTTATGTTTATGTTTACGAAACGTTATGTGTCACGCATATGTGCGTTGATAATAACAATCTGATAGTGGTACCCAATCGTGTGGTGCTAAAAAAAATATAGATACATTATAGATCGCTTGTAGTGTATGCCCCCGTGCGTCCCGTTTTGGGCTGTGCTTTTATAGAGTTGATTTTGCTGTTGCGATTGCAGCTGCAGTTGTTGTTGCAGCTAAAACGCAACTTATTTTTGCTATCTTAAAGCAACGAAATATTGTAATGGAACACACAAACACACAATCGGTTAATTTGTTTTTGCATGTTTTTTTAAGTGCGCTTCTTGGGGGCTTTCGGTTTTGTGTCGGATGATGGTTGGGCGTCACAACTCTGATCTGATCGATTATAGACCACTCCTACTCCTACTCCAGATCCTCCTCGTCCTCCTCCTCCAGGGTTCCCCGTGGCTCAGTCGTCGCTCTCCTCGAACGTGGGACTGCTGGGCGAGTACGCTGGACTGGTGGGACTATAGTGCGATGGTGCCGTCGGCGAGTACATGGGAGAAGTGGGTGAATAGTTGCGTGCCGTGGGCGTGTACGTCGGCGATGTCAGCGAGTATTCGGTGCTGCTCGGCGAGTAGATGGACATGTTGGGCGAGTACCGTGGACTGGTGGCCGAATCGGTGGATCCAGTGGGACTGTACTGGTTCGACGGCGAGTGCTGCGGCGAACTGAGCGAGTACAGGGGCGATGTGGGCGAGTACTTGGGGGAGGCCGGTGAATATTGCGGCGAACCGGGCGTGTATTGGGGCGATCCTGGAGAGCCATCGTACGAGGGCGATGGCGGCGAATAGGCCGGAGACGTCGGTGAGTACTTGGCCCCTGTCTGGGAGTAGGCAGGCGATGCCGGCGAGTAGTGGGGTGAGGCCGAGTAGTTTAGTGATGTGGGCGAATACGAGGGTGTCGCCGGCGTATAGTTGGGCGATGTGGGCGAATACGAAGGCGATATTGGCGAATAGCAAGGAGACGTGGGCAAGTACGAGGGACTCGATGGGAAGTACGAGGGCGATGTCGGGGAGTATGAGGGGGACTTCGGGGACTGCCCGGAGAGTACATGTTGCTGCCGCTGCCCGCAAACGACGGACTCGAGGGGAAGTTTGATGTGGGTGAGTAACCAGACGCCGATGGCAAGTAGCCCGTCGACTGCGGATTAAAGTTGGGCGTGGTGGAGGCATACCGCGGACTGGGCGCTGCATATAGCGGCGATGTCGGCGAATAGTTGGGACTGGAAGGCGAGTAGTTGGCGATGCCCCCCCGGGCGACGAGGCCGTGTTGTTGGGACTCGTCGGCGACTACGATCGCGATACGCTGGGCGAGGCCGGGTAGTACGGGGACATCGAGGGTGCCGGAGAGCTGGGCGAGAAGCCCGCATCCGAGGCGGCCGATGGCGAAAACTAGGTCCTCCTGGTGTCATGGCGCTCACTGCAGTACAGGCAAAAAAAAAGAGAATAAAGAATATCGAGTTGAAGTTACATAGTTACATAAATGATAGACAGAGACAGCCATATCCATAGCCGAAGTTCTTGACATGCCCCGGGGGCGAGAAGTAACGTGGCGTATTGCAGTTCACCCACGGCGTCATCGGAGGCGTCATGCTCGGCGTGGAGCCGCCGCCAATAAACATGGCCGTGCCGTTTGAATTAATCCTAGTACTCAGATCGAGAAAAACACCTAGCGAACGGAATCAGGGTTGATATTCGTATGAAACCGATAAGAAATGTTTTACGGCAAAACTGTTTTCTAGGCTCTGTACGGAAGGCAGTACTCAGATCAAAAAACAAAAAGGTCGGTATATAATGGACAAGTATCAGAAGTATTTGCTTGTTTTTTTTGTATGTTTCGACCCACCTCGAAAAAGATATCAATTTGATATCTTTTGCCAGCAAACACGAAGCAAACATTGCAATAAGAGAACAAAAAACCAAATGAAATATTTTAATAATGAAGACAAATAGAATCTAATTAATGCAGCATTATATAAAGGACAATTATATGGATATTATAATATAATATTTTTATTAATTTTCATAAATATAAAACAAATATTGCTTTCAAAACAGTTTGTCTTCACGGTGGTCGGCACGGGTGGCGTCGCCATCTGCTGCTGCTGATAGTCAGACACATTACCTTGCCAATAAAATATTGGTGAGCCCAGGATTTTGCATTTTGTTAACTTTAAACAAAACCAAGCAGCGGTCTGAGCAGTGTAACCGTTCGGAATGCAGTGCACACTCTGGTCACACCACTGGTCGCTCGAAAAATATATGACATCTGTTTGCTAGCAAACAGTTTTTCGATCTGAGTACTAGGCTTAAAGCCTAAATTGCAAACTCAAATTAATTACCTGTAAATAAATGGACTGCTCTGCAATTAAATTAAACAAATGAATTAAACAAAGCAATGAGATCAGATCCATATTCGATTGACAGAGACCGATTATCACCGATATCCATTTGCAGGTCTTTCTTGCAGCCCAGCCAACTTCACGCAGCTGTCTGTGCTTTTTGTTGTTGTTGCAAAAATGAGTGATTCAGAAGAAGCGAAAGAAATCGCGGAAGTTCAGCGACATCCCGACAGCGATCAGCCCAACAAAATGTCAGACAGCGAGAATAACAATTTGCTCAACCTGGAGGATATTATCCAGCCGCTTATAGGGGCGAACTGCTCTGATTATGCAGTGGCCCATGCAACTGTGAATGTGATACCGTTTCGCACATTTGCAGAGGTTTCACTGTGCCGGATATTGTGCAGAGGATGAGGAAATTGGGCCTGAACCGTCTGCAGCGGCTGCAGAGCTATGCCTGGCCGCACATTCTCAATGGACCGGGCCACGGTGTCCTCATTGTGAGTGCCCCACGAAGCGGTCGCACGATGGGATATGTGCCGCCCATTTGTCACGTGGCCAGCACGGTCCTGGCCGCGAATCGATACAGGAGAGAAATGGCAATTGACTTATTGGATGTCTCGCATGGAATGGGACCCATTGCCCTGATTCTAGTGCCAGATATAACGCGAATGGAGCAGGTTGCCGCCCTATGCAGTGCACTCATGCCCAGGGATGAGACCGTCGAGGACATGTGGACCATTATGGTGAAGAAGGTGTTGACCGTTCCATCGGAGTGCACTCCCACGTTCATGGGTGCGTGGATCAGCGAAATAGGCGTCTTGGTGGCCACCCCCGCCCGATTTGTCAACGCGTGCAAGCAAGGAGAAGGTCTGCTAAAGCTTAATCAGCTACAGGTAGTGGTCTTCGATGATGTGGACCTAATGCAGAAAGAAGAACTGAAATTGGCCCAGCAGTACATTCCAAGCATGGCGGCTAAACACAATAGGCCAATACGCAAGGCCAATCCCCGTCCGCAGGTGGTGATAGTTTGTCAACACTTCACTCCGTCCCTGATTTCCGAGGTGCGCCGTTTCAATCAACATCCGTGCCTGATATTTGGCGATCTACTGGAAGCTGCTCTCTATGGCGGGATGAGATTGTTGGTCAATATGGTCGGGGCGGAGGGTAAGGTCGCTACGATCGTGAATCTACTTCTTCAGCGCCCGCCGGCGGTGTATCGCACCATAATCTTCTGCGATGACGATTTGCAAATGACCCTGCTGGTCGGAGCCTTAGAGGATTTCGAGTACCAATGTCTGGCCTACTACCAAACCATGGATCTGGAGCAACTTGATAAGGTAAGCAGCTGGACGTGTGACAGCCGCGGCCTCATATTTGTCTGCACTGACGACTGTCCGGAGCTGAAAATACGCAATGCGCACACCATTATCCACTACAGCATGAGCAGCTCGTGGAACAAGTTCAAGAATCGCTTCATGTTTCTGTCCAACAATGTGCCCAATGCCCTGGAACGTCCCAAGGTACCGGAACCGGCGCCAACGGCAACAGCAACCGCAACCGATCCAAGGATCCTGGATTCGCTTGTCCTCTTGGATGAGGCGAACGCCAGGCAGCTGCCCCGTCTGGTCGACTTAATGCTGCTCCGCCAGAAATTGGATCCCAATATTGTGGCGATGGCTGATCGCATCCGCAAGAAGGTAAACACAATGAAAAACATTGTTAAGCCGATATGCAGGGAGATCTTGACTCACGGCGACTGCTGGGACACCAGGTGCGTGCATCGTCATTATTTGCACGAATCGGATCGCCGTTTATCGGCAGTACCCTGCTCGGGAGACATCAAGGTCAAAGTGCTCCGCGTGTACTCCCCCGGACACTACTGTGTAATCGCCTACGAGCATATGCCCCCGGAGGGTAAATGGCACAGCTTAGAGCCCGACAGCAATTTGCCGACTCTGCTGAATTTCAAACTCAGCGGGGAGAATGTGGAGCCACCGCCTCGCTACTGGCCACCGCAACACCAAGCCGTGTGTCTGTGGAAGACAGAGTCTGAGACGGTTTCTGGCTATTCATATGAGCGTGTCCGGGTGCTCAGTGTGCCGCCCATTGAGAATGTGAATCTGGCCCAGTCGGACCTCGTGGTGCTCGTGCAGGCCATGGACTATAGCACTCGCCGCTTCGAGACCAAATGCATGTCCCTTCATGTCTGCCCCGATGAGTACGTCAGTGAGCCGCCATTGTGCATGGATCTGCGCCTCCTGGGAATGGTTAATCACATGAGTGATCGCAATTGGGCTGGCGCAGACGCGAAGACGGTTCAAGACTGGCTGGACAAGGCGCCCAAGGACCACTTCGTTCAGGCCAAAGTCGCGTTCTCCACTTCGCACACGATCTTTGCCACATGTATGGTGTCTATGGTCTACCTGAAGACAGTGAAGACTTTTAATCTCCACTTGAACCTACTAAGAGCCCAGATCGAGAACAAGATAAGCAAGCGGTGTGCCCGAACCAAAGAGAAGATTTTAAAATTCTTCGAGGAGCTCATCAAGCTGGACGCACCGCCGATCCCCCAAGAACCCCCAGAACAGGAACAGGAAACGAACACATGTGACGATGTGCGTTTGGCGGAAAATGGGCCCAAAGAGCACATCGCCGAGGACAAGTACAAGAGCTCACCCTCAAAGCAGGACACTCATAAATTGCCGGCCAGATTCCAGCGTGTAGTGGACCAGAGGCTTAAGATGAGCCTGGAGAACCGCCTATGCCAAAAGCGCAGCCAGGAAGAAACGGATTCCGAGAAAGCCAAGACCACTAACGTCGAGCTGGAACCTAAGCAGAGTCAGAGACCTGCCACGCCTGTTGACCAGGACCAGACTGCAGAATCGGAAGCTTCCGTACTTAAAGAGGTCCCAATGTCCGATTTCTACGACTGCTTCATGAAATGCGCCGCGCTGGACCGCATGGAGGAAATGGAAACGGGCACTAGCAAGGCAGGTCCGAACGTTGGCTATCAGATTTTGACTGAAGCCCCAGTCCAGCGCTCCCCGGGAGTCCAAGAAGGCAAAGCCCAAACAAGAATTAATCCAAGAATCCAACGGCGAGAAACTGTCAGCCCGGACAGGAGTAACAGCAAGTAATGCTGCCCGTATTTTGCGGTCCGCATCGCGTCCCGATGTCAAATACTTCCAGACCCTCCACGCCCTCCATCTGCAGGTGACCATGGTCGATGAAAAAGTTTCCTACCGAACACGTGTGATAAAAAGCAGCACGATTTTCTTTAAGGCCATCCCTACTGTCGGATCAGGATTGGGATCCCCCACTTGCAACTCCTAACTCTGGGGGCTACGAGTTCTCTGTGAACACACATATGATCTTCAAAGGTATACAACATTCCATGAAGGGGCACAGTATACATCGAGCTTCAAAAGAAGAATCCAGGCTACTACCCCACACAATTTGTCCACTTAAAGTACTTTCAAACGAACTACGACAAGATTGTGATCGAGGAGAAGTGGCATCAGCGAGAAAGATTCAACTTTGAACAGTTGATACGTCAGCATGGATGGGGAGTGCCAAAAATCAAAGAAAAAGTGGAAAGCAGCGAGGAACCCGCGTCCGAGACCGAATCGGAGGAGGGGGTGGAGCGACCCGAGACTACAGGAAGATCGAAATGAATTAAGTTTTAAAGCACTTATGTACGTACATGTAGTAGTAGTAAATGACTGGAAACCGATTCATAATACCTGTGCATGTTTTTTTTCTCTATAATTCCAGAACTATTCAATTTAAGAACGAGTGGCATTCAAAGAAGAGCATGAGCCACGACGCAGTCAGTAAAGATATATGTATATTGTTTCCAAATTCAATACTATAGAAGGAATTTAAAACTGAATTTTTAATTTTTAACACTTGACACACACTTACATATGTATTCCATAAATAATATATTGATAACAATATGTACTTGACACTTGCAACACACAAACGCAGATAAAACTCTTTAAGAAATCTACTGATTACAAAAACATTCTTGCTGAACTCCAGCGTGTATTTGATACTATTTACTTCCTTTCTGTTCTCGCATAGTTTAAAAATATCTACAATTAGCAATTAGCACTATAGATGACGGATGTGCGTTGATTTGCGAACATTTTTATGGTACAATTAGATTGGTGCAACAAAGAAATACGAGTGGATCAAATAATAATTCGGGAAATGAGGGGATCTACGAGTTGATTTTTATTTGATTGTGTTTTTAATCTTAAGCAACACGATCGGTCATTGTTAAGCCGAAGGATCAAACCCTAAAAATTATCTGTACGAAGACGTCCGTGAATAAACTCCGCAAGACCACAAGAAAGACACAGTTCGATTGATTTAAAATTGGTGGTGAGCATAAGAGTATGTACATAAGTGCTCATGCAAGTGTGTTCCTTCGAACGTTAAGGGTAGTGTATTTTATTGGGGGGATACACAGTTCATGAATACATCCAGGCACTTATGTACATATGTATGCTGATGGCTGCATGCACTCTGTATACAATCGGATGGGACTGCACGCTCCACGCTCTGATCTGACACTTGGAGGGACACTGTCCAGTTACGCAGCCCGAAATTAGCATTTAAAAATACGTATTTATAATTCTTAGGTAGTCGCGTTGCATAAAGTAAACTCTCCAATCTCGTTGTGCTCCTGGAACTGCCCTCAATTTCGTTGACTTTCTACTAACATCAACATATTAGCTGATCTCGCTCTCATTCAAAGCTTTGCGTGCACTTTGGGCACCGACATTCGGCTCGTAATTGGTCCTTGCAATTAGTTTTAATATAATTCTTGAACCTCTTTAAGTGACATCGCTATCGGCCACTATGCTGCGCATAATACATAACAAAAAACTATATTAAAACGAAACATTTCAGCTATTAATTTAAGCGTTTTTGATACAAGCTTACAGACACAGAATGTGCTCTATTCGGGGACATTTCACTCGCACTTAATAAAAAAAAAAATAATATTCTTTGTATTTTTTTTATTGTATATTTAATACGTTTCCGTCATAATTTACAATTTGTTTAGTAATTGATGGTCATAGATCTACACGTATTCAAATGTATGTATATCTGCACATGTATGTTCGTATGTACTTGGATGAATACATAGATGACGCTTGTATTCTGCACTTAAAATGTTTATGTTTATGTTTACGAAACGTTATGTGTCACGCATATGTGCGTTGATAATAACAATCTGATAGTGGTACCCAATCGTGTGGTGCTAAAAAAAATATAGATACATTATAGATCGCTTGTAGTGTATGCCCCCGTGCGTCCCGTTTTGGGCTGTGCTTTTATAGAGTTGATTTTGCTGTTGCGATTGCAGCTGCAGTTGTTGTTGCAGCTAAAACGCAATTTATTTTTGCTATCTTAAAGCAACGAAATATTGTAATGGAACACACAAACACACAATCGGTTAATTTGTTTTTGCATGTTTTTTTAAGTGCGCTTCTTGGGGGGCTTTCGGTTTTGTGTCGGATGATGGTTGGGCGTCACAACTCTGATCTGATCGATTATAGACCACTCCTACTCCTACTCCAGATCCTCCTCGTCCTCCTCCTCCAGGGTTCCCCGTGGCTCAGTCGTCGCTCTCCTCGAACGTGGAACTGCTGGGCGAGTACGCTGGACTGGTGGGACTATAGTGCGATGGTGCCGTCGGCGAGTACATGGGAGAAGTGGGTGAATAGTTGCGTGCCGTGGGCGTGTACGTCGGCGATGTCAGCGAGTATTCGGTGCTGCTCGGCGAGTAGATGGACATGTTGGGCGAGTACCGTGGACTGGTGGCCGAATCGGTGGATCCAGTGGGACTGTACTGGTTCGACGGCGAGTGCTGCGGCGAACTGAGCGAGTACAGGGGCGATGTGGGCGAGTACTTGGGGGAGGCCGGTGAATATTGCGGCGAACCGGGCGTGTATTGGGGCGATCCTGGAGAGCCATCGTACGAGGGCGATGGCGGCGAATAGGCCGGAGACGTCGGTGAGTACTTGGCCCCTGTCTGGGAGTAGGCAGGCGATGCCGGCGAGTAGTGGGGTGAGGCCGAGTAGTTTAGTGATGTGGGCGAATACGAGGGTGTCGCCGGCGTATAGTTGGGCGATGTGGGCGAATACGAAGGCGATGTTGGCAAATAGCAAGGAGACGTGGGCAAGTACGAGGGACTCGATGGGGAGTACGAGGGCGATGTCGGGGAGTATGAGGGGGACTTCGGCGAATAGTTGGTCGAACTGGGCGAGTAGGCATTGCCCGGAGAGTACATGTTGCTGCCGCTGCCCGCAAACGACGGACTCGAGGGGAAGTTTGATGTGGGTGAGTAACCAGACGCCGATGGCAAGTAGCCCGTCGACTGCGGATTAAAGTTGGGCGTGGTGGAGGCATACCGCGGACTGGGCGCTGCATATAGCGGCGATGTCGGCGAATAGTTGGGACTGGAAGGCGAGTAGTTGGGCGATGCCCCCCCCGGGCGACGAGGCCGTGTTGTTGGGACTCGTCGGCGACTACGATCGCGATACGCTGGGCGAGGCCGGGTAGTACGGGGACATCGAGGGTGCCGGAGAGCTGGGCGAGAAGCCCGCATCCGAGGCGGCCGATGGCGAAAAACTAGGTCCTCCTGGTGTCATGGCGCTCACTGCAGTACAGGCAAAAAAAAAGAGAATAAAGAATATCGAGTTGAAGCGAGATAGTTACATAAATGATAGACAGAGACAGCCATATCCATAGCCGAAGTTCTTGACATGCCCCGGGGGCGAGAAGTAACGTGGCGTATTGCAGTTCACCCACGGCGTCATCGGAGGCGTCATGCTCGGCGTGGAGCCGCCGCCAATAAACATGGCCGTGCCGTTTGAATTAATCCTAATACTCAGATCGAGAAAAACACCTAGCGAACGGAATCAGGGTTGATATTCGTATGAAACCGATAAGAAATGTTTTACGGCAAAACTGTTTTCTAGGCTCTGTACGGAAGGCAGTACTCAGATCAAAAAACAAAAAGGTCGGTATATAATGGACAAGTATCAGAAGTATTTGCTTGTTTTTTTTGTATGTTTCGACCCACCTCGAAAAAGATATCAATTTGATATCTTTTGCCAGCAAACACGAAGCAAACATTGCAATAAGAGAACAAAAAACCAAATGAAATATTTTAATAATGAAGACAAATAGAATCTAATTAATGCAGCATTATATAAAGGACAATTATATGGATATTATAATATAATATTTTTATTAATTTTCATAAATATAAAACAAATATTGCTTTCAAAACAGTTTGTCTTCACGGTGGTCGGCACGGGTGGCGTCGCCATCTGCTGCTGCTGATAGTCAGACACATTACCTTGCCAATAAAATATTGGTGAGCCCAGGATTTTGCATTTTGTTAACTTTAAACAAAACCAAGCAGCGGTCTGAGCAGTGTAACCGTTCGGAATGCAGTGCACACTCTGGTCACACCACTGGTCGCTCGAAAAATATATGACATCTGTTTGCTAGCAAACAGTTTTCTTGATCTAGTACAGGCTTAAAGCCTAAATTGCAAACTCAAATTAATTACCTGTAAATAAATGGACTGCTCTGCAATTAAATTAAACAAATGAATTAAACAAAGCAATGAGATCAGATCCATATTCGATTGACAGAGACCGATTATCACCGATATCCATTTGCAGGTCTTTCTTGCAGCCCAGCCAACTTCACGCAGCTGTCTGTGCTTTTTGTTGTTGTTGCAAAAATGAGTGATTCAGAAGAAGCGAAAGAAATCGCGGAAGTTCAGCGACATCCCGACAGCGATCAGCCCAACAAAATGTCAGACAGCGAGAATAACAATTTGCTCAACCTGGAGGATATTATCCAGCCGCTTATAGGGGCGAACTGCTCTGATTATGCAGTGGCCCATGCAACTGTGAATGTGATACCGTTTCGCACATTTGCAGAGGTTTCACTGCTGCCGGATATTGTGCAGAGGATGAGGAAATTGGGCCTGAACCGTCTGCAGCGGCTGCAGAGCTATGCCTGGCCGCACATTCTCAATGGACCGGGCCACGGTGTCCTCATTGTGAGTGCCCCACGAAGCGGTCGCACGATGGGATATGTGCCGCCCATTTGTCACGTGGCCAGCACGGTCCTGGCCGCGAATCGATACAGGAGAGAAATGGCAATTGACTTATTGGATGTCTCGCATGGAATGGGACCCATTGCCCTGATTCTAGTGCCAGATATAACGCGAATGGAGCAGGTTGCCGCCCTATGCAGTGCACTCATGCCCAGGGATGAGACCGTCGAGGACATGTGGACCATTATGGTGAAGAAGGTGTTGACCGTTCCATCGGAGTGCACTCCCACGTTCATGGGTGCGTGGATCAGCGAAATAGGCGTCTTGGTGGCCACCCCCGCCCGATTTGTCAACGCGTGCAAGCAAGGAGAAGGTCTGCTAAAGCTTAATCAGCTACAGGTAGTGGTCTTCGATGATGTGGACCTAATGCAGAAAGAAGAACTGAAATTGGCCCAGCAGTACATTCCAAGCATGGCGGCTAAACACAATAGGCCAATACGCAAGGCCAATCCCCGTCCGCAGGTGGTGATAGTTTGTCAACACTTCACTCCGTCCCTGATTTCCGAGGTGCGCCGTTTCAATCAACATCCGTGCCTGATATTTGGCGATCTACTGGAAGCTGCTCTCTATGGCGGGATGAGATTGTTGGTCAATATGGTCGGGGCGGAGGGTAAGGTCGCTACGATCGTGAATCTACTTCTTCAGCGCCCGCCGGCGGTGTATCGCACCATAATCTTCTGCGATGACGATTTGCAAATGACCCTGCTGGTCGGAGCCTTAGAGGATTTCGAGTACCAATGTCTGGCCTACTACCAAACCATGGATCTGGAGCAACTTGATAAGGTAAGCAGCTGGACGTGTGACAGCCGCGGCCTCATATTTGTCTGCACTGACGACTGTCCGGAGCTGAAAATACGCAATGCGCACACCATTATCCACTACAGCATGAGCAGCTCGTGGAACAAGTTCAAGAATCGCTTCATGTTTCTGTCCAACAATGTGCCCAATGCCCTGGAACGTCCCAAGGTACCGGAACCGGCGCCAACGGCAACAGCAACCGCAACCGATCCAAGGATCCTGGATTCGCTTGTCCTCTTGGATGAGGCGAACGCCAGGCAGCTGCCCCGTCTGGTCGACTTAATGCTGCTCCGCCAGAAATTGGATCCCAATATTGTGGCGATGGCTGATCGCATCCGCAAGAAGGTAAACACAATGAAAAACATTGTTAAGCCGATATGCAGGGAGATCTTGACTCACGGCGACTGCTGGGACACCAGGTGCGTGCATCGTCATTATTTGCACGAATCGGATCGCCGTTTATCGGCAGTACCCTGCTCGGGAGACATCAAGGTCAAAGTGCTCCGCGTGTACTCCCCCGGACACTACTGTGTAATCGCCTACGAGCATTTGCCCCCGGAGGGTAAATGGCACAGCTTAGAGCCCCGACAGCAATTTGCCGACTCTGCTGAATTTCAAACTCAGCGGGGAGAATGTGGAGCCACCGCCTCGCTACTGGCCACCGCAACACCAAGCCGTGTGTCTGTGGAAGACAGAGTCTGAGACGGTTTCTGGCTATTCATATGAGCGTGTCCGGGTGCTCAGTGTGCCGCCCATTGAGAATGTGAATCTGGCCCAGTCGGACCTCGTGGTGCTCGTGCAGGCCATGGACTATAGCACTCGCCGCTTCGAGACCAAATGCATGTCCCTTCATGTCTGCCCCGATGAGTACGTCAGTGAGCCGCCATTGTGCATGGATCTGCGCCTCCTGGGAATGGTTAATCACATGAGTGATCGCAATTGGGCTGGCGCAGACGCGAAGACGGTTCAAGACTGGCTGGACAAGGCGCCCAAGGACCACTTCGTTCAGGCCAAAGTCGCGTTCTCCACTTCGCACACGATCTTTGCCACATGTATGGTGTCTATGGCTCTACCTGAAGACAGTGAAGACTTTTAATCTCCACTTGAACCTACTAAGAGCCCAGATCGAGAACAAGATAAGCAAGCGGTGTGCCCGAACCAAAGAGAAGATTTTAAAATTCTTCGAGGAGCTCATCAAGCTGGACGCACCGCCGATCCCCCAAGAACCCCCAGAACAGGAACAGGAAACGAACACATGTGACGATGTGCGTTTGGCGGAAAATGGGCCCAAAGAGCACATCGCCGAGGACAAGTACAAGAGCTCACCCTCAAAGCAGGACACTCATAAATTGCCGGCCAGATTCCAGCGTGTAGTGGACCAGATGCTTAAGATGAGCCTGGAGAACCGCCTATGCCAAAAGCGCAGCCAGGAAGAAACGGATTCCGAGAAAGCCAAGACCACTAACGTCGAGCTGGAACCTAAGCAGAGTCAGAGACCTGCCACGCCTGTTGACCAGGACCAGACTGCAGAATCGGAAGCTTCCGTACTTAAAGAGGTCCCAATGTCCGATTTCTACGACTGCTTCATGAAATGCGCCGCGCTGGACCGCATGGAGGAAATGGAAACGGGCACTAGCAAGGCAGGTCCGAACGTTGGCTATCAGATTTTGACTGAAGCCCCAGTCCAGCGCTCCCGGGAGTCCAAGAAGGCAAAGCCCAAACAAGAATTAATCCAAGAATCCAACGGCGAGAAACTGTCAGCCCGGACAGGAGTAACAGCAAGTAATGCTGCCCGTATTTTGCGGTCCGCATCGCGTCCCGATGTCAAATACTTCCAGACCCTCCACGCCCTCCATCTGCAGGTGACCATGGTCGATGAAAAAGTTTCCTACCGAACACGTGTGATAAAAAGCAGCACGATTTTCTTTAAGGCCATCCCTACTGTCGGATCAGGATTGGGATCCGCCACTTGCAACTCTAACTCTGGGGGCTACGAGTTCTCTGTGAACACACATATGATCTTCAAAGGTATACAACATTCCATGAAGGGGCGCACGGTATACATCGAGCTTCAAAAGAAGAATCCAGGCTACTACCCCACACAATTTGTCCACTTAAAGTACTTTCAAACGAACTACGACAAGATTGTGATCGAGGAGAAGTGGCATCAGCGAGAAAGATTCAACTTTGAACAGTTGATACGTCAGCATGGATGGGGAGTGCCAAAAATCAAAGAAAAAGTGGAAAGCAGCGAGGAACCCGCTGTCCGAGACCGAATCGGAGGAGGGGGTGGAGCGACCCGAAGACTACAGGAAGATCGAAATGAATTAAGTTTTAAAGCACTTATGTACGTACATGTAGTAGTAGTAAATGACTGGAAACCGATTCATAATACCTGTGCATGTTTTTTTCTCTATAATTCCAGAACTATTCAATTTAAGAACGAGTGGCATTCAAAGAAGAGCATGAGCCACGACGCAGTCAGTAAAGATATATGTATATTGTTTCCAAATTCAATACTATAGAAGGAATTTAAAACTGAATTTTTAATTTTTAACACTTGACACACACTTACATATGTATTCCATAAATAATATATTGATAACAATATGTACTTGACACTTGCAACACACAAACGCAGATAAAACTCTTTAAGAAATCTACTGATTACAAAAACATTCTTGCTGAACTCCAGCGTGTATTTGATACTATTTACTTCCTTTCTGTTCTCGCATAGTTTAAAAATATCTACAATTAGAAATTAGCACTATAGATGACGGATGTGCGTTGATTTGCGAACATTTTTATGGTACAATTAGATTGGTGCAACAAAGAAATACGAGTGGATCAAATAATAATTCGGGAAATGAGGGGATCTACGAGTTGATTTTTATTTGATTGTGTTTTTAATCTTAAGCAACACGATCGGTCATTGTTAAGCCGAAGGATCAAACCCTAAAAATTATCTGTACGAAGACGTCCGTGAATAAACTCCGCAAGACCACAAGAAAGACACAGTTCGATTGATTTAAAATTGGTGGTCAGCATAAGAGTATGTACATAAGTGCTCATGCAAGTGTGTTCCTTCGAACGTTAAGGGTAGTGTATTTTATTTGGGTGATACACAGTTCATGAATACATCCAGGCACTTACATATGTACATACACTGATGGCTGCATGCACTTTGTATACAATCAGATGGGACTGCACGCTCCACTCTCTGATCCGACACTTGGAGGGACACCAGCAATGACACTGTCCGGTCACACAGCCCGAAATTAGCATTTAAAAATACGTATTAATAATTCTTAGCTAGTGGCGTTCCATAAAGTAAACTCTCAAATCTCGTTGTGCTCCTGGAACTGCCCCCAGTGCACATTTTCGTTGACTTTCTACTAACATCACCATCTTAGCTGATCTCGCTCTCATTCAAAGCTTTGCGTGCACTCTGGGCACCGACATTCGGCTCGTAATTGGTCCTTGCAATTAGTTTTAATGTAACTCTTGAACCTCTTCAACTGACATCGCTATCGGCCACTATGCTGTGCATAATACATAACAAAAAACTATATTAAAACGAAACAGGTCAGCTATATATTTAAACATTTTTGATACAAGCTTACAGACACACAGAATGTGCTATATTCGGGGACACTCTGGGGACATTCAGCTCGCTCGTTAATTAATAAAAAAAAAATATTTCTTTGTATTTTTATTGTATATTTAATACGTTTCCGTCATAATTTACAATTTGTTTAGTAATTGATGGTCATAGATCTACACGTATTCAAATGTATGTATATCTGTATATGTATGGTCGTATGTACTTGGATGAATACATAGATGACGCTTGTCTGCTGCACTCTTAAAATGTTTATGTTTATTTATGTTTTCGAAACGTTATGTTTCACGCATATGTGCGTTGATAATAACAATCTGATAGTGGTACCCAATCGTGTGGTGCTAAAAAAAATATAGATACATTATAGATCGGTTGTAGAACATGCCCCCGTGCGTCCCGTTTTGGGCTGTGCTTTTATAGAGTTGATTTTGCTGTTGCGATTGCAGCTGCAGTTGTTGTTGCAGCTAAAACGCGACTTATCTTATTGCTATCTTAAAGCAACGAAATATTGTAATGGAACACACAAACACAGAATCGGTTAATTTGTTTTTGCATGTTTTTTTAAGTGCGCTTCTTGGGGGCTTTCGGTTTTGTGTCGGATGATGGTTGGGCGTCAAAACTCTGATCTGATCGATTATCGGCCACTCCTACTCCTACTCCTGATCCTCCTCGTCCTCCTCCTCCAGGGTTCCCCGTGGCTCAGTCGTCGCTCTCCTCGAACGTGGGACTGCTGGGCGAGTACGCTGGACTGGTGGGACTATAGTGCGATGGTGCCGTCGGCGAGTACATGGGAGAAGTGGGTGAATAGTTGCGTGCCGTGGGCGTGTACGTCGGCGATGTCGGCGAGTATTTGGTGCTGCTCGGCGAGTAGATGGACATATTGGGCGAGTACCGTGGACTGGTGGCCGAATAAGTGGATCCAGTGGGACTGTACTGGTTCGACGGCGAGTGCTGCGGCGAACTGGGCGAGTACAGGGGCGATGTGGGCGAGTACTTGGGGGAGGCCGGTGAATATTGCGGCGAACCGGGCGTGTATTGGGGCGATCCTGGAGAGCCATCGTACGAGGGCGATGGCGGCGAATAGGTCGGAGACGTCGGTGAATACTTGGCCCCTGTCTGGGAGTAGGCAGGCGATGCCGGCGAGTAGTGGGGTGAGGCCGAGTAGTTTGGTGATGTGGGCGAATACGAGGGTGTCGCCGGCGTATAGTTGGGCGATGTGGGCGAATACGAAGGCGATGTTGGCGAATAGCAAGGAGACGTGGGCGAGTACGAGGGACTCGATGGGGAGTACGAGGGCGATGTCGGGGAGTATGAGGGGGAGTTCGGCGAATAGTTGGTCGAACTGGGCGAGTAGGCATTGCCCGGAGAGTACATGTTGCTGCCGCTGCCCGCAAACGACGGACTCGAGGGGAAGTTGGATGTGGGCGAGTACACCGGAGATGTTGGTGAGTAACCAGATGCCGATGGCGAGTAGCCCGTCGACTGCGGATTAAAGTTGGGTGTGGTGGAGGCATACCGCGGACTGGGCGCTGCATATAGCGGCGATGTCGGCGAATAGTTGGGACTGGAAGGCGAGTAGTTGGGCGATGCCCCGCCGGGCGACGAGGCCGTGTAGTTGGGACTCGTCGGCGAGTACGATGGCGATACGCTGGGCGAGGCCGGGTAGTACGGGGACATCGAGGGTGCTGGAGAGCTGGGCGAGGAGCCCGGATGTGCAGGCGACCAGTTTGGGGACATGCCAGACGCATCCGAGGCGGCCGATGGCGAAAAACTAGGTCCTCCTGGTGTCATGGCGCTCACTGCAGTACAGGCAAAAAAAAAAAGAGAACAAAGAATATCGAATTGAAGCGAGATAGTTACATAAATGATAGAAAGAGACAGCCATATCCATAGCCGACGTTCAACTTACCATGCCCCGGGGGCGAGAAGTAGCGTGGCGTATTGCAGTTCACCCACGGCGTCATCGGAGGCGTCATACTCGGCGTGGAGCCACCGCCAATAAACATGGCCGTGCCGCCCAGCATGCTGCTGCCCAGGGTGTTGGGTATCTCAATGCCGAAGCGACACTTCTCGGCGTCCAACAACAGATCGAAGCAGCCGGTGCCCATCTTGGGCAGCTGTCCCATGATTATGTTTTCGGATACGCCTCGCATGGGATCCGTTTCCGCGTGGGCAGCCGCATCCATGAGCACGTCGACCGTCTCCTCGAAGGAGCAGCGCATAAGGGCGCCGGTGTCCTGTCTGTTGATGCCGTGACGGGTGATGGCCATCAGATGGCCCTTGGCGGTCATCACATCGCACAACAGAGCCAAATGGCGGTAGTTCACGTACAGGCCGTAGAACTGCAGCACCGCGTTCATCTCCTTCTCAACGGACTTTCGCACCGCCTCGATGCCCAGCACCTGGAAGATCTCGCAAATGTCATTGGACGAAGTGCGAATGGGGTCGACGTCCCGCTCGGAGAGGACCTTCATCATGGACGTGCCGTCTGTCTCGAGCAGCCACTCGCCGATGGCCTTGAACTCGCCCGTTTCGGTGATGACGATCCGCTTCTTGCTGTCCGTTTGCGGCAGATGCATGTAGACCTTGCCAATGGCCTCGATGCCCTGCAGCGTCATATCCGACAGCATATTGGCCTCGATGCAGCGCAGGAACATGTCATCCTCCATCTTGTCGACGGCCTCGTCCTCGTCCTGGAACTTGTTCTCCTCGTTGTTCATGATCCGGATGCGCAGCACCAGCTTGTCCGCATTGTCATCGTTAAATATGCAGTTGAGATCCTCGCCAAAGCCCACATTGATCTTCTCGGCGATCTGCTCCATGGTCAGCTTCTTGTCCGTCATCCGTTTGCGATCGAGCTCGATACGCAGCAGCCAGGGCGAGATTCGGGTCGGATCAAAGTCGGGCATCTCGTAGTAGACATTCACAAACTCCTGATCCTCCGATATCACCGTACGCTGTGGATCCGGATCGTAATAGATAGCCGTATTGGCCGTCACCTTACGCAGCGTGGTGTGCTCAAGGCGGCACAGCACATTCTTGGCCTTCTCGGCATCACGGGCAGCACCACCCGTCAGGAATACCGTCAGAGACGGGGCCTTCGGTTTCTTTGAGATGTTGATAATCTCCTTGAGACGGGGCACGCCGAGTGTCACGTTCTTCGAGGACACACCAGCGAAATGGAACGTGTTGAGGGTCATCTGTGTGGCCGGTTCGCCCAAACTCTGAGCGGCCAAAGCGCCAACCATCTCGCCAGGATTCGCTTGGGCCTGCTGGAAGCGCGTCTCGATCTCACCGATCAGCCACTCAAAGGCCTCCGTGGACAGGCGAAACTCCTCGGACACGTATTTGGTGCACAGCGTGGACCGGATGAGGCACTGGAACAGCAATGTGGCATTCTCGTTGGCCTGCTTCGATATCCGATCGGCTCCCGTCACGATCACGCACCGCTCCAGCAGGGTCTTTACGCCCTTGATCACCCGCATGGGCGACAGGTCTGTGGGCAGTCGCTTGTTAATGTGGAATATCTTCTGTACATTCCAGATCATGCGCTGCAGATTGCACGGCAGCACCACCTTCGAATCGCCGTTGGGGAAGATCTGTCGCAAATGGTCGCGATCCTGCATCAGGTGGTCCCACTCCGATTCGAGATCCTGTATGGCCTCGCTGCTGTCGGTCATCTCCTTGATCACCTCATCGGTGAAGACCTTGCGCATGTATCGCTCGTTCGACCAGTCGAACTTGAAGCGCTTCTCGAACGCCTTGTTCGAGAGCTTCACCGTGGGCATGTTCTGGAACTCGACCAACTCGCCGCAGAGGCCATCCTCACCGTATCGCAGCTGGATCAGCTGGCCCACCGAATTTCGCACAGTGCCATCGTAGTTGACCATCACCGACTCCATAGCCTTGATAAGACGTCGCTGGATGTAGCCGGTTTCGGCTGTTTTCACCGCCGTATCAATGAGACCCTCACGACCGCCCATAGCATGGAAGTAGAACTCTGAGGGCGTCAGACCGGCCAGATACGAATTCTCCACAAAGCCGCGCGACTCGGGACCATAATCGTCCTTGATGAAATGCGGCAGGGTGCGCTTACGGAATCCGTACGGGATACGCTTACCCTCCACGTTCTGTTGTCCCACGCAAGCAATAACCTGGGCAAAAGAAACATTGATTAGGTGGAGGCGATAAAGCGTATGTATGCGCTCAACTTTACCTGAGAGATGTTAATATTGGATCCCTTGGAACCGGACACCACCATGGCCTTTAGATTGTTGTATTCGGTCAGGGACTTCTTGGCGGAGCCACCAGTCTTGTCACGGGCATCGTTCAGGATGCGATTCACCTTGTTCTCGAATGTTTGGCGCAGCGTGTTGCCGGGCGTCGGTTCCAGCTCCATGTTGTGGGCCTTTTGGATAACATTAATGACATCGTCCTTGGCCTTCTTGATGGCCATCTGAATTTCGTTGTAGGTCTGCGGATCGGCAATGGTGTCGCCAATGCCGATGCTGTGGCCCTCGAGCAGCAGCCAGTTGTTGATCACCGTCTGAATGTTGCCGTAGAAGCGTCCGGCTATCTCGTGGCCCAGCTCCAGGAAACAGATATGCAGCAGAGAGCCCGCCGATGTGCCCAGCGTCTTCTTGCAGAGTATGCCCATTATGAGGTCGCCGTGTTCCACCATTACCTTGGTGTCGCCGGGCGAGATCCACTTGTAGGGGCCATCGTCCTCCTCATCGGGATGCGTCGAATGGGTGCGGATCATGTTGACGTTGCCGGGTATGATCAAAGAGAATATCTGCTTGCCCGTCCACAGCGGACGCGGCTTAAGGATGCACGGCTGCGGCATTTTGCCATCCCATGTGGGCAGAAACATGAGCAGATTCATCACCTGCTCGCGCGTGATGAACACATCGCGCTTGGTCATCTTCCGCACGGCGGTGAGGGTGTCCTGCACAATACCCATGACGGGCTTATTCGCCTGCGGCGTGATAATCTGTCGCGGTGTGATGTGAATGTTCTCCACCTCGGCGCGCGTCTCCATTGACTGCGGCACATGGAGGTTCATCTCGTCGCCATCGAAATCGGCATTGTAGGGCGATGTGCAGGAAAGGTTCATGCGGAACGTGGACCAGGGCAGCACCTTCACACGATGCCCCATCATACTCATCTTGTGGAGGGTGGGCTGGCGATTGAAGATCACTAGATCGTCGTCGCGCAGATGCCTCTCCACCTTGTAGCCGCACTGCAGATGGAGGTCCGACGACTTGGGATGGAAACGCAAATCGATGCGCTCCCCATTGTCGCGGACAATGTATTTGGCGCCCGGATATTGCGAGTTGCCGCGACGCACCAGCTCCTGCATGCGATCGATATTGAATGGGGTGACCAGCTCGGGGAAGGTCAAATTTTGGGCTATCGAACGAGGCACGCCGACCTGATCGATGCGCAAATTGGGATCCGGTGTGATGACGGTACGGGCTGAGAAGTCCACACGTTTGCCCATCAAGTTGCCACGGATGCGACCCTCCTTACCCTTCAACCGCGCCTTGATCGCCTTCAGGGGCTTGCCCGACTTCTGCATGGCCCTGGGCATGCCGGGCATATCGTTGTCCACCAGCGTGGCCACATGGAACTGCAGCATCTTGATGTTCTCCTGTATAACGTGTGCCGCCGCTCCGCTGGCCTCGTTCTTGCGCAGCTCATTGTTGGCCTTGATGATGTCCGACAGCTTGTGGGTCAAATCGTCCTGATTCTTTGCCGCCCCGAACATCACCACAGCCGGACGCACGGCCAGTGGCGGAACGGGTAGTACGGTGACAATCATCCAGTCGGGGCGTGCGTATTTCGGGTCCATGCCCAGAATGAAGCACTCTTCGTCGGTTATGTGTTTCAATATCTCCCACACGCGCTCCGCCGAGACGACAATCTTCTTTTCCTGCGAATCCTCGTTCGGATGCTTCCACTCGGCGGACAAGTCCAGGCCCGTTCTCCGGATCGACGGCTGGTAGTGGCCACAACCGCCGTGGCCTGGCTTCTTGTTTGGATCCGGCTGTTGGTTGTCCTTGGTCAAGTCCATGTCCTCGCCGCCCTCGCAGATAGTCTTGCCCTTGCACAGGTCATAGACATAGGCCAGACGCTTGCGTGGCTGACCCTTCGATTTCACAACAATCTCCTTGATTTTCGGATTATGCGGCGAGACCAGCATCTTCGAGCAGTAGAAGCAAACGCAGCGCAGGATCTTGATGGTTTTCGTGATGAAGCCAATGTGGAATACCGGCTTGGCCAAATCGATGTGTCCAAAGTGGCCCGGACACTCGGTCATGTTGCCGGCACAGGTCTGGCATCTCGATGTCCTGTCAATGACACCTTGTCGGGGATCCATGAGGCCGCCTAGCTTTGGACGGCCGCCCTCCATCGTCTCGGCGAACTGGACGCCACCTTCAGTAACTGACATACGGCGCTGAAAAACGTTAAACAAGAACAATGATAGATATGGATACATTCTAGCAGATGAGAGACGAGACCCCAAAGCTACCCGACTTAAATATACATGGTATATATCATAGGGTATGGATGGATAACTTTTTGGCCAGACAAAAATTAACAAACGAAAAAAACCCCCACTTCCCTTTCTCTTTAAGCTATTTGCAATTAAATATTTTTGCATTTGGTGTGGGTGATCATTTTTCAATATGGCGTCCCAGACATTTAAAGGAATTGCACTTACAATTTCATCAGGTGATAAAATTCCAAACTGTACACGCTTCACCTGGCGCAGGGGCGCCTTGGAGTCAGTAGTGGTGCTCATTGTGACCACTCAGCAATAGATTGGGCCAGGCTGGCCTGCGAGAGTTCAGTGGGCTGCTGCGCGTCGTCCGTCAAACTTTTTCTTTTTCACCCACTGCCAATAGAAGGGCCGAAGTCGAGTTTGCACACGGTAGATACAAAGATAGACGCACTTTGAAAAAAAACAGTAGGGAAAAGACCATTAGCTTTTTTTAAGTGGCTATATTGCATTTTTATACGTACGTTTTACGGTGCGTCAATTTTCGTCGCTTTTCACGCGTTGGCCGTTCACTAGAGATGTCAAACCATCGAGGGCACTATCGATAGTATCGATATTTTGCTGTTTGTTTTTGTTTTTTCAAAACATTCAACGTTGATATTCCTCGATTTTGATATTCCGTTTAACATTACTAGCTAGTTGGCCCTCTCAGCCCTAAACAAATAATTTTAGCCGATAGAGACATTAATTTTCTACATGATTGGCAAGTTGTTAGAAGTCCTTTTTATTGGATTATTTACATATCAAGGTTCAAACAAAAACAACATAAAACGAATGTGACGTCGTTTTTGAGGCGCTGCCAGACTCGTGCAATTCGGAGTTGCTACGGGCTGCCATACCATGATATTTTGTGACATGATATTTCTCGATTTTGATATTCCGTTTAAAATTACTAGCTAGTTGGCCCTCTCAGCCGCAAACAAATAATTTTATCCGATAGATACATAAATTTTGTTCAGGATTGGCTAGTTTCCAGAACTCTTTTTCATTGAATTGTTTAGATAATAGGGTTCAAACAAAAACGGCCAAAGCATAAAACGTAAATGTTGACTAAATGTGACGTCACATGTTGCTGGTCAACCAAGTTTCTTCTACGCGTAAGGACTTTTGTATACCGTATTTTCTTTAATTGATGTAAAATTGATTGTTCCAAGCTCCATTGAAACATTAATAATGCAGTTTTCTTAGATTGAGATGTTTTTTACTCATTAATGCATATGTTTTGTGTTTCATATATACATTTATCCCGGTTCTAATACCTATTGTTGGAACCCGTGAGCTGAAAAATTTCGTTATCTTTAAAACAGAGACTGAGTAGTTTCTGCATTGATTGGAGCCTGAAATTACAAACAATATCTCAAGTCCATAATATCCATTTTCCCAAGGTATGCAGATTGTTGCTCATTCCGTGCCAAAGTTGCACAACAATGCTGCTAATTCATTTCCCCATGCTGCTGAAATTTTTCCCATACAAATCAAATGTATCATACGGGAACGCGTATGGAATGACGCAACAATTAATCTTTATTCCATACGCGTTCCCGTAAGATACATTTGATTTTGTATGGGAAAAATTTCAGCAACATGCTGCCACACCACGAAAATGAGGGGAAAGTCTCCACAAAAACACTCTATTCTCCACTGAAAAGAGAGCACTCTCCACGAATTGAGAGCAAATGTTGAAAACTGTCCACGAATTGAGAGCGAGTTTTGCAAACTCTCCACGAATTGAGAGCGAGTAATTTCGAAACTCTTGTACGATCAAATGGAGTGGCGATATAATATCGATATTTTTGTACGATTCTAATGTGAGTTTGGCGGTCATTCCATTGAAAAGTATCTTAATATATTAAAAAATATATTAAATAATAAACCGGAAGTTTTCGGTCAACAGATGCGCTGGTGCGGGATTCCTCTATTCCGTTTAATATTACTAGGATAGTCGGCCCTCTCAGCCCTAAACAAATAATTTTATCCATAGATACATACAAAATTTTCTACAGGATTGGCTAGTTTTCAGAACTCCTTTTCATTTAATTCTTTACATAATAGGGTTTAAGCGAAAACGGCCAAAGCATAAAACGTAAATGTTGACTAAATGTGACGTCAGTGTTGCTGGTCAACAAAGTTTCTTCTATGCGTATGGCTTTTGTATACATTATTTCCTTTAATTGATGTTAAATTTGTTGTTTCAGGCTGCTTTGAAACATCAATATTGCATTTTCGTTAGATTGAGTTATTTTTTACCTAGCTATGCATATGTTTTGTGTTTTATATATACATTTATCCCGGGTCTGATACCTATTATTGGAACCCGTGACATGCTCAATTTCGTTAATATCTTTAAAACAGAGACTGATTAGTTTCTGCATTAATGGGAGCCTGATATTACAAACAATATCTCAAGTCCATAATATCCATTTTCCCAAGGTATTCAAATTTGTTGCTCATTTCGTGTAAAAGTTGCACAACAATGCTGCTAATTCATTTCCCAATGTTGCTGAATATATACCAAAATCATAGCCTTCTAATATACCTTTTAAAATTATATTTAATATATTAATGAAATTGATTAAATATATATAATCTATTGGTGCCGACCCAATGGTCTATACTGGTCTTTCCTATTCCCATGTAGGGCCGTTTGCCGTCCGCTGATTTAGAACAAAGTGAAGACTCCCATTAAAAACAAAAATATTTCTCCTTTTTTTGGTTTTTACACATCTTTAATGTTAAATTTAGTTTTCGTGTCTCTTCGCTTCTATTACAATATAAATTATTATTTATATTTAATAATACATTATTAGAGTTCATTCCATTCCTAACACATTTCTTTATTATTATATTTATACTGTATAATATCGAAGCACTCATTATTCAGTTTGTTTTTGTTTAATTCGTATTAACATTGTTTTAAAAACTCGCATTTGGTGAATTACAAAAAAAAATTGTCATCGTTCGACTGTAGTAGAAGGGGAGTTCTGTAGTAGTAAAGTGCTTTGGAAAAATGCCATTAATAAAAATAAAACAACTTTATAAAAGGTTTTTTTAATTGTTTAAAACCTTTTTTTTAATTGTTTAAACCCTTTTGGGAGAAAGCACGGGAAGTGAGTATGTTGTTCATTATTCGTTTCGTTTCGTTACTTTTACATTTCTACAGTTTCGTTCTGTTTTGTTTTGTTTTGTGTTCGTGTCATTTCGTGTATTGTATTTAAGGCTAAGGTGTTTTATTTGCTTTGTGTGTTCCATTCGTGTTGATTTTTGTTTGTTTGCCTACAAGTAAGAAGTGCAAGCAGTGCCTGGAAATCTGTGGTTTGGTTATGTTCCTGTTTTTGTCATTCGTTATCCATTTTAGTCGTGTAAAATTAGTTAAATATATGCAATAAATATTAGTACAAAATGAAATGCAAATTCAAATTTCTCAAAATCAAATGAGCAACGCGAATAAGTGCATTTTAAATTCTTTTCACACGCGCATACAATAAAAAAAATAATTATTAAAAATAAATTATTCATACCAGAAATGAGGAAAGCGAATAAATGGAAAATTAAACATAGGCTAAATATTTCTCAGGCAAAGAATATAAAATCAGTTTGAAAACCAAATGAATTCATATGTGGGGGTATGGTATACATATTTATATAGTAAATATATAAAAAGATAAATATCATTAAAGTTAGGGTGAGTGGGAGAAGGAATACGCTGGTAAATTGGTATCGGTGCTGTAGCAGTATTAGTGGTAGTACGCTCAATAAATTAATACAAATTAAATACAGTTTTGTGGCCTTTAAATAATTACAAATACTATACGCAACTAATCCATAATAGTAAAATGTCATTGATTTGTGCCGCGGCGCTACAGAGAGGACAGGGCAGGACTCTCCTCTCCAATCAATCAAAAAGAACAAAAAAAAAAAATATTTAGAATTCTTTATCAGGTAATTTATAATGTAAATGGAATCTCATAATAGTAAGTTTTAGTTATAGTATGTAAATGTCTTTTTCTTTTACAAAAGTATCGTATAAATCAATGAGAACCAAAAAGAAAATATGTCGCTTATTAAATGTTATTGTTGTTGTTGGTTTGGGTTGTTTTTACTGTAAAACTTTCAACCGCTTAAAGCCTTTCCCAGCTTCCCCGTTTCCCCAATCATTCAACAACAATTGAATGAACGGTAAAACTTAATAAGATTCGCGACTGCTCTTACGAGAGAGCAAGCCGCTTAAGAGGAAAGGCGGTTAGTGCGTTCAGAGAGCGAAATGTGACGACTGAATGAGATGGAGTGATGACTGTGATGAGCGAATAGTTTGGAACGAGACGAGACGCCGCTCTTTTTGCAGGGGGCAAATAATGAATTCATGAAATTCTTTAACAGTATAGGGAATTTTTATTTAAAACTAAACGCTACAAAATTGTTGAACTGCCGCAAAAACCAACAAAAAATAACCAACAATTGATTCTGCGAGGGTGTGCATATCTGTGTTGTGTGTGTGTTCGCCCTTTCCCTTGCGTGGGTGAACACTTAACCTCATCTGCAGCAGCCTTCAGTTCTTTTCTGTTTTGCAACGTTTTCTTTTGGAATTCGACCATAGATATAAAGTCTTTGCCTTTTCGGATCACATTTTCAATTACGGGCAGCAGTGAGGGATAAAGGATAGAGCTGGGTGGGGTTAATTTCATTGTGTGATTCTTGACAAAAATTCGGGGTCACATTTGTGTGATGAAAAAAATTTAAAAATTTTGTGGATGATAGTTAGTAGTGGTGAGGGGGTGGGGGTAAATGTTGATCGTGGGGGGATGTGTATTGCTAGTAGGTAGGTTCTAGCGCTGGCTGTTTGGACTATATTTACAAGAAAGCATCTCTTCTTTGGCCAACTTAATGCGATATTCAGCCATCATGTCACGGCACTGTGTGGCAATGTCCATCAGTTGGGCAAACATCAATTCACCGCGCTTACAATAGTCCTCCTGATCATAGTTCACATAATTTGTTTGAGTGTATAGTGTCTTTGATTCACCCAGGAAGGTCTCCAGTGTGGTATTCACCGATCGATGGAATTCCACAACCATTTCTTCAGTTTGCTGTAAATCTTCAATGGCCTCATGCTGTGTGATCAGCTCCTGTGACATTTCGTGTTCCTGCAAAGTAGAGTAGAAATGGTAGAATCAGAGAGCGTGTCTTGCCTAGGTTAATTATTACTTTTGTGGCGGGGATCTGAGGATGGATCTAGCAGGATTAATATATAAGATTAGATAAGCAAAATGAAATGTGCATGTGTAAGTGCAGGGAAAACTGCGATATATATTCAGTTTAGATCTTCGAGGGGCTCCAACTCGTCCAAATTGATGTGGGGCAAGCGACTAGCGTAATCGAACAGTACCCCCTTGAAGCCACAGTCACGCACAGTGAAAATTATCCGAGTCTTGCTGCGTAGCAGCTTGGGCATTTCCCCAAATTTCTTAATCAACTCTTCTCGAACGCGCGGTATTAGCTTGGCCAACGCCATGACATCCGGATCATCCTTCCGATTCTGACTCGGCTTCGGCTTCTTATCCAGCAGAATATCCCCAATGTTGCGTATCTCCGGCTTCTTCTTGCTTCGTACAGCTGCTCTAGCATATGGCGATCTATGATTTGCCAACTGTTTTGGCTTTCTGTCCACATTGGCAGCCACTTTAACTTTCGACTTTTCCACCGAATCTGCTGTCGCATTCGGCAGTTTTTTTTGCACGTGTGCGTACATGCAGTATCTTCGTGTTGTGCGTAGCTTTGGACTGGACTGGGGTCTCAACTTGGGTGTATTGTTCCACGAACGCTCCAATTGAATTCTCGCTTCCGTGTTGTCAGTAGAAGCCGCCTTCTGTTGGCCGCCTCCATTTGTGGTCTTGCTGTGCGAGAACATTGTTTTTTTTGTTGTCCGTATACTACGATATACGGTTGAGTGAATATATAAAACGTGTGGCAAAGTCAAAGGCTACCTAAATGCTGGAAATTACAAATTTAATGTGCCTCGGCCTGTGCCTGGCGAATCTTTTCTATAGAAACAGCCTCACTATGCCGGCACTATGTACTGCTCAAAATGTATTATTGCAATTATTTATCAAGCGAATATTGAATTAATGGCAAAAACGTTGATGCATATCCAATATTTTAAAACAAAAATATTGATAATGGTGCACGTGATCAACAAGTATCAACATTGATATTGACAATCGTTCTGCAGTCAGTTTAAACTATCTTCAATCAAGAATAAAGGCGATGACTATGTTTCTTAAGTGATATGAATGCCTAGCGATGTGAAATGATTCAAATACAAAACAAACAACTAAAAAGATCTAAAAAAGGGCGTCAAGACGCAGACGGACAGCGGGCGAAGGCGGGGGGGGGAATAGCTAAGGATAGACTTGGGGTTGGCGAACGAGCGAAGTGACTGAGCAGGGGGCTTTCCCCCTAGTTTTACAAAAAAAAAAATAATATAAAATCAAATCGTTCTCTACACAGTATTCTCTTTTGAATCGAATGGCTTTATAATATATAACACATAAATGACTTTCGTAAATACTTACGCTCAGCGAACTTAAAAGTGCCAGATCCGTGTTGCCGGCATTCCCATTCTTGTTGTTGTTATTATTGTTATTGTGAATGCCCGCAGATATTGGAACATTCCGCTGATTGTGTGAACGAATATCTGGCTTACGCACCGGATTGTTTTCCTGCTCCTCCTCATCGTCATCGTCCATGATTTCAATATCATTATCATCCATGGGATCATTGCCATCGCCACAGGGTCCCATCTCCTGGACGTTGGGGGCCACCAGCTCCTTGACACGATCCGCATAGCGCAGCGTGTTGAGAGTATGCTCACAGGAATTGATGCACGGCGAGATCATGGCTATCATGCAAGTCTTGCTCTTCTCTCCAATGAACGAGTCGCGCAGTACCTGCGTGAGCTTCGAGACACGGAACGGCAAGTGGGCCGACTGTTTACCCAGTGCCCGAATGCACTCCTTGAGTGCCAGCAGCGACTTATTGATCTCAGCCCCTTCCATGCGTGTCTGGCGATCAGCCGATGAGGTGTCCACACCCCGCTCATTGCCCGCCAAATCAATGAACGAGAATTTGCCGTGGATCTTTGTCGTGCCCATCGGCCGCAAGACAATCTGGAAGACGGCGTGCGATCGCGATGAGTTCGCATTGGCCGATGTCTGGCCCGAGGTGCGCGCCAAATTACCCAGCTGGATGATCTTTAGCACCTCCTCGACGCTGTCCACCACCTTTTCGGTAAGGCCGACCACCTGGACCTGCTGGTTGCCGTCCTCCAGCACGCGCAGCTTCTGCTTATCAGCCAGCAGATCGAAGACCTGTTTGACACAGCACAGGAGACAAGCACATTAGCAAATGGGATTGATCTGGATTAATTGCGTGTGATTAATTACGAGTCTTACCTTGCCACTGTAAATCTCAAAGAACGAGGCCGAAACGACTAGATTCATGGAGCGATAGCGCGGTGTATTGAGTGTCGCGAACACATCCTTGGCGGCCATGGCATAGATGCCGTTCTTGCAGTCCTGTATTTTGCCCGTAAACTCCCCGCCCATGGTATGGGTCTTGCCGGATCCAGTCTGGCCATAGGCAAAGCATGTCGCCATTCCGCCCTCGAAAATAGTCTTCACCAGCGGCTTGGCTGTGTATCTGAGAAGGTGAAGGAGGATCACAGAGAATCAGAGCATGTATCATAATTGGTGACGGGAAAAAGGAAAATGAATCAGGCAATCTATTTAAAGGTATGCCAGTATGCGATCTACTAATCACAATAAATATCACAGCCTGACTGTTATCTACGATCATAATCGTAAGGAAATTCCCTACAATTTCTAGCGAAATGTTATGCATCATCAGCAGGAAGGGGGAAGGAAGGAGGCTTAACGTTTCACTTAGCGCCTGTCGTTACGTGACGCATCCACTACGGCAGCAGCCATTGACTCATGCGCCAGTTAGAAGAGAGAGAGAGAGAGAGAGGGAGAGGTAGAGAAGAGAGAGAGAGAGAGGGAGAGGTAGAGAAGAGAGAGCTTCTTAAACGCAATTGAACAAAAGGTAAACAATTTTTAATGGACGCCGGATGGCGGTTACTTTTCGAAAGAGGCGCTAAGTACAATTTAGAGAGTTCAAAACTGAAACGTAAATCAAATCAAATCAAGCGTCGTCGGCAGAGTTCAGACAGGCAGAGCAGACCCATGAATGAATGAACGGAACGCAATGGAGTGGCCGCTTATAGGCCATGCAAGTGGCAGAGAGAGATGGCCAGAGCTTGTGTGAAATTAGTCATAAGCCCGCTTTTGGCCGCCTCTCTCTATGGGTGTGTGTGTGCGTGTGTGGGTTTGTTTGTTTGTGTGCATTCGAATGAGTCGCTCTACTAGAGATGGTCCACAAGCAATTGTCGTGTCGCGACGCCAAGCGACAATAACAGCTGTTGAATGCAACAGTATGCGTGCATGCGTGGGAATACCAATTGGAAATTTACATTTTCAACTGTAATAAATACAATATTTTAAAGTTTTTGTTATAACTGGAATTGAATTGGAGCCCTGTATCAATGAAATTGTGGCCGTTCCTGTATGTTTATGATATGCTACAAGTGCATATGGATATATTTATCCCCTGGCAACCGACAAATACCGTGTGCATACCATACATATGTATGTATGTACATATGTACAACTGTACAGATATCATGAGAGGTTGAGGATAGATAAATAGATGTGATACATATATGGTAATGCCTGAAATCGAGTTTGCTACTTGGTAAACATACATAGTATGTGTGTATGTATGGTATGTATGCGCTATACTATACTCACTTGTACACCATGGCATTGTCACACGATTCGTTGAAAGCATAGTCGAAACGAAATTTGTGATGTTCAAGGAATTTGGTGAGATCGACCTTGGTACGCGGCTCATGGACAATCATCATGTCCTTGCGGGGCACCGATATGACATCGACCTCCCTGCGATTGGTCTCCTTTCGGCTTGGTGGACGCTTGCGCACACAGACCGTGATCTGGTGATCGTCCACCGCCTGACCATCGAGCAGCGGTATAAAGTCCAGCGTATTCTGATATTCCCGTATCATATTCGCTAGCTCCCAGTTGGGGTTACCGGGGTCCTGATTCTGCAGTGCTTTTTGCTCCTCCTTAAGTTCAGCCTGGCGTGCCCGACGCTTCTCGCGATTCTCCTTTAGACGCTCCACCTCCTTGAGGGCATGCGAACGACGCGCTCCTCCTGCGACACCTCCACCACCACCACCACCGACACCAATGCTGCTCTGTGTGCTATTGTTGACCACTGGATTACTTGTGGATTGGCTGATTTGCCCACCAGCGACCACTTGGGCGGACGCTGTGATGGGCGCCGTGGCACTGCGCGTATGCTGCTGTCTAGTCGTGGCCTGTGAGAACCGTGGCCGCTGCAGCCCGGAATTGGTCGACACTGCAGGGGTGGTACCACCCGTAGTAGCATTCGAGTTTGCATTACCCGTGCTGATGGTCGGATGAGTCTCGCGTATCTTGTTCAGTTGATTGCCGGCCATGGTCAAGCGACTGGTGAGGTTACCAGAGATATTCGATTGTGTGGGATTGCGGGCCAGATTCACCGGGGCAGTGGCCTGCTTCTTTGGCTCTGGGGCCGCATGCTGCTCCACAGCCTCCTGCGTCAGTTCGGGATTCAGTGTGAGTATGGCCTCTAGTTCCACCTCCTTGCCTTTGGTTTCTCCACGCTCGAACCACTCGACTGTTATGCACTTACCGGACGCATTGATCATGGCTACGATGGCCGTATGAACGCGTCCGTCAGTGCGTTTGATTTTAACGTTCTGTCCAATCGTAATAATATCCATTTTTGATCACTTTTTACTCCGTTCCACAAATGGCTATCACTTGGTGTAAACAAATATCCAATATCACTTTTTGCCTATCTATCGAGTTCGCCTGCTCTGGTCTGGTCTGGTCAGCTCAGCTCAGCTTAACGCTGCGATTCCGATTCCGCTTGCGAATCCAATAGTTGTGGCCACAGTTTTCCCACTGTAGCGGATTTCCAAAATGTATTCTGATTGAAAGAAATATTACGAGGGTGAATTATTAGTATTATTTCTTGCCAATCAATTGATTTCTGTGTTGCACTAACAGGATCAAGAGACAGCAGAGCCAGTAATAGATTTTAGATTAAATTTTTGATGCCTCCAAATGAGATTTTTTAATGCTTCTGCTTCTTCTATGTCGAGGTCGCCGACAGCGTCTGTTTCGGTGAACGCATCTGTGTTGTGTGTGCCTATTGTGTGCGTGCTTCCATACATATGTGTATATCTGGTTGAGCTTGTGTTGTGTGTGTCTGTGTGTGTTCACAGCAAAATTCAAATGCCAACTGTCGCTTTGGTCGCGTCTGGCAACGAATAACAAAGTCAGCACACATGGAAATGCAAATGGGGAAAAGCAGAGAAAAGGTGGAGTTGCCAAGCAGAACCATCACTCCAGGTGGGACCGGCCAGATACCTTTGGGGGATCTGCAGTTGGCCCTGGGACGGACCCTGACCAATTGTGATTCTTTTTTGGTTGTGCGCCCATTTTGCATGCATCGTTTGCGGCACTGTGCAACACTGATCGCCTATGCGGCACATAGCGACACATTGCATATGCGGCAGCCAAGTCTGCCAAAAATGAGAAGAAACTAACGACGATTGCAGGGCAACTAATCAATGCTTTGAGGTGTTAATATGCAAGCGCAGCATACAAACGCACGGCGTTACGCTATCGTTTTACGTCATACATTGGCTCCCACACAAACGGCTCACACACACACACAGATGCATCGGACAGACGAAGTCGCGGAAATGGGATTGAATTTTTTTGCAATCTGCTGTTTACGCTCACCTTGTTTGTGGTCCGAAACACTTTAATTTCCCTAAAACGTCTATTTGATTTTTAATTACCAATCACAACAAAATAAATAGTAAACTGCAAACGCACAATTTTTACAAAATCGACCAGATGTCAACAACAAGAGTTTTATAGTTTCACAGTTTCTTCGCCATTGTTTTTCGCCACACTGTCATGACGATGGCACGGCGTTGTGCAGCACTTATTCGGCTATGGTAGTGCTGAAAAAGCAATCGTTTTATTTGAATTGCAGCAGTATTAACGTCGAAAAGTTAGACTTTGGGCCAAAAAAATGTAAATCCTAATGTTTCAATTGCAAATTTTCGGCAATAAAATACGCATAGCTATTTCCAATAGTCCACTTTTTATTTATGTTGAATCACTTCATATCCAACCACTTTACAGGACTGACGCTGCCAGCTGTTTTCCAATCATTTTGTTGGAAAAAGATAAAGCTGTGGATAACTCATAAACGAATTTAATTGGGCTAACAAGAGAGATTCAGGCATATATAATCGTCAGGGAATGTTTCAAAATATGAATACAAAAATGTTTATGTAAAATATGTTTTGGTATTTTTTACAGTCTCCTTGCGGTATTTACATCTGCGCCCACATTGACAACACTATAACTGTTTCTCTGTGCATGAGCTGAGTGCGTGTGTGTGTGTGCGTGCATGTTTGTGGTGGTTGCAATAGATTTGTTTGTGCGTAGAAAGGAAAGCGTAAATTGTTGCAACGAAAATTGGACATAGAGAGCAGAGAAGCGTTTGCAAACTCCCAAAGAATATTCGGTAAGCATGCCCCGCACTTCTATCCGGAAATCCAATAACGATCCGCCTGGTGTGCAGCCCACGAAGCCCACGCATCAGCATGGACATCATGGACATACAGGCTGTCGAATCCAAGCTGAGTGACGTCACAGTGACACCAATACCACGCTCGCAAGTGCAAAACTTTTACAACTACCAGCAGCAGCGTGAACAGCGCGAACAGCAGCCCCAAATCCAAATATCTGCCATCCATCATTCGCGTGGCAACAGCTCCGGCAACAACAGCATGGGCGGCATGGGTGCCACGGACTACTCCACCACCAGCGGCAGCGGCAACGCCAACAGTAACAAGCGCGACCGTTCCGCCGACTACAGCGCATCCAGCAAACAGAATTCGGCGGCAGCCAATGCTGCTGCAGCAGCCGCTGTTGCCGCCTTGCAATATTCACCGCAGTTCCTGCAGGCGCAGCTGGCTCTGCTGCAGCAACAATCGAACACCACGGCCACACCGGCGGCTGCTGCTGCAGCGGCCCTCTCGCTCGCGAATATTGCCGCAGCCACCAATGGGGCTCGCAATTCGGGCAACAGCAATGGTAACAATCTTGGCCTGAATCTGACACAGTCACAGCTTAAGTACCCGCCCCCGTCCACATCGCCGTTGGTGGTGACCACCCAGACATCGGCAAACATAACCACACCCCTCACATCCACAGCCAACCTGCCGACGGTGGGCAGCCTGAGCACCGGCAATGGCCTGACCAAATACGCCCAGCTATTGGCCGTCATTGAGGAGATGGGACGCGACATAAGACCCACATACACAGGGTCGCGCAGCTCCACGGAGCGGCTGAAGCGTGGCATTGTTCATGCCCGCATCTTGGTGCGCGAATGCCTGATGGAGACAGAGCGGGCAGCGCGTCAATGAGAAGAGGAGTGCAGTGGCGATTTGACGCCACAGCTCCTCTCGCCTGACTGAGTGTCGGTCGGTCGTGCGGGGGTGGTCTAGGCTCTAGGGCTAGGATTTTAAGTTTAAAGTAAATTGGGTTTGTCGATATGTATGCACGTATGTGTATGTATGTATGTATAATCTCAGTCGAAGGTTTAGGCCTTGTCCGAATGCTGCAAAACGAACGAGAAGCAATTTGTATAAACGTAACCCTTTTCACTTGAAGGGCTTTCCGTTTTGCTTTATATATTTTCCATATAAAGGGCAAACTGTGCCCCCCGACCATAGTTAAAGAATGTTTAGACTAGCTCAGGTTATATAAGGTTAATAGAATACATAATAGATCTATGTACACACACACCGAAGGCAGATCCAGGTCGAATCGATGTATGCAATTGGATTTGGATACGCAACGAGATCTGGTCGTCGGTTTATTATTTTAAGGAAAAGTCGTGTGTGTGTGTGTGTGTATGAATGTGTGCGAATGTCGTTTTCTAAATAACCGTATAACGAGGAGATCGTAATTATTACACTGCCCCCCGGGGTCTCCGATATTGTGTGAAATTTAAGCTGATTCCCCCCCTTATTTTAGAGAACTATACAATGATGTATGATGTATATACAATACAAAAGATGAAGAAAAAATAAGAGATACAAGAGATATATATATATATTGAAAAGATATACACATACATATATGTATATAGACTTGTTATGCCTATAATACAAGTGCGCGATCAAGATTAAGTGGAAGGAAAACCCCCTACAAATTTAGTGGCAATTGGCACACTCATATTTATATGTATGTACTTATATACCTAGGATCCATATATATATATATATATGAGCATAGTTCAAGCATGTATACCAAACCGAATAAATGAATAATTTTTTGGTCTTTGTAAGTGAAGTGATTACCACATTAGCAATGCAAATTTATTGTAATCAACATTGAAATTTGGGACAACATTCGGGAAATGGTTTCGTTACATCGCCAACCAGCTTGCACGGCTTCAGACTATTCTCCAGAGGACAACTAAAACGTACCAAATAGAGTGAGAGTGTTGGATCTCCTTTCTGGGTATACATGTGTACTTACTTAACGCCCATCATCTGTTTGGGTGCCTTGCAGGTGTACTGTATGCATCGACCATTTGGCTTGTACGATTCACCCGCTTTCAACTGATGACCATCTATCTCGCAATCCGCTGCCAATACATTAGATCAGATCATACATGAGCTTAAAGTGTGAGTATTTTGCACACTTACCGGCCAGAACCAGCAGCGAGTGGGCGCCAAGCACCACGAGGCACAGCACAAAAGTAAGCGACTTCATTGTTCTGATCGAACTGAGCTGACCGTCGCTGTGCGTCTTGCAATATATAGTTCTATTCTAGCTTAAAGAGGGAGAGAGAGAAGATTAGATTCCCCAGCGCCCGTGTTGGTCACGGGGTTCGATGGGTTTATCAAAAGGTCAACCATACACAATGCAAACTGATTTCATACTACAGGCTTTATGCAATACAAAAATAATATATTTCAAAGCTATATACATACATATAATTATTTAAAAATCATATAACAAAATACTATGTACGACTGGGACACTCTAGCTGCGGACAACATTCGGGGAATTGTACCGCATAGTTACCGGACGAAAGTTGGCATCCAGGAAGCGGAAATGGTTGCGGCTCACAGCTGTTGATGGGGGATTTTGAACATAATGTATATGTGTGTAACGACCACTTACTGTTTGATCATCAGTAGGTAATCATCGGCACAGAGCACCTTGACACAGTAGTCCTCGTGATTGATCGGCAGAATTTCGCCATTAAGTGGAACAGCCAGATCCAACTCCTCGTAGTAGCAATGCCCGGCCAGTGTGGGGTGTTGTGTGTGTCCCCGATACTGTGTGCTGAAGCCATTGCCATTGACATTAACCGCCGCCAGCTGTAGCAGGATGAACACGGAGACGATCAGCACTAGCAGCTTATTCATGGTTCTTCTGATTTTTGGCTGCCCAGCGGCGGATCCGCCGCTTATAAGGGCAGTCCCACCTCGGACAGGGTTCTGTTATCAGCTTTGGGGGCTTATATGTAAACAAATATATATAGAGCGCCTCGTATGTGCTTTGCAATCATTTACGGTTTTCTATTGTCGTTGTCGAGTGATTTGTTTAAGGTTTGCCTTGCTCTCGAAGCGATGTGGCTGCAGAAAGTCCATAACAATATCAATATCAAATACAAAGGAAATGAAATCGTTTTAGTGAGTGGCCGGCCGCCAATCAATCGACTGGCAGGAAGGCACTTACTGGAAGAATCTTAAATATATATTTCAAAAATGATCAAATAATGTAACCAAAATGATTGAATCGAAAGCACACTGCCCAACGGGTGCCATTGCAGCATTGTTGTGAATGTGCGTGGGTGCGCAAACAGATGATGCCAACATAATACATGCAGCGCAGCTTACCTCGTTTAGCCAGTGCTGAAAGAGTTCATTGGCTCAATTAGAGTCACATGCGGTGCGGCGGTCACATCACTCTCTCGATATCGTATCTTCTCCTCACTCGATTACAGTTAATTAATGCAAATGCAGGCTAAGCCGTCTAGAATGCATTCGCAAGCAGTAAATCCCATTTAATATACATATGCATTTACATGAGTGCTTGCTTGCTTGTGTCCGTGTCGTGTCGTTGTGTTTGGCCGAAATTTAAATTGACAAATGCTCACGACTATTCTTCTGATACCCTTGTAGGGAGGAGGATATTATAATAAATTACGCAAAATGACAACAAAAATGCAAAGTAAACCATTTTCATGTGAGTGCAGTGTGTACATATGTACAGAGTACAAAAAAAGAGTATCAAAAACTTCGGCAGTCGTGGCCTAGGCCTTATTTTCTTTTATTGTATTTTGTCAAGCATTGTACTTATTTTGTGTGTTTGGATAATTTTTTAGCGGCGCAGCAACCTTGCCACAGTTTCTCGAACCGTGGCACTTAACTGTCATGGATGTGGATGTGTATTCCCTCTACCCGCCATCACACCATGCGATACAACGGAACCGTACTGCCACTGCCCCGCGCACTCTCGCTTTCAGGGCCTGGGGCTGGCTTAATTAATTTAAACTAGAGCTAGAGCGGAGGACGCCTTAAGTCGTCGCACAAACAAAAGCCACAGCGCTACAGATGCGATATACACACACGTACATACACAGACAGTGTAAAATGTTTAATATTAATTTTATATAAAAGCAACAACAATTAATTGTAATTGACTCAGTCGCACGGGCAGCGCACAAGAGCCCAGGTCGGGAAATCTTTTGATTTCTTTCCTTTTTTCGCTTTGCGTTTACTGCAGCAATTGATAATGATGATGCTGCGAGCCGGAGGACTCCGCTGTCATTTTTTGCTCCTGCTCCTAGCCATTTGTGGCATGGCCTGGGGCGATGTGACATACCGCGGCAATGCTGTGCATCCAGGTTTGCATCCAATCGAAATACCCAGCATCACTCGGTATCAATTGAAGCATACCCGCCCGCCTATTATTCCCGCAGATTATCCCGGACAGTGCTATTATGAGGAGCTCAATCAGGCAATACCCAAGAAGCAGTCCTACAAGCCAATCAATCGCGACGGCTACTGCCAATCCATCTACTGTCGGCCGGACTATGTTCTCGAAATTGGATAGTAAGTATTCAGAGGAATATTCACATGTACTGGCTAAGCTACTAATGAGAGAATTCCCCCCTTTTTTTTAATGCGCAGCTGCGGCCGCCATAATCTAGTGCCCAACGAAAGGTGTAAAATTGCCAGCGATATGCGGCGCACATTCCCCGACTGCTGTCCCAAGCTGATCTGCCAGGAGCAGGAGCCGGAGAGCAACTACATCTAGGCCGGAACTGGATGAGCGCCCGTACGACTACTCTTTGTTAAACTATAGGTTGTGTGCTGCTCCAGCAATGGATCGTATTTTTGTAGTATTATCATTGTTTTCTATACATCAATAGATTTCTCGTATCTAAGGGAATACATTTCGATTTACTCGTACGACTGTCACAAGTTGAGAGAGTTTTAAATTTGTATGTTACGTTATGTCTACAATGGCGTTGCACAATCTGAACAATTACACAATTAAGAAGCCTGGCATGTGGTGTGGTCGGTAGGTCAGATTTTGTCTCGTTTCCTCGCTTCTGAATTTGCTCTGTTCCGCAGTTGTCCAGTTGTCTCCATCCCCCAGCCAGTGGGGGGCCAATCATCAGCATCATCATACGATGATCGTAGAGCCGCTCGCTGTGAATATGCAAATGCCAGTTTCTACTTCTACACACATGAATCGCAACGAAAGTGCAAACTATAAATAGGAAACAGGTTGCCTCACCATCGTTTCAGTCTCGTTTCCACATTGCCAAGATGCGTACCAGCGCTGTTTCGATCTTACTGTGCTTCTCCGCCGTGCTGCTAATGCTGCTGGTGATCCCATCCACCATCGATGCGGGTGAGAGAGCCAGTGGAACAAACATTTTTCTCGGTTTCAATGATTTCTGTGTATCCCTAAACAGCCAGCGAGCCGGTGTGCACTTATCGTAACTCAGAGGGGGAGACCATATTTCTCAAGTATCTGCCGCTGCTGAAGCGTGGCCAGGACTATGTGGACTTTGGTCAGGATGGCAAATGTCTGAAGCGTGCCATCTGCACGGATACCTTTAAGATCATGGTGGAGGAGTAAGTTCAACCAAATACTATGGGGCCCGAGTGGTACGTCTAGAATCTATTTTGTGTCACTTTCAGCTGTGCCCAGCACAAGATCAATTGTGCCAATAAGGATCGCTTTACGGGCGTCTATCCAGCCTGTTGTCTCAAGTGTCCGTAGGCAGATCTGGAGGAGCACAGAATACGTATGAATTTTCCTGCTGTTCTCCTAATTCTTAAAATACAACAATACTCGCGAAGTAGAAGACAATAATAATCATTTATGTATAATGAATAAATTGCAATCAAACGAAAGCTAAACGAAAACTGATGTTACAGGATGATATCTCAGGTATTATCAAAAGGAAAACCTACAGCAAAGAAGCTTTTTCATATTACTTTGAGTTGTCGGTGTTCACACAGCACAGCGCGGCCCGGATATAAGCAATTAAATCTCGAATTCATAGCCAGTGGCGCAGCTTAAAGCAATAATCATGCACTGTCCTGTCCCCACTCTGCCGAAGCGATGTTGGAAGCCTTTTGCTCTTTATCTACTAATTTTCGTTCATGAGCTGCTCCTCTTTCTTTCTTATAGTGTTACAGAACAAAACCCTTTGCTACAGTCTATCTTTTTCATACAACGGAGTACTTAAAAGGCGGATTACAATGGTATTAATGTGCCCTAGATGATGGCTGAATCTACAGGAAACTAATCTTTGAAAAAAATATACAATAGTTATATCAGCTTCATTCTTTGCTAATACGTGTCATTCGCTGTTTATCAACTCTCACACTTGCACAGATCTGTGTGTAGGGACGAGTTTCCTCCATTTAGATATAAACCAAAGACAATGATAGGAAGGAGGTTAATCCTAATCTCCCTAATGAAAATTCAGTTTAAATTTTGGCGTTTCTCTTTCCTTTATTTTTTTCTTCTTTTTCCATACAATACCAAAACGTATGTTTTTCAAGTTATTTTTGTTTGTTGTTTGAAGGTTTTTTGTGTGTTTTTATTTTTCATAGTTTCTTAGATTAATAACATGTGGAGAGGATTAAGCGGGCGGCTCTGGCTCTCTTCTTTCTCATCGACTCAGTTCTTTTTCCAGCGCCTACGCCTACTTCTACGGTCTACAACTACTACTACGGCGCAGCGCTGCTCGGCCCTCTCGCTCGTTTCCATGAAGGCGTGCGCCAACCTTTCTTTTCTTCTCTTCTCTCTATCTTTCTTTGTCTGTGTACGTCTGTTCATCATTTACATTGATATAGAAGACGACTATATCTTGAATGTTTTTGGGCTGTTTTTTTTTTCGAAATTATATTATTGGATAGCATTGGATTGGTAGTAGTAGTGGTACACAAACACACGCACACACTAAATCAAAAATTCGTTTTTCTTTATTTTTTTTTTTCAAACTTTATGTTTCGTGTTCTCTTTTGTTTTTTTTTTTTTTAATTACTCGCCCCAGGGCAAAACAAAATTTAATTATAAAAAAAAAAAAACTATGCACTTATTTTCATAGAGCGACTAACTGGAAAACGGGGTTGGGGTGCTGCTGTTGAGGGTGTTGTTGTGTCCATCTGGAGGTCTCCTAACTTTGGGCAGCAGCAGCTGATGTTGTTGTTGTTGTTGTGGATGCATCACTGGTGGAGTGGCTGCTGCTGCTGTTTCTGTGTTCTGGATTCCTGGTTATGTTGCTGTTGTGTTGCTGCTGTGTTGTGATATCTCCAAACGTTTGTCAGATAAACAAAATTAGCTGCCAAAACAGTTCTGGATGTATCACTGGGTGGAGAGCAAGCAGCCGCTTGCGATTTTGTTTGTTTCGGCTGCAGTTGCTCTGGTCGTGCGGGGATTTATCTTCGTTTTTCTGGTACTGGAGCCGTCTTTTGTATGTTGTGTGTGTGTGATTGTTGTGGTGGGTATGTGTATATGTTGTGTGTGCATAGGCCTGCCGTCTCTCAGTTAACTATTTTAAATACGCTTCTCGCTTAAAGATCCTCATCCTCATCCGGCAAGGCGGTCGCCTGGGCCTCTTGCAAATCACGTTCGATTTGCAGCTGCCAGTCCTTGTCCATTTTTACCTCTGGCGGCAGGAGTGCCGGCATGGCAACGAACTCTAGGTTGGGATCGCCAACCAACTTGCGGGCCAGCCAGAGGAATGGTTTCTCGAAGTTATAGTTGGACTTGGCCGAAATGTCGTAATACTGCGTGGAATGAAAGAAGAACGGATAAAACCATGAATTAATAACATCGCAGTGGGCCGGTGGTACCGCCGTTTTACACTTACCTGAAGATTCTTTTTACGATGAAAGACAATGCTTTTGGCCTTAACTTTCCGGTCCTTGATGTCGACTTTGTTGCCGCAGAGAACTATGGGAATGTTCTCGCACACACGCACCAAATCCCTGTGCCAGTTGGGCACATTTTTGTATGTAACTCGGGAAGTTACATCGAACATAACTACCGCGCATTGTCCTTGAATATAGTAGCCATCACGCAGACCGCCGAACTTCTCCTGTCCTGCTGTATCCCATACGTTGAAACGGATAGCTCCACGATTGGTATGGAAGATTAAAGGATGCACCTCCACACCGAGTGTGGCCACATACTTCTTTTCAAATTCGCCAGTCATATGGCGTTTGACGAACGTAGTCTTGCCAGTGCCGCCATCGCCAACCAGCACACACTTGAAAGTGGGAATATCCTGACCTTCCTGAGCCATATCGAATGTTATACTCTCAACGATTTCAATTGGTTTCGGGAAGACTCAAATGTTTCTCGCAAGTGGAGCGTCGATAGCTGTAAGCAGTGGTAGTAGGTTACACTTTTTTCAAAATCTTTTCGTTTCTTTAATTATTATTTGGGGGTTTTTTTTTGTTGCTTTGCTTCTTTGTTTTTTTTGGAAGCGAACTGGAGATGTGTTTGTAGTTGGCCGAGCGCGGTGCGACTGATTGCGAGAGTCCTGACGTGGGCTCGAACAAAATATGACGCAGTAGCAGCGGATGCGACCAAAGCCCGCCAAGGACAGCAAACAGCTGTTGCTAAGCCAGCAGACGGGTGTGTGTGTGAAAGGGAGCCCGATAGATTGCAACAGCAGGGCACAACATTCATTAGAGCAGATGGAGAGACAGAAAGAGAACGAGATACTGCAGGCAGCTGCTGCTGTCCCTGAGAGAGGGCAGGTATACACCACCAAATAATTGTTGTAAGCGAAAAATTCCATTACGCACAAGAACCAAAATACACACACACAAAACGCATGCCCAAATACGGAAGGAAATATTTGGCAAATTGAAATCGTACTCACACACTCACGCAAAAACGTATCAATATACAGGATATTTTTATTTCGCAAATAAACGCAAGTCTGGCCACACACACACTCGTGCTGCCTATTCAAAACAGAAAGTCATGGTTGAAAATGCTTGAGCTCAAAGCCCATCAACAAAATTAGAAAACAACAATTTTTACGCTTAATAGGCAAAAAGTAACTCTCTTCAGTTCCATTACTGTAGCAACGCTGCCCCTTCCCCCCACTCAAACAAATACATGCAGCAACCACAGCCATAGACGCAAATAAAGCGCGCCAAAATGCAGGCCGGCATGAAATATATGTATTGAAATAATGCCACTGTGGTAGCCACAAGCGTTTCAACCATAATTACAAACCACCGAAGAGCATTTAATGCTCATAATAATAAAAAAATTTTACGAAATAACAAATGTTGACGCACACACCCGAACAGACCCACACACACACACACACACTATGAACGGGCCGGCCAGACGCCGCCGCTGTCGACGCTCTTGCTGCCGACACATGCGCCAGCTTCGGTCTCAAATATGACGCAAATTTCTACTTTATTTTTTTTTTTGCAATTCATGTTTAACCTCACAAAATATTGGGTGCGATAAATAGCAGTTGCCAATCCGGCGGATGGAAAAAATTGCTCTTTATGCTAGCCCATCCACATGGAAATTTTTGCCGGGCAGTGGTGAAGCTTTTTGCTGACCTGGTCCGACCCAGACGCACATGCAGACACACATTCTGATGCCAACACGCGGCTCTAGAAGCGGCACCACGTCGCCCCTGACGCCAGACCAGCGGAGCACCCTAAATGAGCAAACGGATTGGATAAGGGACGGAGCACGAGATCGAGGAAACAGAAAAAAAAAAACTAAGCTAGGCAACTGAAAGCCGGTGCTGCCATTAGCAAGAATATTTGTACGAAATAAATGCAATGCCCAATCGCACCGAAATGCCGAAAGAAACCGACGCGCCGCCATCACAAGTTTTGCAGTGGGCAATGTCCGTACGCCGCACCTCAGTTCTTTTTCACAAACTTCTTGCGCAAAGAAAAACATGAGCGAGTTTTAATTTTATACTTACATGTTAATTTCGGATTGATCAATCACACTAGCAAAATTTCACGACGACCACTCCGAACACTTTTCACGAACACTTTTTTCTTTCTTCCCCCTTGTCGCTTGTCGGCACAACTAGAGGTGTCAAACCATCGAGGGCACTATCGATAGTATCGATATTTTACTGATGGCCTCTACTATCGACGGTTTTGAGACTATCATGATAGTATCGAGCTACAGTCGTTGCGCTTTTGATATGTTTGGATTGGCTGCTATAATATACGAAGACAAATTTGTAAAAAAATCGACAGGTGGCATCTAATTTTTACAATGGACAAGTTCCTAAAAGGTTTCAATGGTTTTTAATAATTATTTGAGCCCGATACTATCACGATAGTATCGATTGTTTTTTCAAAACATTCAAAGCTATCGATGGCTCAACTATCAATCGTTTGACAGCTTTACTTGTCGCTTGACGGCACAACAGTGTGGATTTCAGTGTGACGGCGGATCTATCGCTAAAATATACCGCCTGACCCTCAGAAATTAACCGAAAAACCTTCATATAGCCAAAATATACCGTAAATATACCGACTTCCCCCTCTCTAAACCAACACTTTTCCTCGTGTAGTGAGCGCCCTCTGGCGGAGAATAGCGTTACCTTATTAAATATACAGTAATATACCGGAATATTATTAAAGCGTAATATACCGAAAAAATAATACGTTATGGTTGCATTAGTTTTACAAAAATGTAGAAACAAATAATAAACAAATATAAATAGCTTGACCCTTTTGTCCCGTACAGAGCCAAAAGTTCCGATGCTAGCGCTCCATACAATTAATATTAATATTAGTTCATAATGTATTAAAATGAATCTTAATAAATAAATAATTTAAATAGCTCAATACCAATCGGTATATTTACGGTATATTTTGAAAATAAGAAGGTATATTTCGGTATATGTGAGAGGGTCAAGCGGTATATTTTATCGGTAAGTCCGCGGTCACACTGATATATTCCATATCCAGTATATTTTTCTTTTTTGCTGAAAAAAAAATTGCACTGCCGAAGGGAGACGAGACGGAAACATGACTGATAAGGGCAAACTGTCTGTGGCTGTGGTCTGTTCCTCCAACATGAATCGTTCCATGGAGGCGCACAATTTTCTGGCCAAGAAGGGTTTCAACGTGCGCTCCTATGGCACCGGCGAACGCGTCAAGCTCCCCGGCATGGCCTTTGACAAGCCGAATGTTTACGAGTTCGGTACCAGCTATGAGGACATACACCGCGACTTGGAGTCTAAGGACAAGGAGTTGTAAGTGGAGTGAATAATTTTGCTGCATCTACTACATATCATTTGTTTTTCGCCCCCCTGCAGCTACACACAAAACGGTCTGCTGCACATGCTAGATCGCAATCGCCGACTCAAAAAGGCCCCGGAACGATTTCAGGAAACCAAAGAAAAGTTTGATATTATTGTTACTGTAGAGGAGCGTGTCTACGACTTGGTGGTGCTGCACATGGAATCCATGGATTCAGTCTACAATCGCCCCGTTCACGTGCTGAACGTCGACGTAGTGGACAATGCCGAGGATGCATTGATGGGGGCATTTCTGATAACAGATATGATTAATTTAGTATGAATATGATAATCAATATGAATCTGAAACAATCATTGATTGATCTGACTTCATTTTCAGCTGGCCAAATCAAACGATCTCGATAATGATATTGATGAAATGATACAGGAATTTGAAGAACGTCGCAACCGAGTGATCCTGCACTCGGTTCTCTTTTACTGACGACCGACATTCATCAACGGTACTTGTATTTTTCCTATCCATCACCTGCGCTTTAGCTACATATACTACAGTCCATTCGTGAGAAAGGGAGTGAGGAGGAAACAGCAGCATACCAACTTTAATAATGGGAGCCATAAGAATTGTACATACATAGATTGAGAGCGAAAGCGAGATTTAGATTTATTTAAACAACAAATTGACAGATACTATACACACAAACACGGACAACAGACAGCCCCATGCATAATTTGACACCGTTGTTGGTTTTTTTTTAAACCGCACTCGCAGCAAGCATTCTCCATAGATACATATGTGTGTATTACAACAATCAAACAATACGCCGTAGGGTTATCGGCTTGAATACTTTTCCTTTATGTCATATGTTTGTATGTGTGAGCGTCCAACTTATTTTTTTAATGCCAATAAGGAGTACAGTACTATCGATGGTACTTCAACAATTTTAGCCTAGTTTTATATTTTATTTATCATTTGATACCGAATTTCCCCAACTGGCAGCTCTGGCTGGGTAACGATCTGGCTCCCCCTTTTCCACACAAAAAACGCATGGGACGACGACTAATACACATACAATATACAAACTCTCACCCATACACATCCATTCTTACGATTCTCGTACAGTGGATGCGTGTGTATGAGTATGCACAACGGAGAACCGGCAACTGGCCGAGGAGACCAGTAGCGCATTCAGCCCTAAAGGGTGGGCGGACCATAGCTTTTTTATTTAAAGAAATCTAAAATTAAAAATAAAAGTTAGACACCTAATCGAATCAGTGTGGCAGTAGACCATTGTAGACTGGCTGTTAGTTTCAAACAATCGCCGAAGCCCCACAGTGGGGAGGGGCGGAAACAATCAAGTTAAAATAATAAAATTATTAAAAAAGCTGTACACGTAATAAATTATTATAAAAACCAACGTCGTTCTGTTTTCTATTCAATACTAACCAGATGGGTGAAGAGGAGTAGCTTCGTTGGTGGAAGCTTTTGCAAATGGAACGTTCCTAACTATATGATATAGTCCACTGATTTTTATTTGTAAACGATTGTTTTCATAGCAGTCAGTTTTTGACAAAAAAAGAAATGATATAAAAATATGCTAGTTTTAGTAAAGGAGCGCTAAGATAACATCATTTTTTTCGCCCCCTCGCCGCTTGCGTTGGATCCGCCCCTGTTGCCGATCCGATCACTGGTTTGCCAGTTTACAAAGCGGCCCTGGTTGTTGTTGTTGCGCTGCCATGGCATTGCCGCCGACGCTTCATGCACGTTTTGTGCGCTCGACCTGGCGCAGTCAGGGTACGATCGCGCGCTTGGCTCCATTACTTTCTGAGGGCTCCGCGCACCAATATCAAGTTAATCCAAACACCAAACATTACGCATCGTTTTCACAACAAATAAACCAACCGAAATATAAAGCTCTGGTGTAATTCCGTAATTGCTTGGCTTTGTTTTATGAAATATCCGCCAACTGTTGGTTGTTTGAACAGTAACCAATCCCGAAATCTTAAGCTTGTTTATAGTCAAATAAACAACGCAAAAAAAAGTTGATCAAAGGCGATTGTTTTTTATGCTAGTTTTTGTTTTGTTTGTTTTTTGTTATTAACTGTTAACGGCACACCGACGAAAAGATGGCAACGCTAAAAGAGGGTAAGTCCAGGCAGAGTGCGTGTTGCGTGATGTGTGGATGTGATGTGGACGCATGCGTGCGCGTACATATACTTGATGTGATCACTGTCGCACATCAGGTGAATGGATGGCACGGTTGCCTGAAGTCGTGCGCGCGCGCCCTTCAAATGTGTGTTCTTTTGCCTCTAGGGTCACCTACAAAATATAACGGACGGTTGTCTTATCACAAGAAAACGAAACGGTGCTGCTCTGGCTTCCCGGTGGCTCTTGCGCTCTTTAATTATCTACCAATGACGTCGAGCTGTAGCTGCTGCTGCTGCTGGGGGCACTCACTCACTCTCAAGATTAGAAAAGCCCCCCTCTCCCCATGACAATCACCTTTCGAATTAAAAGTTTAAAGAACCGCAGAGGTCGGTCTACCTCGGCTGCATTCTCTTTTGCTCTATCTATGTACATAGTATGTGTTGCGTGTATATTCTCTCGTGCTTGGCTCCACTCTCTTTTTGGTTCAACTCCACTCTCTTCTGTGCTCTCTTCTGTGGTAATGACATTGAAAAATGTACACGCAAATTATTAGCACACACACATGCATACTCGGTTGCGTGCAATCTGTTTGTGTGTGCGTGTTCGGGGGGGTCTTACAAAAAGCCTTTCGAAAAACATGTTTTAATTTATTCAAAAATTATCTCATGTCTATTTTACCTTGTTCTCCTTCTCCCTCTCCCTCTCCCTCTCCCTCTCCTTCTCTTTCTCCTCTCTCCCCACCCATCGTCTGTGTCAATGTCAAATTCGCGACTTTGCTTTCGGATACGTTTCCAATGGAGATTAATAGTTTGATTCACGATTATCGGTCAACCGAAGGAGCTATACAATCCATTAGGTACATACATAAATATGTATACTGAGTCATATGCCCCCTGATCCAATCAGATAGTGTTTGGCAATGTCATAGGTACGTTACATTATGTTTTTTTTTTCTACGTATTGGTAGAAATCCTGTGGCTTGCGTAGAATATAACTGATCAGAGAAAGACAGGAGATCGCAGCCTCAGATCTATTGCGGCCACTTTTGATATCTGGCTGAAAGTATACATTTCGGACTTGTTCGGACTTACACTTGGCTGCCACCCCACACAGATTCAGCTAACTGTTGTGGCTCGTTCCGGTTCTGGAGCCCCCAAGCAAGTGATGCCAACTGAATGCGTCTCAGCCAAGATGAGTCGATCAGAGGGGGCTTACATACATATACATATGTACTCTCGTATTCTCGATTGGGCGGAACAGTTCGTGTCACGCTGATGTTTACATAGGCACATTGGCATCTACATACTATGTACAATATATATATGTACCTGGATATGTACATACATATGTATCCAGACATTACATGGCAGTGTCGCTATATGCACTCTGCTGTCGCTCTTGACGGCGCTGCCATTGCCATTGGCGACGTCTCTGTGTACCTTTTCAAAGTCAAGTAATGCAATAGTAAGTGGCACTCGGTTATTTGTTGGTTTGCAACCGTATCGGAAGATACTGATACTCGTACGAGACGCAATCGCACCGATCTCCGGCATCTCCGGTTGATGATCGGGTGAGGTGACCTCTAAAAGCGCCCGAGTCCCGTTCCGGGCACCTTTCAGTTCTCTCTCTAGCTGTCTCACACGGATAACCTGTGGAGTCATTCTCGATTAGACAAGGGCCGGGGAGTCTAATCGAGTGCTTATCAATCAATTTTCCACTGTGGCGGACACAGACACCAGTCCATGACTGCCACTTACCTTCCATAAATAAGGTCATAGCACTGGCACGGCCAGAAGTATTCACTCCATTCCGTGCACTCGGTGAGTCCTCAACGCGTTCCCCAGCTCTCTCTCTCTCTCTCTCTTTGGCCTGCAATACACGGAAAATTCAGTTAGATCTGACTAAACCCTATAAAAGACCAGCGATAGGAACGGAAAAAGGACTCTATTTTTTGTTCAAGTATGTTCAAATATTCGTTTACTGGTGCTATTCGATAACTCACTATATACGATCCCCCCGATATGATTTTAGATATTTCTGTGGCTTATGAGAATTTGTACCAAAAGGTCTCTAAAGACCAATCAATTTAGAGCTAATATTAAAACATATTTCCATATAATTCTGTACCGATATTATGTTTTGAAATTTAACTAATTGAACCAATTGACATATCTTTCATTAACTTTATTGTGAAAGTTGGTATATTTAATTTAATTCGTGATAAAAGTTCTTCCTCTTCAACATATTCAACAATACTATTTTCAAGAATATTGAAATTGGCGCGTTCTGGGTTAAATTTAACTTTTATCCACTCCAGAAATTTTGGTCCCGTTCGAAAGTGATTCCCAAGTAATTAATAAAAAATTCATCTGAATTCCAAATATTTTTTGAATTTTTTCAATTCATCAGTGATGCATCCTCTATATTTTGTAGGAATTTATTTGTTACAAATTTTAAATCACTAGCGAATGGTCTCTGTTTGTGTCATTCAAAACAATTGTGTCCTGTCGATTATGGAAAATCAGTTCGAATCAGTCGACGAATATGATGTGAATTCTTTGATATTTGATGTGATATAATCGAAACATTCCGATTGTGAATATAAATATTATAAAGAATGAATGCCCGATGGGATTATTGTACGAGTATTTTGTTTCATTCTATATTTTACTAGGCTGTTCCATACAAAAAACTGAAACTGAAAATGGCTTAGGGTGCTCGAATACCTTTCGTAATTACTGGCTGTATCTAGACTCATGGAATAACTGATTCGATTCGGTTCAAAAACTTAACGACCACCATTCGGCATGCACATGACCCTCTCTATTCGACACGCCTTGGCGTTCAAGGTTCGGGGTAGTTGAGCTTTGACTTCGATCCCCACCATACTTGGGCTTTAATCTGTCTTTCAGTCCTTCAACTTACATACATATATACTAAACATTGTTAAATAATTTAATAATGACCGCAGATCATACCGCTTTGGATCTCATCATCAAGTCGCTCAAGTCGCCCAGCATGGTGTGCGAGGGCACCCACTTTGATGGCAAGATTCCGCACACTTTTGTGATCTTTGGCGCTTCGGTAAGAATTGAATTGAAATTTTTGAATGATTGATAATGAGAGTGAGAATCAATTGTTGCGCTTTTGCAGGGCGATCTGGCCAAGAAGAAGATCTACCCGACCTTGTGGTGGCTGTACCGAGATGATCTGCTACCCAAGCCCACCAAATTTTGTGGATATGCCCGCTCCAAGCTGTCGATAGAAAAGCTCAAGGAGAGCTGCAAGCAGTACATGAAGGTGGGTTTCACACATACCATGTCAGATTGGAACACAGAACTTTTGAGAACCTTCCCCCCTTATTTGAGAATAGGTGCAGCCAAATGAGCAGACCAAATACGAGGAGTTCTGGGCCCTCAACGAGTATGTGGCTGGCAGCTATGACGGACGCACAGGATTTGAGCTACTCAACCAGCAGCTGGAGCTGATGGAGAACAAGAACAAGGCGAATCGCATCTTCTATTTGGCCCTGCCACCCAGCGTCTTTGAGGAGGTGACCGTCAACATTAAGCAGATTTGCATGTCTGTCTGGTAGGTGGATCGAATCGAGTAGCATACAGATAATAATTGATTATAAAATGTCTTTTAAATAGCGGTTGGAATCGTGTGATTGTGGAGAAGCCATTCGGCCGGGACGATGTCTCATCGAAGGCGCTGAGCGACCATCTGGCAGGGCTCTTCGACGAGGAGCAGCTCTACCGCATCGATCACTATCTGGGCAAGGAGATGGTGCAGAACTTGATGACCATTCGCTTCGGCAACAAGATACTCAGCTCCACGTGGAATCGCGAGAACATTGCCTCGGTGCTGATCACGTTCAAGGAACCATTCGGCACACAGGGCCGTGGCGGCTATTTCGATGAGTTTGGCATCATACGTGACGTGATGCAGAATCATCTGCTGCAGATACTCTCACTGGTGGCGATGGAGAAGCCGGTCAGCTGCCATCCGGACGATATACGTGACGAAAAGGTGAAGGTGCTCAAGAGCATACAGGCCTTGCAGCTGGACGACATGGTGCTGGGACAGTATGTTGGCAATCCGCAGGGAAAAACCGAGGACGAGCGCACTGGCTATCTGGACGATCCCACAGTGAACAAGAATTCGAGTACCCCCACTTATGCTCTGGGCGTGCTGAAGATCAACAACGAGCGCTGGCAGGGCGTTCCCTTTATACTGCGCTGCGGCAAAGCGCTGAACGAGCGCAAGGCGGAGGTGCGCATACAGTACCAGGATGTGCCCGGCGACATTTTTGAGGGCAACACAAAGCGCAACGAGCTGGTGATACGCGTCCAACCGGGCGAGGCACTCTACTTCAAGATGATGACCAAGAGTCCTGGCATCACGTTCGACATCGAGGAGACGGAGCTGGATCTGACGTACGAGCATCGCTACAAGGACTCTTATCTGCCGGACGCCTACGAGCGTCTCATTCTCGACGTCTTCTGTGGCTCCCAGATGCACTTTGTCCGCTCCGATGAGCTGCGCGAGGCGTGGCGCATCTTTACGCCAATACTCCATCGCATCGAGAAGGATCACATTAGGCCAATCGCGTACCAGTACGGATCGCGGGGCCCCAAGCTGGCGGATCGTAAATGCGAGGACAATAACTTCCAGTACTCGGGATCGTACAAATGGCACGGCAGCAAGGCCACTCCATAACAGACCACATCCAAACACTGAAACACTTCACATTTGTTGATAAGCGGTTGGATAATTCTTCTGGGTGGTTCTTTCACATTGTGATCGTCGTTTACATATATGTAGGTACATATGTACATATGTATGTATGTAAAATCCTTATCATAACATCATTTGAAGCAACTCTCTCTCTCTCACTCCTTTTTGCACTCTCTCTTATTTACTTACATAGTCTCTTATGTATGTACATATCTTTAGTTATTTTTAATTTTCTTATGGTCTGTAGGAGAACATGTTTTTTTTCTTTGCTTTATAAATAATATACAAGATAACATTAAAAAAAAAAACGAAGGCAGGGCCTAATGTAATGTAGGTCAATGTAATGAGTCAATTGAGCCCCCTCTACTCCTCTGCTGCAGATGATTCAGTCCCGTCTGTAGCAAGCAGTAGAGATTCAGATTCGGCTGATGGGTGCCCAGGATTATCTGAAAGACGGTGCCGTCACGTAGCCATTACCGTTGTTGTTCATTATTAAATTCAATTTTCTCGTATTCGGTTCCACTGCCGCCATGCTGAAGTACCCGTCATTAGAAGTCATCATTCCGTCTGAATCAGTCTCATTCTTAATCTGAATTGGTCGCGCCGTCGGTGGAGTGGCGTCATATGTGGCAATTTCTATCGCACCCGTTGTGGATTCGGCTGGGTACATTCGTGCTGTCTCATCTTTTAGCACCATATCGGGCATTGTGCCTGCAAGGGCAATCCATGGCTTAACAGTGACTGGCAACGGAGTACTCGGCTCGGGAATCGGTTTGGTTGGCTCTGTGGGATGTTCTATTACAGCAAGTTCAATTACAGAACCAGTCTTTTTTGGGCTTTTTGGGCTATCGGGATTGGGGTCTTGGGATGGATCTTTGGTGTCATCTGTGTCATCATCCTCGGGCACACCCGTTCTACCGAGCTCTCCCACATCGTCGTAGACGCCATTTGGGAATTCAATTTCGATGCCCGAACATCTATGGAGTCTACGGTATGAGATGAAGATTAGGCAGAGCACGATCAGGGCGACAATGCCCTCCAGATACCGACTCTTGCCAAGATCAGCCTCTGTGGGCAGGCCCACCCTTAACCATTGCATGCCGCCGCTGTCCACCTTGTCCTGGTATGTGGCCGCTATGCCCAAATTGATCATCTCCATCGATCTGTCGAAGCGGTGCTCTTGCCGGGAAGCATCGTTCAGCGTCAGCAGATCCACGGCCTGCGAATCGTCGCAAATCTTCTGGGTATCGTTGACGGGGGAGCACCAGTAGACGGTGTAATGCAGAAGGCCAGAACTCATCTCTGGCGCCGTCCAGCTGAGGGTGTGTGTCGCCTTGTCGTATTTCAAGGCCTGCGGCTGTCGCTCCTTGGCGTTTTCTAGGACTGGTACATACAGATCGCTGCAGTTCAGCGACCTTCCCTCGGAGTTTTCACTGCATACGGTTATGGTGGAGTCCCTGGCGTCGTCCCAGTGTGGAAAGATGGCAAAGTTGCGACCGACGCGACTCGCCTGCTTTCTGGAAAAGCAATTCGAATGGATTATGAGCGATGTATGGCAGAGATGCAAAAACGAAAGCTTACCCGTCGCTGGTCGTTAGACTGTAGGTCAGATTGGGAGCGTTGTGTTCCAGCGCCCTCAGCTGCTCCCAGAAGATGTACAGTCCCTTGGATCTGGGATCGAGGTAGAATCCATTCGGTAGAAGTCGTGGCGGCCGGCTGGGTATCGATTTGGGCACCCAGAACTGGCGCGTTATCATTTCACTCCAAGGCGCCTCTGGCAGGCTAAAGCGCCGTCGCAGGCTCAGCTCAAACTGCTGGTTTGGATAGGGCGGCATATTCACGCAAAAAGTTTCACGCGTTCTGCTTTTGTCGTCGCAGCGAGTTTCGTTGGGGTTTATCACGGTCTCGGCGATCGCATCGTTCAGGGGAATCACACGCACCTGCCACTCAATCGATTCTTCTTGTTCGTAGTGCTCAAGCCACTTGGAATTCTGCCAGATCAAGCAGCTGTAATTGCCCGACGGGGTCAGGGGCTGATCTTTGTTGGGCCAATCCAGGACACGGACTTGTTCTTTCGTCCGAATGAAATGCTGCGTCTGGTTGCCCACTGAATCGGTCATGCTCAGCGTGTAGCTGTGGCTCGGCTCAAATATTGCCTTTGGCATAGCGCCCGGGTCAATGCGGCACAGTATCCTGGAGGCGTTGTGCGGATAGTCCGTGCACTGGACTGGAGGCAGTTTTTCCTCCTTTAGATAAAACGAGACATTATCCCCATGAAGTTTGACGCCATTCGGCTTGCTGAAGCTGCAGTTTGTCATCATTGTGGCATCATAGAGGTTGATGCGGCACTCAAAGTCCTCAACCTGCAGTCGTGCCCCCACTCGAACATATAGCCCCATGAGGGTCCTACCATCCTGCATGCACTCGTACTGCCATTCGCCAACCGTTGCACTATCCACGCTATCCACGACCGTTGTGTCCGTCGCCGTTCTGTGGCTGGTTTGGCTGCCTCTTGGGGCCGACTGGATTTGGATATGCTCAGGGCTCACAGCCGCCGCATCCCAGCGGCAGGTGACGTTGTAGGAGTCGCCCGAGCGTATTTCTTCCCGCGACACTGTTAGCGTGGACGGCCCCTGAGTCCTCTGGCAGCTGACGCTGAAGCACGCTGATGCCAGCACCAGCAACGACAAATATGCCCGCCAACTCCAACTCATTTTATTTTGCTTTTGCCCTTCTCTTCTCTTTGTAGCCTTTTTTTGTATTCGTTTTTTGCGATAAGGCGCACGCGGATGCGGCGGATGCAGCTGACCGGCTCCAGTGGAATCAACGAATTGAATGCTGTTATCAGCACGAATTTGATAGCCCTGCCGCCTCCTCATCCAAACTGTGAAACAAAAGAAAAGAATTATTCAGAATTCGGGGTCAGAGAGGTGATTCCAGTGAAATATGAACATGAATATTCCCGATTTTAAACCGCAATGCTGATCCATTGAACCGTGAAACTCATCCATCATCCGATCCGTCTATTTAGTGTTCAGATTAGCGTTCAGAAAAAACCGTTTTCTTTTCTCTTCTTTTCCTTATGTTTCGATATGCCGATAAATTACAACCATTTTATTTGATCAAATTAAAGTTGATTTAGTTGATTTTCACTTACCATTTGTATAGGATAGGATAACTAGTAAATTATTTGCCAATAATTATTGGCTCAAAAAAGAGATTTACGTGAAACTAAATGGAAAATTAGTGTTCGTAGCCACACCCCCGCCCCTAGACATGTCAACCGGCTTTCAGTCAAAAAACGGAGGCACTATTTGAAACAAAATGATGTTTTCCAACACACACCTGCTCCCAGCTCAACTGGGCGCATATATATACAAATATCTCTCTCTCTCTCTGACAGCTGCTAGTTAATCAGATAGAAAAATCGAATGTCATATGGCAATAACAAACGTCGGTATCGATCATCGAACTATAGTTGTCTCTTTCTCACCGTAACGTAACTTAACGGAATGAAGACGCAGGGTTGCAGTATGTTGCGGGTTTAAAATTATAGTTTTCTTGTTATGTATATTTAGTTTAAAATATATATCATATATTCTTGATCTGCTTGACGCGGGCTAAGAGCTAAGTAGGTAAGTGTACAAATATAATATAAAAAAATACTACAGCATTAAAAGTACTTGTTGTGCCTCACACGTTCGCTCGCATCGCAAAGAAAAAAGAAAAAAATAAATAAATTATAAAGAAACGTTGTCGTTCTTTTTGCTCCTATTTTGGATGAGTGGCATTATTACTATACAAAGCTGCCCGACAATAGTCTGTGGTGAATCGATATCGATGTGCTTATGCGCGGGTATGGTCAGAATGAATGCTATATGGATCGATGGATGGATGGATGAATGAATGAATAGATGGATGGATGGATGGATGGATGGATGCGTAGGTGCCGATGTCGTGAGTGTGGACTAAAGTTGTTATTGCTTGCACTTCCATGCAACGATTAACTCTATTCTCTATTCTCTCTCTCTCTCTCTCTCTCTCACACTCTCTCTCTATCCAACTTCATCTTCCTAGAGAACGTGTCTGTTGTGGGCCAGGGCATTCAGATCCTGGGGCGTCACATAGCCATTGATCTGTGGCTGCACTCGCGGGCCCGTCGTAGCCCCAGCGCCAGCAGCTCCTCCGCTCGGATGCGTGGATGTGTGCATGCCAATTGACTGTGGTAACGCCTGTGGCTTCATCAGGCCGGTGCGCTGCAACTGCTCCATGGTCGTATAGCCGGTGTCAACGTTCGGCTTGGGCGCTGCTGATGGACTTATGGCTGGCATGAACGCCTGTGGCTTCATCATTCCGGTGCGCTGCAGTTGCTCCAAGGTCGTGTAGCTGGTGTCAACGTTCAGCTTAGGCGCTGCTGATGGACTCATAGCTGGCAGATAAGGCGGCGGAGCAGCTGCGGCTGCCGCTGCAGCAGCGGGAACAACGTTCAGGGGCTGCAGCTTGTGCAGGTCGGATCGGTCGGATCCTTGCATCAAGTTTTCCGCGTTAAGCAAATGCTCTGGCGCAAAGAAGGAGGACGCATCAGGCGATGGCACACCACGTGGGCCACCGTTTGGGTCCATCTGTGGCCGGGACTTCAGAATGTTCACCGGCACATACCCAGTCAGGGGCATCCGGGCCATGGACAGTGGCATCGACATTGGCTGCGTGGCTGCTGCTGCTGCTGCGGCTGCTGCTGGGGTAGGAACATTGGCACCTGGCAAGGTATTGGCATTGGACGAGGGCCAACTCTTCATTTGGGTGGGCTTGATGTAACCACTCGATTGGTTGTGGTTCGCCTGCAGCTCCTGCATGCTGCTCCGCTGCTGGTCCCTGTCCCTGTCCCTCTCACTCTCGCTCTCCCTATCGTTCTGCACGAGTAGTCCGTGGCGCATGGACACATAACTTGTGGGTGCGGCGGGGCTGCTGTTCATGGCGCTAATGGCGTTCATGGGATTCATGCCAACTATCTCCTGCTGGTCGTCGTAGCGATCGTCCCGATCCGTGCATCCCCCACTGCTGGAAGTGTTGCGCAGCAGCAGTTTGGAGCTCTCGCTGCCGCAGCTACTGAAGTCGTGCGGCATGTCCTGGGGCGTGTACTGCGGTGAGTCGTCCACCCGAGTGCAGATGATGCCTCCGCTGGAGGCCATGTCGGGGCCCATGCCCAGTCCCAGGCCCCCCATATCCATCGGTTTTTTCAGCGTCTCCATAATGCCCTGCGGCAGCACCAGATCAATGTCCGACATCTTTCGGTACTTCTTGTACACCGTGTAGAAGATGACGCCCAGCACCAGGAAGGCCACCGTCACCTCGATCGTCTGGTACATGGCCTTCACGCTGTGGATGTCCGGCGTGCAAATGAATCCGTACGTTCCCCAATCGGATCTGTGCAGGCGGTAACCGGTGGCGTTGCTGCTGAATGTCTCAAAGGCGATACGCTCCTCCTCCCCGAGCCGTTCCAGGTGCATCTCGCAGCTCTTAGGCGACGCCGAAGCCAACGCCACCGCAGATCGTTCTCCACGGCCTTGCAGGGCACCTGTGTGGACCAGCCGCTCTACGTTGATTGCACGCACCGCCAGCTGCAGGGGATTATGGCTGGTGCATTGCGGTGTGGACATCACGAGCGAGCGATTTTGCCCGGAGAGTATGTAGCTGAACAGGCAGCTGGCATTGTTGTCGCGCAGCGAGATCTCGTAGTAGTCGACAAGTCCGGCCGGATGACTCGGCGGCTTCCAGTCAAGTCTGTAGCTCTGGTCCTTGTTGTTTGTCACCTGCAGCGTGGGCGGTGAGGGAACTGCAATGGAACAATGCAACACATTCGGTTAAAGCAACTGCAGAGTCACACCAGAATCACCCTCCCTCCAATCTAGCTACTCACCTCCAATGGCCGTCCGGAAGCGGATGACATTGCTGGGCTCCGATGGGTACAATGTTCTCGCCTGGATGCTTACCACGTAGTCGGTATAGGCGGTAAGGTTGCCCAGCTCATAGGTGATGAGCTTCTCCTTGTCCACCAGCTCGTCGGCAGAGGCCGGCAGCTTGAAGTAGTCCGTCGTGTTGTCGTGGTGGAAGATGCCCTCGTAGGCACGCACCACGCCGTTGGCCTTTAGGGGCGGCTTCCAGGCCAGTTGGGCACTCGAATTGCTGACGTTGTGGAGCTGGAGTTCACGTGGTTGGCTGGAGGCCGCCTCGCCGGTACGCTTGATCAGCTCGTCGCTATATTTGCTGGCCCGCGTTTCGGACTTCATCAGCATCTTGACGCTGTAGTCAGTGTAGGGGACCAGGTCACGGATCACATACTGCTTGGCATCGCGATCCTCGATCGCCTCTGTAGTGCAGTTGTCTGGCTTGCCGGCCGATCTCTGGCAGTAGGTGAGATTGTAGCCAGTAAGGATCACCGGGCAGACGCGCTCTGTGCTCCATTTGACAGTCAGCGTTGAGTTGCTTGACGCATCGATTGTCGGCTCCATCTTGGCCAGGTCGTCCTTCTTGTCGCTGCTGCAGATCAGCCACCGCATGCCAGTGTTGTGACGCCGATAGTTGGCCGACACCGCCATGTGGAGGGACGGCGGCTGGTCCGGAGTCGTCGTGAACTGCCGCTGCCTACTGTCCACCTTCTCGAAGTGTATGGAGCCCGCGCACTCGGACTGTAGGGCCGGCTTTGCCACGCACCAGAACACCGTGTAGTTTGTCAGCTCGAACACATCCAATGGCGACTCCCAGCTGACCGTGTAGCTCTTGTTGTTCGGATGATACACGCTCCGTATATTCTTGGGCACACGCTCGTTGATGTCTGCATTGCTGATGGGGCCGATGGACATGCGGGTGGCGTTCACCGAGGCATTTACGCTGTTGCTGCTCCGTATGAGGATGTCATGGTAGGCATTATTGTTCCAGTGCTCAATTAGGGCTGAATTTGATTCCACTTTGATCACTGAGGGATCGCTGTAAATAAAGACGAGTCATTAGCATATAGTCCTTAGGTTTAAATTCCCTTTGTATTCCCACCCTCTGAAACGTAGTTTTTCATCACTGGAAATAGTGATGGCCTCGTGTCGATAACTTTCTACACTATCGAAGTTAGCCCACACTCGCTTCCTCTTTGCCCTTTTTAGGAAAAGGGAAGGGGAAAAAGGGGGGGAAGAAAAGGGGGGGGAAGAAAAAAAAAAAAAAAAAAAAAAAAAAAAAAAAAAGGGAGGGGGGGGGGAGGGGGGGGGGGGGGGGGGGGGGGGGGTGGGTGGGGGGGGGGGTGGGGGGGGGGGGGGAGAGGGGGGGGGGGGAAGGAAAAAGAAAAAAAGGGGGGGGGAAAAAAAAGGGGAAAAAAAAAAGGTAAAAAGGGCCCCCCCCCCCGCCCCCAGAAAAGAAAAAAAAAAGGGGGGGGGGAAAAGAGGGGAAAAAAAAAAAAAAAAAAAAAAAAAAAGGAAGGGAGAAGAGAAGGGGGCGGGGAAAAAGAAAAGGGAGGGAAAAAAAAAAAAAAAAAAAAAAAAAAAAAAAAAAGTTTTTTTCCCCCCCCCCCCGGCGGAAAAAAAAAAAAAAATTCTTCCCCCGGCCCCCCCCCCCCCGCGGGGGGGGGGGGGGGGGCGCCCGGGGGGGGGGAGAAGAAAGAAAAGGAGAAAGAAAAAAAAAAGAAAAAGAAAAAAGGAAAAAAAAGAAAAAAAAAAAAAAAAAAAAAAAATTTAAAAAAAAAAAAAAAAAAAAAAAGGGGGGAGAAGGGCCCCCAAAGGGGACGCCGCCTTCCGTGATCAGAGTTTCTTGATACGAATACATGTTGCAAAACCGTTTCAACCTAAAATGGATTCAATCCCAGTCCTAATCCTTGTCCAAAAAGTCCAAGGACAAGACACTCTCTCAAATATGTTTTTCGTTGAACTCTTTGCCCCCTCGCACACGATAACTTTGTCTGTGACTTGTTTTCAAATGAGATTTCCAGGAACATTGGATTCGTTGGAAAAATCTTCAACTTTGATGCCAGCCAGCCAACCAGCCGCACACGTTCCACGAATCGTCACACGCACAGCGAGGAGGAGGCCAAGCCTCACACTGTCTATTAATTAGCATTCATCAATGGCGCTATGATGATGATAACGCTATTACTACGAACTCGAATCGATATGAAATGTCGTCCCCCCCATACGACGCTGCTTTTCTGTGCCGTCTTGGTCAGTGCATCTGTTTCTCTGCGGTGGCGGCTCCCCGACTTCCAGAAAATCGAATGTAAGCCGAACCGAACCGGAGCGGGATACCGCGAAATAATTGCACTGAAGCAATAACAGCTCTTGAAGAATTTCTGTATAAATATTTATGTACCTACATACAAACATACGATTCCCGTGTGCACATTCATATATACAGGAGTTGTGTGGAATTTTGTTGATTTATTTCCTCCTATTTCTGTTAAAAACAAAAAGCATCTCTCGTCTCCTCCCCCCACTCTCTCGCTCTCTCAAAATACTCTGCCGCCTCTTTGCTCCGCTCGCTCTTCTTTACCATAAATGAACGTGTTTTTTTTCGCGTTTACCGTCACTGTTGTGTGTGTGTGTGTGTGTGTATCACTGTGTATCTCTGTGTGTGTAGCACTTTCAACGAAATTTTAAAAATAAACATTTTCTCTAGAATCGCTATACTTGTACCAAATGTATGTACAATCGTATGTATGGACCTCTGGCCCCTGCCAATAAAATGTACAAATGGATGTGTTTCTTTTTTGTTTTGTTTTATGGCTGACCTGACTATTCAACGAAACAATCAAATCACTTGGAAGAATTGTAAAGGAATCCCCCGAATCGCAAAGGGCAAATCCCCACTCCCTTAGGGCTCAGATCTAATCAGATCTGTGGGACGATTTGATTGATTTATGATTCATATACATATGTATGTATGTACTCACACGAGGCTTCCATTCACACGATATTCACTGATAATGTACTTGAAGCCATCACCATTCAGCTCGTGTGGTGCCAGCGGCTCCCAGTAGAAGCGCATCATTGTCTCGGACGAGTAGACGTAGAAGCTGCCGTCGGTGACGCGGGGTGGACGACGCGGTCGCTCTGGGCCGGTGACAAAATTGTAGACCAACGGCTCGCTCCACATGGTGTTATTCTGGTTGCCGCGCACGCGCAGCCGCAGCGTATAGTCGTAGCCGGCATAGGGAAGTTCGGTGAGGCACAGAGTGTCCTTGATTGAGGAAGAATTGTTGCGCCAGTTGTTACGCTTAAGGGCGGCAAAATTGGCGGGCGTAACGAGCACTTGCCAGGTGAGGCCGTGTAGTAGTATATAGTTGGTGCGCCGTGGCATCTCCCAGGACAGGCAGATGGAGCTCTCGGTGCGATTCACCACGGTAAGATTCTGGCCGGGACGCGAAGGAACTGTCCGCTCAAAATGGTTCACCTCGATGATCTGTTTCTCCTGGCCCAGTGTGTTCCCGATGTCCAGGTGGAAGTAGTATAGCTTGGTGAACTTCTTGTAGAGTTCGTCGGTGATGTTGCAGGTGACCACCGGCGCAGCATCAAAGTTACAATCGACCGGGTACGAGTAGCTCGCGTCCTTTTGACTGAAGGTGAAGCTGACATTGTACTTGGTGATGATTTTGTTCTGCGGCTTCGTGAAGTTGCACAGCATGTAATTGAAGTCATAGCCCACGCAGCTGAAGTCCTCGATTAGCAGAGGCCGGGTTCCCACGTACACCTTCGATGTGTTAATCACGTAATAGCCGCACATGCACCGGTACTCATCCTCCTGCTCGACGGCGTCGCGAGCGCTGAAGATGATGGTCGTGTTGTTCACGATGCGGATGTCCGGCGATCGGCGGTACTCCTGCACCTTGCTCTTGAAGTACAGCTGGTCCACCGTACACGATTCAGCGGTGTTTGTCTCCCGGAAGTATGTCTCGTTGATGGTGCAGCTAATGTTAAAGTCGGCGCCGATTAACTGCTCGACCTTGTCGGGATAGAGCCAACCAGGCTCCACGGTGGCCACCGCCTGCTGGCAGCAGACGGCCGTGAGCAGGGCCAGCAGTTCGAGGACCTGCTGCATAATGGACCGACTCGGTTGCATTTGGAAGATGGATTTCCCCTCCTATAAGCAGCTATTCGGGTTTTTGTTTGGAATGGGCCAACAACACACAAACACTTGCGCACCAGCACCGACACCGACACAGGCACTGGCACTGACACTCACACACACGCGCGCGCGCCAAGAGCGAGTGGCCCTCCTCTCACACACACCTTTCTTGCACTGGTAGGGGCACTTGTTGGCTCTGTATTGGTGTGTGGTTCTCGGAAACGTTTATGTGATGAGAATTCCTGGAAAGGCCTTTATGGCATTTCGATTTGGCCTTTCCACCAATCTGCTCAATAGTTTATCTATTTGCACGACTTAGCCTGTTAATAGTTAATTTTTCCAATATTGGGTACACTTTAATTATTGTTTGTTGCACTGGCTACGAAAAAAACGGTACACAAAGATCTACCCCCCTGCTCGTTCGCTGCTGTCGTTTTCTTTTTGGCTAGATAGGCACTTGCATATCGGGAATCGATACACGATACGCAATCAAACACAACACTCAGGTGTCAACGGTCACACTGTGCATACCTGAAAAAAAAACTATTATTAAATGCGAGGTTGTAATAAATTAAAAGTGAACTCAGTGTTTCATATACCAAGCATAGGTTAAATAAACCGCTTAAACAATTAGTCGTGTCGTGTTGCAACAAAACATTGTTTCATCATATCGATGTATATCGATACACTATCGACAACCCTGTCGTGTATGAATGACATTTCAGATGAGATAGTGTGTGTGTGTTTGCCTGTGTAAGAAAGTGACGAATTACTTTTCATCAAATGGAAAATAATTTACTTTGAAAACACGTATAAATTTTTCTCAGCAACTCAAATTGGTAGTCACTACTATTATTTAATATCGCAGACCAAATCAGCGTCAGTACCCATAAAAAAAGCGAACAATTAGCTTACTACACAAGCGAAATGGCGGAAGGCGGCAGTAAACGTATCAACGTGGTTGTAAAAACGCCAAAGGACAAGAAAACTGTTGAGGTTGATGAAGATTCTGGAATAAAAGATGTGAGTACACAACACCTTGTGACCCAACCGGGCATGTGAGTCGGTGGCTCTCGCTACCCCCTCCCACCATCGTGCCACACAATTAATCCAAAGTACAGTGCATTTTTTCAAAGCGACTCAAATGGAAAAAAGGGTGGCAAAGTGCAAATGAAATGTCTTTTTGCTTCCCCTCGGTGTGTCTGCCTGTATGTGTGTGCGTGTGTGTGTGCTGGTTCGAGTGCGTGTGCATGCAAAGCGAGAGCTTTTTTGTTTCGTTCTGTTCTTGCGAGATAGTTTGCTGCTTGTCCCAGACCTTGAGGATCTCTCCCACCCGGAAGAGATCCCCTAGTAGATATTCAGTAGCGTCATAATTCTATATCTCATGTTCTGTTCCGTTGCTTTCGTGTTTTTCAGTTTAAAATTCTGGTTGCACAAAAGTTTGAGGCAGAGCCAGAGCAATTGGTGCTGATTTTCGCTGGTAAAATCATGAAGGACACTGATACACTCAAGATGCACAACATCAAGGACCAGCTGACGGTGCATTTGGTGATAAAGTCGCCGACGCGCAACAACGAGACACCGGCCCGTGCGCCCGCCGATGTGCGTCAGACGCCCTTCGGCCTGAACCAGTTCGGTGGCTTGGCAGGCATGGAGGCCCTGGGTGCCGGATCCAACACCTTTATGGATCTGCAGGCACGCATGCAGAACGAGCTGCTTAACAACGGGGACATGCTGCGCTCCCTGATGGACAATCCCCTGGTCCAGCAGATGATGAACAACCCGGATACCATGCGCCAACTGATCACCTCGAATCCGCAGATGCAGGACCTGATGCAGCGCAATCCCGAGATCACGCACATGCTCAACAATCCCGATCTGCTCCGCCAGACCATGGAGCTGGCCCGCAACCCATCGATGCTGCAGGAGCTGATGCGCTCCCACGATCGGGCCATGTCCAATCTGGAGTCGGTGCCAGGCGGTTACAGTGCCTTGCAGCGTATCTATCGTGATATACAGGAGCCCATGATGAATGCCGCCACAGAGTCCTTCGGGCGCAATCCTTTTGCTGGTCTCGTCGAGGGCGGCGGCGGCGGTAGCGGCGGAGTGACTGCCGTAAATCCACAGCAGGGCACTGAGAACCGCAATCCACTGCCCAATCCATGGGGCGGCGGCGGCGGGACAGCCACTGGCAATGGTACCAACTCCTCTACAAATGGCCCCACCGGCCAGGCGAATCGCACTGGTGATCAGCCCCCTAATAACGTACTCAATACGCCGGCCATGCGCAGCCTGCTCCAACAGATGGCTGACAATCCGACTATGATGCAGAACCTCCTGAATGCCCCGTACACACGCTCCATGATGGACTCCATGGCGCAGGACCCGGACATGGCGTCGCGCCTCCTAAGCAGCAGTCCCTTGCTCTCAAACAATCCCGCCCTGCAGGAGCAGGTGCGCCAGATGATGCCCCAGTTTATGACACAGATGCAGAATCCCGAGGTGATGAATATGCTGACCAATCCGGACGCCATGAATGCCATTCTACAGATCCAGCAGGGCATGGAGCAGCTGCGCAGTGCCGCTCCCGGCCTGGCCGGCAGCATGGGCATTCCGCCGCCACCACCCGGCATCAACACGGACCCGGCCAGCGGTGATGGTGGTCTCAACAGCCGCACTGCGCCCACCAACACGAACAATATCTCCTTGCCGAACAGCAGCGTACCAAATGCTGGCAACAACAGCGTTAATGCATCAGCTCCCGCCCTGGCCCCAGGTGGCGGACCCAATGCACAGCTCTTCAACGATTTCATGTCGCGCATGCTCAACGGCATGTCCACCAATGCAGACGTCACGCAGCCACCAGAGGTGCGCTATCAATCGCAGCTGGAGCAGCTGGCGGCCATGGGATTTGGCAACCGTGATGCCAATTTGCAGGGTAAGAAGCGATTAAAGCATGGCATTAACATTCTTCTGCGAAGTAAAATTGAAACCATTCTTTTGTCTCTGCCAGCTCTGATTGCCACATTCGGGGACATTAATGCGGCGGTGGAGCGTCTACTGGCCGTGAATCAGCTGTCCCTGAGTTAACATCGCTAAACCACCTCCCAACAACAAACAACAACAAAACAACAACCTTCAACATTGTATACAACCTGTCTATATATCTACGCACTACAACTATACCTAGACACTTATGGCCGCCCCGGAGACGGAAACTATGTGAGAGGGAGAGAGATAGATACATATATGAAAAGAGCGAGAAGTACAGAAAAAGAAAGAGAGCCCTAAAAGGGGAAAAGGAACACAGGGACATACACACACAATAATCCTACTATATAAGCTCAGGCAGGATTAGCTAAATATGGGCGCATTTTCATACACTCACTCACTGACTGGGAAAAAAAAATACCTTCAATCCTACACACATCCTACAAACACACAGAAAGACAAACAAAAAGAGAATCCTGGGATATGAAGAGGTGCGGAACATGGGGTGGAGCGGGTGGACAATAGAAAAGATATATACGTATATATATATATATATAAATATATATTGAGATCGAAAGAGAGCGATTTAGAGAGAAAGAAAATCCCCATACCAAAGTGTCGGAAGTGGGAAGATGCATAGTTGATATTTTTATTTGAATTTTTTTTGTTTGGATCAGTTAAATTCGGAAATGGACACACAAATACATACATATATTTAGATATATATATATATATATACATTTAGCATGAAAAGAAACATTTTACGTGCATGTTGTGCATCAAAAAGCGTAACCCAAGGCCATCGGTAGAATCTTTATGAGTGGAGAGCGAGCGAGCGACCGAGCACTGTCGATGGTGGCGTGGATCCCATGGTGGATAATTATATATATTTTGTTTGTCCTTCCTCTCCCCCAAACCATCCCCTGTCCAGCCTGTTGTTCCTTTCCCCCCTCTCTATACATTTTCTCCCTCACATTTTGGTATTTTCTACATACATACATACATATATGGTTCATATCTATCACACAATATTCCAATGGTGTTAACAAAAAGACGTAAAACAAAAACAAACAAAAACTTGAAATTCTTTAGTAAAACAAACACGAAAAAAAAAAACAAAACCAAAACGACAACAAATGTATTAATCTTTAATATTATTAGCCAACATATTTTGTTTGTAACTGTAACTGTAACTAACGGACTTCTGCTGTTTACGGTCGGGGAGCGTACGGAGTATATGTGGGTGGTGGTATGTCATCATACATATATATTTCTTTGGTTTTCCCCTCTTAATTTCCACTGCTGCTTTACTATCCCCAGCATTCTATATTGCCTTTCCTTTCCTCTCCTCTCCTATCCTATTCAATTTTTTTTTGTTTGTTTTCCCCTTTATGTTTATATATAAACTATAAAGTCTATTTGTATAATCTGTAAGTACTTTAACTATAAAATATCGCCACTCGCCGCCACTCCACCAACAGTTTTGGTGAGAGGGAGCGGATGCCAAAGCGGCTAACAGCAGAAGAGCAGGGAGAGCCTCTGTCCAGCGCCTCGACCTCCTGGACACACAGTGAAGTGACGGCGAGGGTGGTGGTGTTGGCGCAGGGAGCGAGGGAGTGTGGTGTGACAGAAAAGAAAGACGGAGCTATATACGTTTATTTGTTTAACGAGAAGGAATGAAAATGAAACTAAGTAATAATTATGTAAATGGTCACGTGTTTTAAAACGATAATAAAGCAGCTTTGGTTTAGATTAGACCAAGAAATGGGCATCTCTATTTGTTTTTGAACTGATCCACAATGCCCATGCGGCCATCGAGCTTCTTGGGTCATGCTAGCTGGTAAATGGTCTCTACCCCGAGAAATCTGGCGGCCTACTCATCTGCATGCCCCTGGGAACAGGCACTCGACTTCATAGCCAACAAAAAACGACCAACGCTTTAACCATTGTGTCTGCCTGGTGTTACTTCTCCTTCGTTGAAAAAAGAAATTCAAAACAGGGATTGTGCATGTACTTTTGGGCCCAGCCCACATGTTCGTGTGGCCTAGGTCTTGGTCCTTGGTTGTGTTTATTTATTACAGCAGCGGCTTGAGTATACAATCGAAACATTTACGAGTACGCAATTATATCTATAGACAACACTCAATCAATCAATCAATCAATCATCCAACACACACATTAAAAGCTTTACCAAATATTACAAACGAAACGATGCAGGAGGTTACGGTTACGCACACATTGAAGAACATTCCATGAGCACTAAACGTAAGAGAGAGTTGTCTTGGATCGTTATTGGGCTGACGGCTGACGATGATACAATGCTGAGAGGCAGAGGTCAGAGCTCCTCGAAGAAGGCCACACGCGCCTTGGTTGAGCCCGATTTGAGCTTCTTGAGCGTTGAGTATTTATTTTCACCGGCCTTGATTTGCGCCTCACTGAGTATGTCGAGGTTGCTCTGGTTCTCTTCGATTTTGTGTGGTGCTATCTCGGAGCGGAGGGTCTGCAGCTGGTTTTGCACCTGCTTTTTGGACTTGCGCAGATACTCCAAATGGTTGCGCTCCATTTCGTTGGTGATCTGCTCCATTTCGTTGTCGGTGAGTATGAACTCCTTTGGCTCGAAATCGTCCGAAATGCCACTCGAGTTGTCACCCTGAACCAGATAGTGTGATGCGGATGTGGTTAGTTCGGCCCCGCCGGCCGTTTCCATATCATTGGTAGAGCTACTCGTGGTTAGCGAGGGTGTACTAATCGCCGCTAGGCTGGAGGATGTATTGACCGCATTCGATACGGTGGAGGCGGTTAGCAGGCTGTCAGTTGATGATTTGCGTCCGCTGTTAAGGAAATGCAACAGGCGGGCGGTGGCCTCGCGCTCAGCCATTTTGGCACAGATGAGCTCCTTCTTGAGCTTCTCGGTTTCGGCCTCACGCTTGTCGTTCTCCACCGTCAGTTGATGGACAAAGAAGTCAGCGTCACGTATCTTCTTCTCCAGATCGTGCTTCTCCCGCTCGATCTTCATCTGACGCTCGCGCAGTCGATCCATTTCGGTCTTAAAGTGATTCGCCTTGCATTCAGTCAGCTGCATCTGTTCCTCATTGACGCGACTCTTCTCGAAGTACAGCTCCTTTGTCTCCTCGGAACGGCGCTAGCAAAACAATAGATTGATTGGACATTATAGGACTGGGTACTGTGTGCTCCCAAACTGTTTGATTCAGTTACCAACGCATCGCTCGCCATGCGCATCTCGTTCTGCAGATGCTCAAAGCTCTTCTCCAGCTCGTAGCGATCATGTTCGGCCTTCTCGCGCAACTTTTTCTCCCTGATGAACTTCTTGCGCTCGATCTGTCTGCGCTGCTTCTCCTCCTTCGCCTGGGCCTTCATCTGCTGTATCTCCATTGTGTCCGGCTTGCGGCGACGCATATACAAATCATGATTGCCCTTGCACAGGTCGAGTATCTGGATGGACAATGTACCACATTCGTTAGCAACGTCGTCGAGGAAATTAAAATACAACAAATTTACATTACCATTTTGTTGATGTGCAGATCCACCGAATAAAATATAAAGTTTGAGACCTTGGCATCCACCAGGCGAATGGTGAACTTTTTGTCATCGAAACTGACGTGCCGTATCTCGTTCCATTGGAACGTTGTCTTTGGCGTTAGCTTGTCACGCTCATCGTAGATGTTCAGTCCCACGGCCGTGACACCCAGCCACAATTTGGTTTTGTTCTTATTCTGTCGGGTGAATGGTGAATAACGAAATTAAAATGAATAGCACCGAGTAGTTTTGGGACTCACTGTAATAGGAAAGTAGTTGACACCGTACATGTCAAGATCTTGGGCAATTTTCAGATACTCCATTTCGACCTCATCGCGCGTCATTGGCTCGTGATCCATGTACCTGTGAATGTGAATGCATTGAAATTCATTAGCTTCGATTTCCGCGTAGATGGTGTGCATAGTGACCAAGTCTTGATGCGCTCCTCCCACATCTCGGGCGTCATTTGGTATTGGTCAGTCACACCCTTTGGCAGCAGCTCGCCCCCGGCAAGCATGCCGTCTTTGTAGGTCTCGTAGTCGTACGGCCCATACTGAACGTGGACCGCATAGGAGGCAAGCAGGACAGAGGCCTCTGGCCGACAATAGATATCCATCGAGAGGATGCTCTGCTTGACTTGCAGGAAGAAGAGGTGCTGCGTGATCTCCTGGATAAGTTCCTCGCTGACATTCTCCGGAAAGAATTTGGCATAGAAACTGAACACGTAGATGTTGTTGTTGGCATGCAGCTCCACCCGCTGATCCTTGACCTTCTTATCAAATTTAAGCCAGGAGACATTGTTGCGTGTATCCACATATTGTAGGCCAAAGTACCACGATTCACGCAATCCGATGGTGCGGCAGACGAGATCGAAAAGGTCTTGGCCCGAGGCACGCGGCTCCAGTTTGAACTCCAACTCGGAGTCAAATGTGCTCACCCGCACGGGCAAGGAACGATTCTTCTTGGACCCAAACGGGCTCATTGCTTCAATGCCGATTATGTGATGATTATGATTAATTGTGTAGTTATGTCTATATATATCTATATGTATATATATATGTGTGTATATGGGTGGTTGTGTATCGATGTTTTGTGTGCCCCGAATCCTATAAGAACTTGTTGCGTGCTATTTCGGTCGTTGTTAGTGGTTCTCCTCCTTGTTGCTGGTGTTGGCAATGCTACTCCTACGATCCTTTGTTTCACACCCTTCTACACATTTCCACACGGTCATGTTGCACTTAATTGAGTTGCTTTTGCTGCTTTTGGCAATTATTTGCTGAAGGCGGCTACGTACAAAAACAGAAAACATTTTAAGTTTCGTCGCATCACACTCAAGGCTGCGCATTCCCCCCAGAGCGGACAATCAAAGTGCAGCAGACTCACTCACCAATAAAATAGTTAAAGTTTATTTTTGACGAAACAAAAGCAAGGAAACTCACAGTCAGTGTGACCACGGACTCACCGATAAAATATACCGCGTGACCCTCAGAAATATACCAAAAAAATTGATGAAATATACTTTATTATACACCGATATACCATAATTCGCCCTTAAAATGGTGATAAAACAATAAAAATGATTAAATTTAAGTTGAATTTCGCGGTTACATGCCTATATTTGAAAATAACTAACTGCTAACTTAAAAAATAAATCCAACTATAGCTAAATATATTATAAAAATAATTAATTAAATTAATTAAACTTACTGAATTTTATTTTGGAATATCTTTGGTCACAAAATCTTCTTCATTACAGGATCCTTCTAAAATATTATATTCGTTTTAGGGGGATCGTTTAAATAAACTATAAAAACAGTTACTTATAAAATTTAAATACCCTTACTGCAGGACGAATAATGTATACTTTTCGATGCCGACTTTTTGCTGAGCAGTGTATGTAAATATTTAGTTACTAACTAGGGCAACTAAATGACAAATTTGATTTGGATAAAATCTTAATGTATGTAATGTAAATCTATGTAAAAAACTCACTGAAATTTGAGAAATGAGTTTGGTGGCTGCAAATTGTTACATGTATATTTCGAAGAAAAGGGAAGACTAAAAAAGGGACGTGCGCTCGAATTCAATGATATTTAACGACTTCTTTTCTTCCACGTTATAACGTTATTAGGCTTAACTAACTTATCTAGGGCGGTGAAGCGGGGCGAATTCGCCAAGAGCTAGAGAGAGCTTTCTTGCGCTCCCGCTCCGCCCTAAACTATCTTACACTAGACTTCAAAATTTAACAAAATATAAAAATTAGCGTCGCGACGCGACATTCACATAGACACAAATTTGAAACCTTTGTGAACTTGTGAGAATATATATTTTTTATACTTTATAGGACTGGAGATGCTTTCTTATGTGCCATCGAACATAAGGATTCATTAGAATACTAAATAAAATAAACCAAATAACAAAATATTAATACCTAAATTTACAATTAAGCTATATGACATGGTGATACAAATAAACACATAAATTGGAACTGGGGTACTTTTTTGCATGTAAAAAGACGCGTATGCTTCCTGCTCTGCTGGATAAAATCGATATACCCCCATCTAAAGGTACAATAATAATTAATAATAAGACCTTGCAAGTCGGTAATCTACACAGGAGATGTGAAATTTGTGGCTTCAATAAGGTTCCCAGCAGAGCTTTCAAAGCTTCCGGTCTCGGCAGAGAAGAGTATCTGCTGAATGCGCAGCTTGGCCCAGGAGCGGCTGTACGGATTGGTTATCTGCCGCAGCTGCGAGCCAATGCTTTGGCCAAAGTGCGTCATATCATCATCGGGATGTGGTGTGGCAGCTGCCACTGCCACTGGTGGTGGTGGTGCTAGTGCTGGTGCTGGTGGATCGACCTGCTGTTCCGACTCCGGCTGAACGCTGCGGCCCAGTGCAGCTGCTGAAGAATTGTAAAAAAGTTTTCTCTGCTGCTGTGCGTTTGGTTGGCTCTGAGCCGTGAGCTCTTCCTGTGCCTGTGGATTTTCCTCTAAAATGGAATCATCAATAGTGAGGTCGTAGGTCAATCTGCGTGCGCTGGCATTGGGCGTGGAGCTCTGCCGAATGCTGCGACCATCGGGAGTGTACCGGGCCACAGGATGCCGCCTGGTGCTTTCCGTATTGCTCACATCATCCGTTTCGTCACCACCCGCCGCCTCTATGGCATCCTCGCTCATGCTGATGTCCGAAGTGGCATTGAAGAGGATTCTGCTTCCTGGATTCACCGCTGTCGTTTTCTTTCGCTGTGAATGTGGATTATGTGCATAAAAGAGGGCATCTTCAAAGATGTATTGGGTACTCACGTTCCTGCCGTGGGAATGCGAAACGTTGCTTAGAAAGGAATCGGCCAGATTGAACCAAATGAGCTTCGTGTCGTAGGGCTTGCCCTGCTCCTTGAAGCGCCTGCGAGTGCCCAGCTCCTTGGAGTAGACGGTGCGTACGCTCTTGATTTTCCGCTTGATATCGTGGATCGACAGCTGTGGAATGTTGAGGGCCTCGATCATCGCAGTGTAGGCCCCCTCCCGGGCAACACGACTCTTGTAGGTCTCCAATTGTGGGTTGTACAAGCAAGGCTGCTGCTGGTACGCCTCCAAGAACTTGCTGATTGAAATGCTGCCGTCGCCCAATTTCCACATGGCTACAGTTTTCAGTTTTCCCACAGGTCTAGGTAAGTACACAAAAAATGTTTGTTTACTTGCAGCTTGTGTTGTTGAGCGAACTTATTCAAGCTGCAAGGTGTGCTGCCTAGTGAGGGGAAAATACGAACGAAGTAGCTCACAGAATACAAAGGAACCAACCAATTTATAACAAAATTGTACAAGCTATTCACTTTTGACTGTGATTTTGTGTGTTTTGTTTCAGATTTCTCGTTAGATGTTTGGTCGAAAAAAAACCATTAATTTATCGCACCATACAATTCTAAAACCATCGATGTTATCAATAGTGCCATCAATGATTTTGCAGCCCTACGAACAGGGTGACCGTTGACGGTATCTAAATACTTTTCGGGATATTTTGTCATCGAAATTGAGTTCAAGGTATATTAACGGTTAGTCGGTATATAACGTCTATTGTACATTGGCCGCTGCTGAAACTGCCGGCAAGGAGCAAATTAAATCATGTCTGTGCCTCGGACTCCATTCCCCTCCCAATCCACTCCCATTTGGACACAATAAACGAGGAGGAGGTCGGATGTGGTCACGTCTCAGACGATTGCTTTTAAATATAATATATTCATACACATACATATGTAACATTTATATTATGTTATAAAAATGAAGCATCTTCAAAGGCGGCGTTCCGAAACGCGTTCCTCTGTATATTTCGGTATTTTTTGAGCGACAGACAGTATATTTTGTTGATAGATACGCGGTCACACTGCCTACGAAACACGTGTAAATGTGTGTGTTCCGTTCCCCCCTCTAAGCGGCCCAGCACCAGTCCGAGACAGCCGATAATTTGCGAGCCAGTGTATTAAGACTTCGATCCGTTCCTGTTCGCGACACCTCTATTATTTATTAAAAATTAAAAGGTAAGTAACTGCACAGCTAAAGTTGCGGAAAATTCAATAATGTGCGTATGCCACACACATGCACTTTTCTTCCTCTGTGTCTGTGTTTCTGCGAATTTCGTTCGCCCGTGGGCCGTGCGTGTGTGTGAGTGGTGTAACATCAGTCAAGTGTGCGTTGCCATCGTCGTCTACAGGGGCAAGGTGGTAGATCGGCAGTAGTGTTGTCTAGCGCGTGTACGTACACGAGTGCTGCAATTTTTTTTTTGCACCTTTTCTTTTTGGTTTCGCCCTCTCGACGAACGTCCGTTGCAGCAACGGAATTCCTTGGTATTGTGTGTAGTAGCTTGGCTAACTGTGAACTGTGAATCATCGTGAAGCGAGCGGGGTGGCAAGGCAGACGAGACGCGACGCGGCACACGAAGTTGTCCGCTCAGCAACAGTGAAACCCGCAAGCACACGCCGAAGGCACAGTGGAAATTTTTCCGTTTTTGCTGACGCTGTCTAAATTTAAAATTGAGACCGAACCAAACATTTTCTGAAACAGTTGTTCGCTTCGCTGCGCTGTTCAGGTGCAAGGTGGTGGGTTGTGGGTTGTGGATGGGGGATCATATCTATGTACATACGTAGCGTCTGTGCCTTTTGGGCTGGAGAGGACCGGCGGGACGCCTGAAAGCGTGCTGCACATGCATACGCAGGTGACCCTGATTACGCAGGGCTGCTGGCAACCCTGCTGTGCACCGTTACATGACCTTGTCGTAACAAGCGCTTTAATACTTACAGTATTCGAGAAAAATAAATATCCTTTTTTTTTAATGCAGTAAGCACTGATTTTATTGGCATCTCGGCAGTATTCCGGAGTCAGTATAAGGCAACCCTTTGGCCTGGAAAGATTAAAAATCAGATTGAATTACAAAATACTCGGCAAACAAAAACTCAAAATAATAGTGTAAAATATATTTTTCTGTGTGTAGCTTGCAGAATGAACTCAAAGAAACGCGATGCGCAGCGCAAGAAGGATGCCCGCAACAAGAAGATCCAACAGATTCCCTCCACCAAGAAGGCCAACGGCCAGCCGGAGCGTGAACTGACGGAGGAGGAGAAGCTGTGCGCCAAGCTTGAGGAGGAGGCCCGGATCAGTGCCGAGGCCCGCTCCTGCACCGGCTCCCTGGCTGTGCATCCGCGCTCGCGCGATGTCAAGATCGCCAACTTCTCGATCACGTTCTTTGGCTCCGAGCTGCTTCAGGACACCATGCTGGAGCTGAACTGCGGCCGTCGCTACGGCCTGATCGGTCTAAATGGCTGCGGCAAGTCCTCGCTGCTGGCTGTGCTGGGTGGTCGCGAGGTACCCATTCCGCCGCACATTGACATTTTCCATCTGACGCGCGAGATACCGGCCAGCTCGAAGAGCGCCCTCCAGTGCGTCATGGAGGTGGACGAGGAGCGCATCAAGCTCGAGAAGCTCGCCGAAGAGCTGGCCATGAGCGAGGAGGACGATGCCCAGGAGCAGCTTATCGATATCTACGAGCGCCTCGACGACATGTCCGCCGACCTGGCCGAGGTAAAGGCCGCCCGCATCCTGCATGGTCTTGGCTTTGACAAGGCCATGCAACAGAAACAGGCCAAGGATTTCTCTGGTGGCTGGCGTATGCGCATCGCCCTGGCTCGTGCCCTGTTCGTGAAACCGCATCTGCTTTTGCTCGATGAGCCGACCAATCACTTGGATCTGGACGCTTGTGTGTGGCTGGAGGAGGAGCTGAAGACATACAAACGCATCCTAGTGCTCATCTCGCACTCGCAGGACTTCCTCAACGGCGTCTGCACCAACATCGTTCACTTGACCGCCAAGCGCCTCAAATACTACACTGGCAACTACGAGGCCTTTGTGCGGACGCGCATGGAGCTGCTTGAGAACCAAATGAAGCAGTACAACTGGGAGCAGGACCAGATATCGCACATGAAGAACTACATTGCCAGATTCGGTCACGGTTCCGCCAAGTTGGCGCGACAGGCGCAATCCAAGGAGAAGACCCTCGCCAAAATGGTCGCCCAGGGCCTAACCGAAAAGGTGTCGGACGATAAGGTGCTCAACTTCTATTTCCCCTCGTGCGGCAAGGTGCCCCCACCTGTGATCATGGTGCAGGTAAGCTCATCGATCCATCAATCATTCATCGCGCATCCACACATCTTTCTTATCTCTCACGTGTCGCCCCCCTTTTGTAGAATGTGAATTTCCGGTACAACGATGAAACGCCTTGGATCTACAAGAATCTGGAGTTTGGCATTGACTTGGATACACGTCTCGCTCTGGTGGGACCCAACGGAGCTGGCAAGTCGACGCTGCTGAAGCTGCTGTATGGGGATCTGGTGCCCACCTCTGGCATGATACGCAAGAATTCCCATCTGCGCATCGCTCGCTACCACCAGCATCTGCACGAGCTGCTCGATCTTGATGTCAGTCCGCTGGAGTACATGATGCACGCCTTTCCCGATGTCAAGGAGAAGGAGGAAATGCGCAAGATTATCGGCCGCTACGGCCTGACCGGTCGCCAGCAGGTCTGCCCCATTCGCCAGCTGTCGGATGGACAGCGTTGTCGTGTGGTCTTCGCGTGGCTCGCCTGGCAGGTACCCCACCTCCTGCTGCTGGACGAGCCGACCAATCACTTGGACATGGAGACAATCGATGCCCTGGCCGATGCCATCAATGACTTTGATGGCGGCATGGTGCTAGTTAGTCACGATTTCCGTTTGATCAATCAGGTAAGATATCAATCGAGATATAGATTCACGAAGAAAGCTTATGGATGATTGAATTTTCCAGGTGGCTGAGGAGATTTGGGTGTGCGAAAAGGAGACGGTGACCAAGTGGAAAGGCGGCATTCTCGACTACAAGGATCATCTGAAGAACAAGATCACCTCGGAGAACGAGAAGAAGGCCAAGGCGGCAAAGTAGAGAGAAGCTACACAGAAAACAAACACATTAGTTACATACAAAAGGTACACAAACACAACCACACCACAATACACAGCACACAGCACACAGCACACCTACACACCCCCCCCCCGCTGCCCTCCCCCCCTACGATTATCCCCTGCGAAATTACGATTTGAGTTTACACTACGCTATAGTCAAGTCATGTGAACAACCCAACCATACAAAAATTGAAACTACATAAGAAACCCTTATAAACCAAACACACACACGCACGCAAGAAAGAGTCCAAAACTCAACAAGAATATACACAAATTTTTAGCTGAATTTTTTCTTTTTTATGTGTCGAATTAAATTAAAAATAAACATTAAAAATGTATAAATATTTATATATATCGTATATATACATACTATATACATATATCAATCATTCATCATATGTGGAGTAGTCGTCGGAGAGGAACAAACAAAACAAAAACAAACAACAATAACTAAACAAAAAAGAAGAAAAGAAAGAAAAAACAAAAAACACTACAAAAACTGCTTGTGATCTTGCGCTTATTCGTGATTTCGTTTAATTCTCCGCTAGGTTTCAATATATATTTATAAATATATATATATATGATTTTTTTTTGGTAATTTATTTACGCCCTAACGATACGAGTATATATACATGATAGATACGATATATACACCACAGATCAGATATATAAAAAAAAGATCAAGTTAAAGATAAAGTTAATAGATACAACAATAAAATATACTACTACTATATGTAATTAAAGATCTGATTAAGAAGCCAGAGAGTGAAAAAACAAAACCAACAACCAAAATGTGTGTAAAGAGAAACAAAACAAAAACAAAGAAAAACCATACCGAGATGATACTGCCCATCCCCCCCACCGTCCCATCCCGAAGGATGGGGGGATTCAGGCGTTCAGCCGTTGCCTAAAAATTTCAATATTCAATAAGCGATTTGATAGGGGAATTCGAATGAGAGTATTCGAGACTTTCGAATGAGAGTATTCGAGACGTTCGAGTATTACAATACAAAATAATAACTAAATATATTAAAACAAATTACAACAGGAAGAAGAAAGGAAGGAAAGAAAGAACAGAACACAGATATTATTTATAGGTTATTTAACAAATTGGAAGAGTTTTTATATACGAGCAAGCCACAGAATTTGGTGGCGATAAAATGAAAATAGAATTTTTTTTCGGTATTCTTTTGTCGATTACGTTGAAAAGGTTTTTTTCAAAATTTAAAATTTGTTATCAATTTGTCATTATAACCAATGGCGAATATTATTTGGGTACAATTCTTAAAAAAAGTAAATATGATTCTTCAACGCTCAAATCATTATAAAAATTACCATGTATTTTCAACGAATATTTAACATCAATGGGCTAGATCTATTGAAAAATTTATTGATGTTAACCTATTCTTATACCCTACTCAAAAAGATTATAAAAATTAGCATTTATTTACTCAAAAGGAACGTTTCGACCCATAAAGTATATAAATTCTTGATTTGCATCAATAGCCAAGTCGATTTAGCCATGTCTGTCTGACCGTCTGTCTGCTGCCTCTTGTTGAGCGCTCTCAGAGACTATAAGAGCTAGAGAATTTGGTTTCCAGACTCATGTAATTCCACTGCAATAAGTGCATTTTCAAATTTTGCCCGCCAACTTCCGCCCACTGAGCGAACTGTGGGCACAATACGATAAACTGAAAACAAAGTCTGGCTAGAATGACTATACGTCTACCAGATTGCCCAATCTGAATCAGATCTGATCATAATTATAGCCAGAATGAAGAAATTTATTTGTTGTCCCCCCCGCGGGCACGATTCTTCCCGCACGCCTGCCTTGTTCAGTGCAGTCGTGGACAACGTGGATATAAATGGTACATCTATTGGTACATGTTAGACGTAAATAAAGACTCCTCCTTTGTAAAACTGAGTTCGAAAAAATATTCACTCAAACTGAATTACGGTCGATCAATTGGTCCGGCCGTTTTTGGGTTGGGGGGCCCTTTTCTCTGAATAGCGTCACCATTAGGTCCAGGGGTGCTTGGACTCTTCGTTATAAAAGTCTGCAATTTCGGCCTCCACCAGGCTTCTTTTCCATTCCAGCAATCTTCCTAAATTGTAACACTAGTTTCACGACTTGGTAGCTTTCTCCCGGCGAGGTCAGAGTAACAAATTTGTCTTCCATCCCGCAAAGATTGCTATTGATCCAGTGTTGGATCTGCAGTGAAGGTGGCAAGTATGCGTCATAATAGCGTCTACCGAAGCGCCCACAGGAATCTACTGATTAACAGCGATAGCTGGAAATTTTTTAGTCGATGCAACGCCCATGGTCGTTGTGGTCGCAGACCACATGATTTACACATGCTAATTTTTATAATGATTTGAGCGTTGAAGAATTATACACACATTTTTTAACAATTGTACCCAAAAATTTAATATTCGCTGCAACTAATGGAAAAAAGGATAAATATTACTATTCAATTGAAAAATCAAATTTTAATTTTTTATAAAAACCTTTTCAACATAATCGACAAAAGAATACTGAAAAAAAAAACTATTTTCATTTTATCGCCACCAAATTCTGGAAAAAAAATTTTCTTTGATGCAGTTGTTACAATAGTATTAATTTTGGACAAATGGGAAATTTCTGTCGATATTGTACTTATCTATTAATGGAATGTATTGAAAAACGAATTATTTTGTGGAACGAGCCAATGATGGAACCAGCTTCTGCCGAAACATTGAAATGTATTTTAGGTGAAGATACATATAATGCCAAAATAAAATACCAAGGTGATTCCGTTATAACACGTACACCGGCTCTAATTGTATCAAATAACGACATATTTCCCAAAAGTGTGGCATTCAGAAGTCGCATGTATCAATTTCACTGGAGGCCCGCAACATTTTTAAAAGAATACAATTGTAAACCACATCCATTGTCAATATTTCATTTATTCAATAAATATATAAAATCTTAATATAATACATTATTTGCGTCTGCGTTTTTCTAACGATCTAGACGATCTTGGTCTTGTATCTAATAATTCAAAATCATTCAATTCATCCTCTACAGTTGTAACACCAGTTTTAGCATCAGAGTGTTGACAAATAATGTTCTTCCATCTGTATATGTATGGGTGGCATTTTCCATGAATGTTACTTCTTTTGGCCACGAAATTGGCGAACCATGAGTAAAGGCTGATCCGAGACTAAATTTTATATTACAACCACATTCTACACGCCAATAACAGCTGTATATTCCCTGCCTAACCCAACACGGGTATCTTCGAAGCCCGGATAAAATTGTAAAGCGTGCGATCGAAATCTTGGAAATTGTGTTTCAACTCTATCCTCTTTACGATTATATGGTGTAAAATGTTCTTTCTGCTTATTAATTAATCCGCATTTAGGTACATACACTATAATCAACAGTCACTGGTTCGTTAATCATCGAATTTACCAAAAATTGACCAGTTTCTCCGTCAAATCTAGGCACACCAGATCGTGCACTTGATAATTATCATACTAATCGATACAAATACACACAAATAATGCCAGACAGATGATGAATGATTTTAAGCAAAAAGCAGCTAATGTATAGGTTAGAGGTTATGTCAAATAAATTAGCCATCAGCCCCAAATGTGAAATTGCTGCGAGTAGAAACAGCTAAACAGTTGCTTGAGACAAGGTAATAAACGAAATATTTGACCAAAAAACAATCGATTCAATTACTCATGTTAGGGGGGAACAAAATGGGGATTTCAGATTTAATGTAGATTATATCACGTCCATAAAGTGTTTATTGATTGATCTTTCCAGAACCTTGTATTGCCATGCCAATCCAACATATGGATTGCTATCCTTCCTTTAGGAGTTCCATCCACTACCAGAACATGTCTTCCGTACCATCTGGTCTTTAAATCTTTAGCTTTGCTTCGAATTTTTTAAACTTGAGACATTCCCTCTACTTTGAGGATATTGTACTACACCAAGGGTGCTCCTTGTCTTCCGATCCTCAGAAAAGCATTTCGGATTATCAATTATAATATTCGTTGCAAGTCTCCAGTCTCTTCTCATCAATTCCACTGTAATAAATTATTTAAATCTATTGTTTAAAAAGTTCCATGACCCTATGATATATAATATAAGTGCATTTTTCGAGTTCTATACAAAAGAAAAAAGTCGAATGTTCATTGAGGTAATCTCCATTTGCTTTGCTTTATTGTACAATTTTCAAATCTGTGTGCTTTTAGATGATTTAACATTTATTGTTAGCGCATTTATGTATCCTCTATGATTCCCTTTATTGCTGTATGCCTTTTATATACATATACCCTTGCAGAGGTTTATTACTCGTAAAGTTATTGGTCAGATTTTTTGGGAAGCATCTCCGACATCTATACAGGATATTCAAAGAGTTTTGGGGTTTATTATTTTCTATTTCCATTAAACTCTGTTTTAGGCCATTTATGGTCTTTTTTGTTGATAGATCTGGGTTATACATTTGGTTGGAATGCAATGGATCGCAGCACTATATCAAATAGCTATCATTATTATTATTATTACAAGGCCTTGTTGCACTTCGACCATACATCATGTATGATCTTTTGTACTGGCGAGTAGGAGTATGTGGAAGATCCATATATGTTTAGGGGTTTCATGAACTGAAGTACTTTGATGGGCACTATTTCCAAAATCCTTCAAGCAATCCTGTTATGCAGGGCATTCACGTTGGCTGTGTTCCGATTTTTCCTGCTTCATTTCACAGAATCTACAGGAGTCTATCTCTAACAATTTCAATTTCTTGAGGTGATATCTCAGTTGCCATAGGAAGAAACGTTTGAAAAACGAGAGATAATTGTTAAGTGGATTTTCGCATTGCAATTAAATATTTCGCCCAAAATGGATACAAATCGGATGACTATATAAAACAGCTGCCATGAGAATGCGCGGTCGAAGGTATATTGTAAATTTCAACAGAAGACAGAATAGAACACAAATATCAATCATCAACGTCCGACTGCAAGGGCATATTGACTTCGGTGATCCGAAGTGCTCCCTGCTCTCCCTCCCCTGCTTTCATCTATGATTTCTGTTTTGTGGTTCGTTTTCTCGTTTCTTGCGTGTACGAGTGTAGGCACGTTCAAAGGTTGAATGGTAGACTTGGTTACACTTAAGCGATACTAGTTGCTTGTGCTAATGCTAATCAATAATCGTAATAAAATAATCATATATATGTATGTTTCGTATCATATACCATGCTACAATCCATGATACTCGTACAATGCCGTGGCGAGCCGTGCTCGCTTGCGGTTAGTACACTGTGGAGAGGTCCGCGTAGATGAGTTTAAGCAGCTGGCGCTCGGCAGTGCTTGACGAACTGAATTCGGCTGCAAAGTCACGGAGCAGATGCTTCAGATCGCACATTTTGCGCTCAACCCAGGCACAGATGATCTCGGCCAGCGCGTACTGCTGCTGCTGGGGCACGAAGGCTCCGGGCCGTTCCACCAGCTCACTGTTGTAGCCCGGACAGGGGCTCGCCTCGAACTGGGCGAGGCTGTAGTAGTGCTCGATGAGCTTAATGTGCGCTGGCGATTGCCGGGCAGGCGGCAGATTCAGGTGGACCAGCAGCAACAGACGCAGGACCTCCACACGCCTGAGCAATTCGCTGTACATCAGTGCCCCCCGCCGCTCGTAGATGTTGTCCACGATGTCATCGTAGTGCTGGAGGGCACTGCGGTAGTCCTCGCGCTGCGTGCTCAGGTCGGCGCTCATTTCCAGGTCGTGGATCTGGTGGGTGGGCGAGGCGAAGCTGCTGGTGCTGTCTAGCTTACGCTGCAGCTGCTGCAGCTCGCGGAGAATGGCCGCCTTGAACACGCAGCCGTCCACAACGCGCTCCGCTGCCTTGTGGTAGCAATGAAGGGCACCCTCCCGGAAGCCACTGTGCTGGGTGCGCAGGTGGAGGAGCCCGAACTCGTTGTGGGCCTGCAGGAAGGCACGGGCAGCTCTCACATAGGCCTCGGACTCGCGCTGCGGCGCCCCCCCAAAGGACTCGCACTTGGCATAGCCAATGTGGCACATGGCCGCGTACTGCATGATGCCCGACTCCTCGAAGCTGTACGCCAGCCTCTGGAAGTCCGCCTGCACATCGTTCACACTGGGCGCAAAGCGTCTAAATGGCCAGAAAATGAGTCAGATATGGGATCCAGTTGGGCGGAAGAACTCACTTGAAAAAGCCGGCACGCTCGAATTTCTTGATTTTATTGGAGGCACGCAGATATTGCTCGATCAGGTTCTTGGGATACTGCTCGACATGGTGTTGCTCGGCCAGTGGGCCTTGGCCCGGGGAGGAGGTGCGTTGGTGGGTGCCTGCACTGCCGCTGCGTAGCTTGTCCATGCTGCGCCAGTGGCCGGGGTGGCGGTGGCGGTGGCCTTGCCCGTGGCAATGGAGGACTACAATAAAAACGGTTTAATTGTGCATTATTTCGTTGTAACCAAAACAGTTTGCAGTTTGCAGCCAGTTCTGGAAAATGCCGTTATGTGTGTGATTCAACAACATATGCAGTGGTGCGATGCTAGCCTTTTCCCGTCAAATCTAGCTATTTTCAAAGTCAATTAGCGGGAAGCTTGAATTGGAGAATTTTCATATTATCATATTAAATGTTCAGAAAAATACCCCATATGCAAAAGTAAAAATTGCATATTAATGTTTTAAAGCAGATTGGAACAACAAATTTAACACATCAATTAAAGGAAATAAGGTTTACAAAAGTCCAAACGCATGGAAGAAACTTGGTTGCCCAGAAACAATTAAGTCACATTTAGTCAACATTTACGTTTTATGCTTTGGCCGTTTTTGTTTGAACCTTTTTATTTAAACAATGCAATAAAAAGGACTTCTGAAAACTAATCAATCTTGTAGAAAATTGATGTATCTATCGGATAAAATTATTTGTTTAGGGCTTAGAGGTCTAACTAGATAGTAATATTAAACTGAATATCAAAATCATGGAATACGATTTCAATCAATAAAATAGAACGTTATCCCATTGTCGACCAGGGGGGTATTTAATATTCCCACAAAATTTGTGTAACTTTAGCATATTTTGCGCATTAAAGGTGAAAGATGTCGGTGGTCATTTTTGTTTTGTAAGTAAAGAGGAGGATGGAGCTACAAGGAGCCTTTACAAACAGTATTATTTTCCGCGGTTTAACAAAGGGTGCTCAACTTTTTTAATAGAGGGGTGTTAAGTGGGTTAAGTGTCGTTTGATCGCTGGATTGCCCTGGTTTTTATCGTTATCGTCACGGGCCCTCTGGTTACACTTACGCATTTAACAAACAAAACTCGACTCTCGGACCACGGGCAATTGTTTTAATTAGCTAGTTTTCAAGCGCCCAGCTACAATGGCCATTGCCGAGCATGACAACGTTTTTATCTTTGTGCCAAATTTGATTGGTAAGTTCTGCCGGAGCGAATCGCTCGAATCTGTCTCTGGATTTATGGAATGTATACATACCTGAACCCGTGTGATTATTCCTGCTGGTGGGGCTGCGGTGGCTGTTGTTGGGGGCGGGTACTTTGTGGGCCCTAATTGAATTAGCCGTGTGCTTGTAAAATGCACAATACCAATGCATGGGACCGAGCCACAGCCCAGCAACAGCGTCAGCGTCAGTCCCATATCAATATAACTTCCTTTATCGATTGCGCGCTGATGACTGTTTGTTTGTTTGTTTTCATTCCTATTGCAGGCTATGCACGCATCATTTTGGCCTTGATTGCGTTCTGGTTCATGTCCACGAACTATGTGATCGCCGGCTGGTGTTATGTAACCAGCGCCCTTCTGGATGCCGTCGACGGACACGCCGCCCGGGCCTTCAATCAAAGTGAGCATTACCAAATCGGACGACTAGCGGATAGCGGTCACGTCAGGCCACATCGCACACAGAGGCGCGACGCCGCCTGTAGTACACACCTGTTCACACAATGGCTCTAGCGCTATCCGATGAGCCGGCAACTGAATTATTTGGCTATTTAATGATATGCGCACTTTGCCCATACGAATGCCGCCTATCAACACACCATACCACACCACACCACACCGCACCACACAGACCCGAAACCCAACCAAATCGTATCTATATGTATTTGCGCCAGTATCTGATATTTATTTTATCGCACGCCTATTCTTTATATGGTCATGATTGGGTGATAGGGATGGGTGGCCACTTCAGGTCCCCAACTCCTCAAGCACTGATTTGCCTGATTAACAAATTTCGTAACCTTTGTTTGGGCTTCCAGGCACACGCTTTGGGGCCATGCTGGACCAGCTCACGGATAGATGCGGCACCACGGGTCTGCTGGTCACCCTGGCCTACTTTTATCCACGCTACATGTTCTGGTTCCAGCTGTCCATTGCCATCGACGTGGCCTGTCACTGGCTCTTTATGCAAACGTAAGTCAGATAATTTATAGAATTTTCCACTATCAAACTCAATCAATCTGCAATCTATCTGCACTGTGTGTGTGTGTTTTTGCAGGAGCGTTGTGGTTGGACGCGCATCGCACAAGGTCAATGAGAACTTTGTGATGCGTCTGTACTATCAGAAGGACATTTTGACCTTTATGTGCTGCGTCAATGAGCTGTTCTATGTGTGCTTGTACCTCTTGCATTTCACATACGGTCCCCTCAGTGAGTATTATTATATATACCTGTATATTGCGTCATTTGACGGACGACTGAACTGACTTCATTTGTATACTGAACTTGAACTTTCTCTTGAACTGTGATAGTATTTGGCGCCTCGCTCTTCAAAATACTGGCCTTCCTCACGGGCCCCTTTGCCGTGCTGAAGGCCTTGATCTCCGTGATGCACGCCTATGTGGCTGGCATTGATTTGGCCGCTGTGGATGTACGTGAGCGGCAGGAGAGGCGCCAGAGGCCCACCGAGCCAGTGGCAGTGGCTGGCAAGAAGCTGGAGTAGGCGTGGCACTAGTCAAAATCCATTGAAAACCAACAGCTCCAGCTTTTAACTACTAAAGTACTAAAGCAAAATAACTCTTGATTCCAGAAAACAAAACAAAACAAAAAAAAAAAAAGAAAGAAGAGATGCGATTCGATGCAAAGGAAAGGTGAAGTGAAGGAAAGGGAAGTGAAGCATAGAGAAGGGTAGAAAGGAAATAGAAGAAAGAAAAGAAAAGAAAAAAAACCAAGAAAAGTGTAGTAGATTATTAATTATTTGTACGCGCTATTGCAATATTGTTGATTTTATTTTGTATTTTAAGTTATACGGCGGGGGCATAACCGCCCTCCCATCGATTTGTATTTAAATAATTTAGAATGGAATGGAAATTGAAAGTGAAACAATTGTCGTTCCATGCGCGCGCGAACAATTGTCGTGCTAGTCGTAGCTGTTGCATATTTATTTTTGCTTTTTTTTAGTCAATGATAATTTATAAATTTTTCGTGAAGCTTACACTAATATACACATATTTTACGAATATATATATTATATACGCTAGATATATGTATGATTTAATGTCCATATATACGAATTGTATATATTTACATACATATTGTATATGGCGTTTTGGTAGTTTCAAATTCGGATATTCGTACGTGTAGCCAGCCACAACAGAGTCTCATTTTGTACATTTGTTTAATTTTTATTATTGGTTCAATTACAGACATTACAGATTACAGACACTTCCAACAATTGTTCGATTCTCAATGTGTAACTAATGTATTTCTAATCATAAGTCGAAAATTGTAATTGGAGACCTGCATGAAATATATATATATATATATGTATAACCATTATCGTGACCATTCTAATTGTTTTACTCCTCCTCAATCCTAGACCTGCCAATGGCACACATGGGATAGTTCCTACCTTGTTAAATATCAGGCTGTCCACGAGCGATAATGAATGTATACAGTCTATAAGCAAAGGCAGACACTGGCCAATGAGCTGTTCTATGTGTGCTTGTACATTATACCGTTCATATTACCGTACCGTTCAACCGATTCCGAAAAGTCTGGAAGAAGAAGAACGCAAACTTTTTCAATTTGAATTGCCCGCCTACTTGCACTGCCCTGCAGCCCTGTTTTATACCAGCTGATGAATCCCTTTACAGCACTGGCCCGGACATTAATGACTTTTAATTGTTTATATTTTTCTGGGCCGCAAAAAGACCCTAAGCACTACTTGGCCGGTGCTAGTACGTTTTTGGACTGGACGGTCGAGGACTACAGTGGTTCAAAATGATGATAAACTGGAAGCGCTTGTCCAACATTGTGCGCTATTCAGTGGCCTATGCTGCCATAACTCATTGCACATTTGAGTACATTGGCGACTTTGTACTGGTGAGTGTGATGTCCAAGGCTGCTCCTAACACGCAATCCAATCCCCCCATCTGTTCGCACAGTGCAAAGGACCGTCGATGGAGCCCACTCTCTTCACGGACAATGTGCTGGTGACCGAACGCATGACCAAGTACTGGCGCGGCTATAAGCCCGGCGATATTGTCATTGCCGTTTCGCCGACCAATGCCAAGCAGTGTGTCTGCAAGCGTGTGGTGGCCGTCTCCGGCCAGGAGGTGTTCATAGCCAAGCCACATCCGCTCGAAGCGGAATGCAATATGTCTGCCAGAAAGAAGAAACCAGTCATGATAAAGAGTTTTGTGCCGCGCGGCCACATTTGGATTGAGGGCGACAACAAGGACAATAGCTGCGACTCACGCTACTATGGCCCCATTCCCGTTGGCCTCATCCGCAGCCGTGTGGTCTACCGAGTTTGGCCGCTGGCCGATGCCTGTGGCGAACTGTAGGTGGATCATCTGTAGATCTTCCCCTTCTGTCAAGTTTATTTTATTTATTTTAATGCGATTATGCGATGTACCCCTGCCAAGGGTAAGGGCTATCCAAATTCTTCAGAGACTGTTATAAAGCATATATATTTACGAAGCGAACGTTGTTTCTCATCATCAGGCAGCAAGCATTCATCTGAATTACCACGGGGTAGGTAAGGTAAGGTAGCCCTGTCTCAATTCTCTGCTTAAGAAACCCCCAAAGACTGCCATTGGGTCACTGTTTGGCCAGTGGCTGGCCTTTCATTTGGCACATTTAACAATACAAAGTACATTAAAAAAATTAATCTCTATTTATCTAAATTTGTGTGCAATTCCCTTAAAAATGTTTTCTGCCATTTGGAAGCGGCTGACCATTACCATAGCATAGCCCATGCCCACTCACAGCTTTGGGCCATCGTCGGGCTTCGACTGTTTGCCGTCCACAAAGTACAGATTGTATTCCCTCTTGAGCACTTGGTGCACCTGATTGCGGCAGGTGAGCACCAGGCCGCGCTTCTGGTAGTCGAGGAATGTGTGCACAAACTGACGATTCGTCTCGTGCACCTGAGGATGCTGCAAATACTCTGCGATGGGCATCCACTGAAGGCGGGCGATCTCGCGCTCGCAGCGCGTAAAGTCCAAATTGAGGGGCTTCAGGGCAATCACCATATAGATATCCGAACAGCCGAAGTTGCCGCCGTGCGCATGCCGCAGGCACACCACTGAACGGAAGGTGGTCCTGATGCCAGTCTCCTCCTCCACCTCACGTATGGCCGCATCGATGAGATTCTCGCGCGGCTCCACATAGCCTCCGGGCAGCTTCCAGCTATTGGGTATCATCGCATAGCGATCGGACACCACCAGCACCTCATCCTTGTCGTTGATCACCAAGCCCCCAACGCCCAGCAGCGTGTGGGCGTAGTTGGGCAGGTTGCTGGACTCGTGCGTGGGCAGCCAGCGGTACATGACCACCACGCCGGTGCGGGCGTGATGGAAATCGAAGCCGGACGCTGCCAAAATGGGCACCCAATCAGCCTGCTCCTTGTACACGCGAAACCAAATGGCACGATTCTTGTTGTTTGTCCACCACTCCAATGATTCTGTGGGATTTCAGTATTTAAGTTGGATTTCTTTATTGTTTTGAGCTTTAAGCTTTCACTTACTTTTCAGCTTTTCCTCAAACTCGGACTTTTCGACCTTCTCCTCGCGGCCATCCACTGTAACGCCCGCGAAGCGATCCGTTAGACCACGAAATACATCCGGCGGAGAGTCCATGGCTTTGTGTCTGCAATGCAATGATTTGGACAGTCATAAGTGTATAAGTTATTCTGATCCTTTTGCCTGGGGCTACTTACGAATGAAACGAACGCGTCAACTGCAGTGACTGCTGTTGGGTTGCCTGTTCCCGGTGCTGCTGGGTAAATGCTGGGACGGAGCTGCTTCTATTGGTTCGAAGGCGCCTTCGCCATGAATTGAACGCTTGCAAGGGTAAACGAGTTCTGCGACCCAATATTGCTGTAGACAACATTAAATGATTGCGCAATAGCGACGGACGGCACCGTTAGCAGCAGCAGCAGTGCTTCCTCCAAACTTTTTCACAATTTCCAGAGATTACGAGATATAAAACGAAGCGCTGGGCATGCTGCGTGAGAAAGGCAAGAGGGGGAACGAGTGAAAACACCAGCCAGCAACCAATCCGCAGCGCTCCAAACGATGTCGATTCGATGTAAATCTAAAGTGGGGGACACTATCTCGTCTGCTGGCAAAGAGATAAGCGTTAAGCGTTGCCAGCGTTGCAGTGACGTCGTTGCGTTCTTCTGTTCCTGACATTTTGAATTTGGCGCGCATTGGTGTCACATGCACATGCAATAGAGATGAGACGTGACTGCTTCCCCCGGCTGTGATCGCCACCCAAAATGCATTTTGAATGGATGTATGTAATAGAAGTAGCGATTTAATCGGTTGCGATTTATAGTTGATGTTTTTTTTATGGCCAAAACAAATGAAAATAGCTTATTAGTTGTTGCGATTCACAGCTTCTTCTTTTATGTTTTTGTATATTTTGGTTCATGAAAGTGACACAAGGGAATTAGTTACAGGCAACCGTGACGAGTAGTCGCTCATCTCTAACCAGCCAACCTTGAATGGCAATCCAAGGTGCGTGAATTGCTTCCGCATCGGTTATGTACTTGTGTGAGGTGTGTGTGTGTGTGGGTGTGTTTTTGTGCGTTTATCAGCCGTGTATCAACAATGTTCCATCATTTTATGCACGCTTTATATAACGAAACAAACCCAAACAACCGCACTTACTGGCACACTCGATACCTGTGACGGCTACTGTTGCCCACTAGGATTTAGGCGATAATAGAACCGAACCAAACCCACTTTAATCTATGCACTTGAACAATAAGTAAACTATTTCAATTCCGAAGCAAGCAAAACAATCTTTACCATTGAAAAACACACAGGTTATTGTGCTGCGCGCGGTTTGGGCTAAACGGTCACACTTGCGTCCAAGCACTAATGCGTTTAGACTGTTATCGATTACTCGAGCCAGTGCTGTTAAGCACTCAAATTGTATTGTTGGCGCACTTTAAGTAATTTGAAATATTTCAAATCGAAATGGTCAATAAATAAGAATTAAGAATAAAAATCCCGCATTCTGCTGGCGCACATTATTTAATTTGAAATATTTGTAAAACGAAAAGATCAACTAACATCCATCAAGTATTGAACATCGCATCAACCTGATGGTTGATGAATGATGGGTATTTTCGATGGTTTGGGGGACGTAACATCTTTGCCACCCTTCAGGCGGGCTTGCAGGATCAGCCAGTTGTCGTTCAACGCTTTGGTGGCCGAAATGCGACGTCGTGGATCAGGGTCGAGCATGGGCTTCAAGAACGACACAAACTCGAAGGCAGCATTGGTGCCCCACTCGTAAGTTTGAACAAGGACGGAGACCAGATTACGCTTATTCAGTTGGGTAACGTGGAGCAGCTGCCCATTCGGCTGGAATATGCCCGACGAGAACTCGCCGCGGTCAATGAGATACTGGGGAATGGTGCCGCACGTCTCGATGATGCTTGCGATGTGCAACTCGTCACAGCTGGCATCGTCCGTCGTCTTGCCGGGCTCAAACAGATAGTCGCCGGTGGCCAGCTCCCAGAACATGCAGGCGGCGCTCCAGATGTCGGCCTTTTCGTTGTAGCCAGCCCCAAGGATGACCTCTACGGCCCGGTACTCCCGCGTCTGTATATCGTCCGTGTAGTGATGATCGAACCAGCAGGCATTGCCCATGTCTGCGAGCTTCACGTTCAATTTGCACGGAAACAGAGCCGGATCACGGCGCGACTCTATGTGGCGGCCCGGGAAATTCACAGTCTTCTCCGACAACGGATTTTTCCCCTGAATTCCCGCACACTTCTTTCGAGCATTTCCGATCTTCCACTTGCGGTTCATTATCGGCGCCCACTTCGGCTGGGCAGCTGCTGCGGCCCGATCTGACGCCTGCACCTTCTCCTGGACACAGCGCATGAAAGCCACCGGGTCCCTGTAGAGTAGCTTCAACATTTTTGATCCCTTGGCCAGGCTCCTCTCCATGGCATCCATTTCTTCATGGGTCAAATGGCTGCTGCCGCCTTTCAAGCGGCTGCTCGAGCGATTTTTCACCGATTTATTGTCGACTGGTGTACTATTGTCGAAGGACTCGCACTCGAGGAGGAAGACCTTCATGGCGTAGGCGGGAAAGTCTGTCAATTGCTCCAAGTGACCGAAGCGGCCCAGATGGAAGATGTCGAATTCCTCGAGGATCGTCAGACCGTCAAAGTTGAAGGGCATGAAGGGCAGCTTCCCGGTCACGCCAAGCCCGGCGGCGGAGGGGCTAAGGAGGCCGCGACTAGCTAGATGCAGCAGATCCTCCACGGCGCGCTGACGCAGCCAGCGGCGGTGAGACGCGAAGAAGCTGGCCATGCGCTTGACTTGTCCGCGTAGCCGCTTCTTGGCCGTTTTTGTTAGCTTGTCGGGCACCACAGAGTCGTCACTCGGACTGGCCGGACAGCCGTGGAGCTTACGGGTCGGGGTTAGTCTGGTGTGGGCCTCCAAATAGGTGCTGGCAGCCTCAGCGGCCTTGCTCCGCACATTGAGGTCGTTCGCCTCGAGCATGACATTCTCGGGCTTGAGGTCCGTGTGTATGATGTGGCACTGGGCGTGCAGATAGTCCAGGCCTTCCAGCACCTGACGCGCAATCTGCCGGACATTGGCGTTGGGTATGCCCTGGTAGTTGGACCGCTGGATCAGACAGAGCAGATTCTGTCCGAGTATCTCGAACACCAGACAGTGGTGTGTCCCGTTCGGGCCGCTCGCAAAGAAGTTGTCCGTGAGGGAGACCAGGCGGCAGCGCAGCGCATGCGACTCGTACTTGGACACCTTCTTCAGCAGTGAGATCTCGTCGCATGCCGTCGCCGCCAAGTGTTCCGCCGATTTGCACACCTTGACGGCACAGTAGACATCCGATGACATATCAAAGCAGAGCCACACGATGGAGAAGTGGCCCCAGCCGAGCTTCTTCAGCACCACATAGCGATGGTTCAACATGTCGCCCAATTGCACCGGATGATAGCCGCCCACGCAGTAGTCGCACGGATTCTCGTCCGCCCCCGCAGTTATCGAGCTGGCGCTGCTGCTGCTGTTCTTGCCAAGGCCCAAATGGTGCAGCGCGGCGCCACTGCTCTCCTCGGAGCTGCTCGAATTGTTTTCCGAATCACTCTTCTGTGTGTCGCCAGTAATATCCAAGCTCGAGTTTATCTCTGGAGTCGCTGCAGCCTCTGCAGCATTCTGGCTTGGGCTGTGGTTATCCTCATCGTCTTCGAGATCTTCAAGATCAATGTCACGAAAATCCTCTCCGTCTGACATGTTTGCACCACTGCCCACTGCAGCACCTAAACGTGAACAAATTTTAGTACCAAAGAAAATGCCATAAAATCATTTACTTAATTAATGTTGCAAAAAATGCTACAACTTGTGTCTAAAATGTATTTGAAATGATCTGAAACTAAACTGTAACTAATGCCACAAAACTATTGCCTTGGACCTACAGAAGGGACCAACTACTTGAGTCTATTTCGATTACAGGAATACAGAAAATATTATATAACGTAGAGCTTTAGATTCTTAAGTGTATTAATGCTAAAGTGAAATAAACTAAGGATTGACTGCATTACCTTTGATGAAACAGTAGAACGACGAACGGGGTAAATGCTTTGTATATATGTATTCTGAGATCGGTTATCTGTTGCATATAGAAAGTATTATTATTAAGAAATGGAATATGTAAATGCACTCACTGTGTTCTTTGTTCGGTAGATAATGCCTCGCATATGCCACATATGCGAGTTACATATGAAGATTTATTTATTAAATGTTGCTTCCGTTTATAGAGACTTTTGTTGTGTTTACTAAAAGGTTCTGTAGGTAAATGCCAGAATTAGTAAATTTGGTTAGTGCCAAGTGAAAGTTTAGCGCCGGGCTACTACTTATTGAGTTTATAAAAATAAATATAAATTGTATGTGGGACATACAATATTTGATGGGTGTTGTGTTGCAATTTGCTGTTTTGCTGGAATGGGAATGCTTTATGCGAATGCATTGATCTGGAAAATGCCATTTAAGGCAACAAAGCGGCAATACCAAAATACATACATATGTACATATATGTATAACCAGTTTACAGCACGTGAGAAGGGATTGGATTATAAAGGATCGGCTGGGTTAGCTTGTTGCAAAATGCACATACATACATGCATGTGTATGCATGTGCCGGGAGTCAGCAGCATGCCGCATTAGAGCCGGAATCAAAGTCCGAATCCGTATACAAATCGGGCAGCACATCACTCCGCTCCGTCCAATGCATTTTGGGGGGTGCGTGCACACACACTCTCCTCCTCAGGTGTGTCATCAATCGGAGAACAATAGCCTCCCCTTGAGGGTCTCTCCTCTCATTCGGATATGTTTGTATTTTGATTGCCAGCTTAACAACTTCTCTTTTTTTTTTTCCTCCTTTTTTAAGAGTGAAATTTACCAAAAAAAAAAAAAATTGTTACCCCTCTAGCGGGCGAATTTTCTGTACTTTTTACAGTTGATATTTGCACAGTTGTTTAAATAAATTTTCCGCTTAGGGTTGCTTCGCGACCCACTGTTTGCACACAATGGATTTCCATGCGTTTTTGGGCTTAAGTGAAAATGCCTTGTCAAATATTTATGAAAGAATCGATTGCGTGGAACCGGGGGGGCATCATGCATGCCACACAGTACGAGTATCTCTCGAGGACCGGGGGCCGGGGACCCTGCCCGATCGACAAAAACCAAACACTTTTCGACGGCTTATCCAAAAGGAACTTCAGCGATGCGAGCCGAGGTCCGACCTATGTATGTGTCCGTGTGTGTGTGTGTGTGTGTGTGTGGAAAAGCGTTCGTTCCCAGGCGCGACTGCGCCCGTCTTCAACCCTTCAACCCTCCACCCTCCTTTTCCACGGCCATTTACCGTTTTGTTGGGAAAATCTTGTTTGTAATTAGGGAGTTTTCCTTATCATTTTCCCAATGCAATGCCCTTGGCATTGTTTCTTTACCAATTAAGCGTAATTTTCAAGTGTCCCGTTTGGGTAAAATATATTTGCCTAGGCAAACATTTTTCGTGCTTCGAAACAGGGCGGAGGAATGAGAGGCGTTTTGAATTTCACTTACATAAATACATATACATACATACATATATAACTGGTTGACTCCTAATGAACTGTTTATGTACACACAATGGAATGGAAATGAACATAAATTAATGGTAATTTTCCCCTTTTTCCAAGAGGCAAAGCTCTTTTTTTTGTCATATTGGTGGGTGGTGCTCAGTCAGCTCTGGCAGCTGGAAAAATCAAACATGTCTTTTGACAACACAATGAGCATTATAATTGGCACTTTTTCCTGCAGCTTGAGCTTGCTCCATAAAAAAAACAAACACATTAGAAAGAGAAATTATCAGCCCCTTCAGCCCTGGACAGGTACAGAGATTTAATGCTGTTTTTATTCAAGTTTATGGCTATAGCAGATACTGACCTTTAACTGGTACCGCTTGGCACTTGGGCACAGATCCACAAGGCACTCAAAGGTAGATAGCACTAGTCGACACGAGTTTTCCTCAAGGAACAAAACCAACTTGTTCTTAAAGATTTGGGGCTTAGAATGGTTTATGATACTTTTTTTTCTATGGCAAAATTTTTTTTAAAGAATTTTTGAAAACTGGAAAACGCACAAAAATGTTTTTTGCATTCATACTTTATATTTCCCAACTAAAGCTGAAATCACAAGTGATTGATTGGGCTTAACTTCTAGCTGTTTTAATTATCTATTCAAAATAGCAAAGTTCTTTACAACCAGACGTAAGACACTAGAGTTACGTGAACAGAATAAAAACCATAATTCTTTAAAAAATTGTAAAGTCCCATATCCATCAGAAAAAGTTGGTTTGAATCCTTGAGGCAAAAAAAATTCGATTTTGCCGAGTAGTGTAATAAACGATAAATTAACTATACATTATTGTTGTGCTTTTCCATCACGTGGCGCAGTGCCAGGGTTGCACGTTGCAGGTGCAGCGAACTGGTTGATTTTGAGATCGAATGAACCGCACTGGTTCATAGCAGCTAATGCGAACTGGTTCACATTGTTAATCCCATGAGCCCAACAATACACTCGTTCCTATTAAAGAACAATTAGACAACACAATAGAAAAGTGCAACAATAGAAATTAACTTTAATTTTTGGCAGTTTCTACACGTGTAAGACCTATATATATTTTTAAGTACTTTGCGCAGGCAGCTCCAGTCCGAAACAGCCGAGATTTGATCTAGTTTTAGTTCGCGCGTTCGATAGGTAAATAATGGGAGCTGTGTAATTGGCACATTTTGCAGCATTTTTGGGCAATCAAACGAACAATAGATGTGGCACACAGTCTGCCGGAACGGGACGGTACGGTGTGGCAGCTGCTGCTTCATCGATTGGCACAACAAAGAATGCGGCGCATGCCACACACTGCACTGCACTGCAAAAAAAAAACAAAACAAGCAAAGAAAAGGAAAAAGGAAGAAGGTCGTCGCCTAAGAAACAAAAAAAGAAGCGATGCTGCAGGAGTAGGCGCAATAACTGCACATTGACATTGGAGGAAGCGCCTGGCTGCCGCATCGAACAATGGAAAAGTGAAAAATCTCCCAAAGGACAGCTGTCTGCCACAGAGCAGAATGTCTCCTTCAAGAGTACATCTTCAGGGTATGGCATGGTGTGGTATGGTATGGTATGGTATGTACTTCTACAGGGTATGCTTGTGATTTGATTGTGCAACTAAGTGTAGCAACACTAATGGGCTTTCCAACAGTAGCAGCAGCAGCAGCAGCAGCAGCATCAGCATCGCCCAGGGGCAGCCTGGCATTACGCGCGACTACGCGGTCAATTGGTAATTGGATTAGGGCAGCCGGGCAACCCTTCTGCCCAGCATCCCATACAACCAGCATGCAGCAGCAGCAGCAGCAGCAGCGATGTTGACCCTGTGACCCGACAGGCGACCCCTTCATTGGCGTTGGGCTAATCAAGACAGAGAGAGAGAAAGAGAGAGCGCGAGCTGGCCCTTTTGCTGCCAAGAAAAACACGAAAATTAATTAAGAAAACAGAAAGTATCCGTATCTGACAGCAGCCACAGCCACCGCCTCAGCCACAGCCACAGACGCAGACGCAGCTCTCTCTCTCTCTTTTGGGCTGCTGCTGTCCATCAAGGCTGATCCCCGCGCATGGCTGAATACCCGCGGCCATCTAGTGTCCCGTAGCGGATTTTTATTACATGTAAGTTATTTACGCACACATCAGTGGGCACGCACACCACGTATCAAATGTTCTTTTCCCATTTAAGGAATTTACATATTATTCCCTGACCTGACCCTTTTGTAAAGCAAATCGCCAAGGGGCTGGTCTGCCAGCCTGCCAGCCTGCCGTCCTGGCTGCCGTCCTGCAACCGTGCTGGAATACTTGTGTATATGGAGCAGCATCTTGAGGAGCAGCAGATCCGTTGTGGGAAAGCATTCAGGGCACAGGAACTGAGATCTGGAGCAGCGACCTTTGATGGTTGAATTTATCAAATTGTGGGAAACTTCTGTGTGGGATGATGTCACCATTCATTCATTTATCAAATCAGCTTGGCGGCAGGATATGCGTTGCAGGATGTGACTGGGCATAAACAGTGTCCGCAACCATTAGCACCAACCGCATCCTGGTGTCAGCCAGTAAAAAGGAATGCGAAACAAAACGCCATTGTCGTCCATTGATGCTCCAAAAAAACGTAGCGAATGCGCGCCGCTCATTGGCGGCCAAAAACAGGAGCAGGATGCGCAGGCAGCTGCTGCTACGGCTGCTGCAGACCGACCGCAAAGTTCGCGCCCATGTCCCGTCCGCTGTAATCCTTTAACTGTCACCAAAACAAACACAAACACAGTCCAGAGGACATAGGACATAGGACACCGGACTGACATCTTCATTATAATATGAATGCGGCGACAATCTTTGGCGAGTCATGCCGCGCCGCTATCAGGCCCGGTTCAGCGAATCGGAAAATTGTGCAACGCTTCTCAGCCTGGCCTCTCAGGACACAGGATTAGCGGCAAGGAGTCGTCGCATGACTGACCCCTGCGCCTGTTTTTATTGCTTTGTGTCGGACAATTGATTTTGTGACATAGATTTTGGTGTAAACAGCTTTGGTCAGCTTCGAGTCGGCGATCGACTCGACCTTCTACCTGGGAAAAAAAAAATTGAGTCGTCAATGCACACCGCCCCATTGGACTGGGACTGGGCATAAATCACAAGGACAGGCAATACACACGGGCCCAGGAGGCTGAATGGTTGTCCGGCAGAGTGCTCTCTATTTATGTATACGGATCGCTTCAATCCAACAATGGCCCCATGATATATGGTCCATGCATAATGGTAATCTATAATAATTACCATCCATCTGTGTGCTATTAGAGCTGCAGAGCAGAGTGTTGTTCGTTCGAGTGCTGGAAGCTGCAGGGCTTTCAATGGCATTTCAAATGGATAGATTAAGGTCGATTAATGGCTATAATTGTTATAGCAAGAATTGATATTCATAAGAAGAACAACTATTGTTTAGGTATACAGAATAAGAAGTACTTTAAGAATGTATGGTAGGTATGTTATTCATATAAATCACACTGTATATAGAACTTATTTTAAGAACAGTAAGCAAGTGGCTGAAACATGGAAAAGCAACTCGATTGCCATAATTAATAAGCAGTCTACAGACAGACAATATTATGGCCTGTATTTAAATCGTTGCATGTCAGTGCTTTCGAAACTCTACCACTACTCTGCCAATGGGTACATTTTATTATTACGGATAATTTTGAGAACATTACTTTGTCCTGCAGCATGGAAAGGTATTATTATGTG